TGAGTGGGAATAGCTCCGGGCCTGTCAGATGTGCTATCCTTATCTCTTGCCAATATCTCGCTTCAACGTATGTAACTTCTGTCTTGCAGGTTCGCGCCGTCTCGCACGCTAGCACCGCATCGGTCCTGCGGGGTGCATGCCCGCCCATCCTGCTCCAGAGAAAAGATGGTATCGTGTGGAGTGGAGAGGGAAACTTTATTCCCACTCGAGATACCGGCGCCTTTTGGCAATCGTCATAATACCGCCGACGCGACAGGCTTGCAACTTTCCATGGAGCAGAAGGCACGTGTTCGGTATGGGAATTAGTCCAAATCTAAAGAGTTGAGGCTCCCAACGGCCTTGCATAATAGGGCACAGTCATAGCAACTGCACCTGCTTCATCGAGCCTACGGGATCTCTTGTGCAGAACAGGAAGGAACAGAGTACATTTTGTCGCACGGTTACTCTCCTCGCAAAAGAGGAAGGAACGAAATCTGGTCTGTCGCACCGAAGAAGCTCTTTCTTGGCTCTCGGCATCCTACCCACTGCGTGCGCCTGCATTTGTTTCATGTTCATCATTATTCCTCGAGTCACATTTGCTTACACATGGTTTTTGGAGGTTCTGGATTCTGTTCAATCGTAATAGTACACGTCTCCTCGCCAACACACACACAGAGATCTGCCTTCCACTCATTTCAGGCGGGCCGTATGCACCATCTCTCGCTTCATCCTCGCACAAGAAAAAATTTGACAACGCAAACAAATTATACAAGGGCAGGGAGCGCATGGCGCGCTATCCCAGATATACGCTTCCGAGGTTGCAATCCTACACCAACCAACGCCAATGATCCGCAACCCTACCGCTGAAAAGGAAGCAAGTGATACGAAGAAAATGCAATAAAGAGGGTGCCACCTGGGCAGGTACACATCCTCGCGTTACCGGAACGGGCGCAGCACCGTCGCCGGTGGCATTACGGGAGAGGGAGTGACATGCAGCGACATCCCTACGTGGCGAATATCCCCGTCCCGCTTGTGCGTCCGTTTGGTAACGGCTGCGAGGATGAGTCGAAGTGAAAATTTTCAGGGTCCTTTTAACGCCGAATTGAGCCGCCAGAAATGCACACGATTACAAGGAAGAGGTAACTGCAAGGCTGAAGCATGAACGAGCTCAAGGTCAAAGCGGCCGTAGCGGTAATAAGCGTCGTGAATCGCATGAAAACGCATGCAGTCATGTCGACATGAGAGAGAGAAGGGTCCAAGTGGAGTTTGTCGCTCTGACGGGAAAGAGTTTCCTCAGTACCTGTCGTCGCCGTCGGTCGTCCAGCCCGCTTCTGAGCCTTCGATAACCCGTACCATGCGACCGTCTTGCTCTGTCAGGAGCTCGTGCTGGTCGACGCTGCGTATGCCGCGGACTTTCTTGCCTTGTATGCGACCGGGGCTGGCTACACCATGGCCTCCGTCGGGTGTGTAGCGCTTCATCTGCCGCCTGTAGGCGTGGAAGTCTACTTCCTCCTCTGGCATCTCATCGGATTGTTCACTAAACGTTTCCCAGTTTTCTGAGCCGGACTGCATGGTCATGCCGGTAGCGGCAGTGCCAGTGGACGAAGTTTGCGATATTTGTCTACTACTGGCGGAGGATAGTGATGGCGGTGCATATGTAGGTGTGTAGGCTCCGCGCATGGTACGGCCCAAGTACGATCGGTCATCGTAGGGATCTTCTGGTGCCACTTGGCGCACGATGCTCTCGCTGCGCTCTCCACGGTTGAACTCGAAACGGTTCATTGGTGTCTCCACGGGCGAGGGCTCTGGCGGTACGAACAGATCCTTCATGCGTGGAGGAGGAGCCATGGGTGGCGCCATCTTCCGCATTGTTGCAGAGTCTTCCCGTGACAGCTGTGGCCGTTTCTCTGGTGACATCCTGCCGCTCATTGTGCCATTCATGCCAGTACGAGAAGGAATCTTGGAAGGACTCTTTTGCGCAGATGCCGCCGACACCGAAGCACCAAATTGCGATGGACCGACAGACTGAGCAAAGTTGTTACGCGACATGCTTGCAGCAGATACGCTCTGCCCGAAGTTTGACACAGGCGTTTTCGATCGGCTTGGTGGTGCACCACCACGGACTGTTCCGGCACGACTAGGTGCTTGTGAGGACCTCCCGACGGTTGCGGGTTTGGTAGGCATGCCACTGTTGGAGGGTGTCTTTGCGCGAGGTGGTGGGGCTGCTTTTTGTGCAGCAGCGTAGAGTTCGTCGAGGTATCGTTGGCCGTGGACCAGGAAAGGGCGTCCGTATTCGTCTTCCCAGCTTTCAAGTGTGACTCTCAAGTCCTGTGATATGTCAGCCTAGTTCTCATTGCTCGTCCATGTAATCATACCGTTTCAATCTTGGGCAGCTCCTTTGCGATGCGCTTTCGCATCTTCTCTTCGCGCAGGAGCTTGCCTGGGTCGCGCCTCTCGCCCTTGTTTCCACGCGCCATTAGACGGGTCGCATCCTGACTGGATTGCTGGAGCTCATCGCGCTCCTGGATCAGCTCGCGATGGCGGTCAATTTTCTGTAGTATTGGCAGTCGTTGCTCCTTGAGCGCTTCAAGACGTGCGATTTCAGATTCGTGTGCGGCGAGCAGGGCGTCACTACATACATCGGAGAAGGCGGGCGTGAAGTCGAGCATCTCTTCTTCTGAGAAGTAGAGCGCATCCCAGAGTTCTTGGAGCTGCACACGCGCCTCCTCCACAAACAAGTGTAGGTTCTGGCGCTTCAACTCATTCAGCCTGGCTAGCTCGTCCTCGTACTCGTTGATGGTGCGCAGGCCGCATCCACGGTTGCTAGTGAGGAACTGCTTGCGCTCGCGCTCTTCAACACCCAGGCGATCCCATAGTTCCTCAATGGTTGTGCGCAGCTGCCCCAATCGTCGTTCGCGACCGCGCTTTTCCTCAATGAGTCGCTCCTTCTTCGCCTTCAGTTGCGCGAGATCGTCCTTGTGTAGGCCAAGTTGTTCAGGCGCGTCGCGATGACACTGTACGATTGCGCTGTCAGTTTGCGCTTGTGGCGTGCCGAGTTCAGCCCACAGCTGGATAATCTCCTGGCAAATGGTCTTGACTGTGTCTATGCGCCTGGTGTATTCCTCGTATACGCGGGTGAACTCGTTGTCTAGCTTAGAGACGTATGATGGCGAGATATCGAAGGAGGGCGAAACGGTAGCGTTGTGCGCGGTGGGCGGGAGTTTGATCTTGACGAAAGAGGGTTCTAGATGCGACGCATACGATTCGAGGGCTTCGGCGAGTTTCCTGACTTGCTCAAAGCGCTCCTTGTGCACCTTGCTGACTGAGCTGTATCGCTCCTTCAGGTCCTTGAGGCAGCGCGTCAGGGGAAAGGTGATGGCCTTGTCGTCGTGCTCCTCGTAGTTGGGGTTGGGCTTGTTGTCCTCCAGCGACGCCTCCATCTGCCTGATGGTCTTGAGCAGGCGATGCGCCTCTTCAGTCATCTCATGCTTCTCATTGGTGACTTGTCGCAATTGGCTGTGGAGCGTCTCGGACAGGGCCGAGAACAACTATACAGAGTCAGCCATGGCGCGCATATACGAGATCCGACAAGCGACTCACCTCTGCTTCGCGCGAATCGCGCTCATGGCTGGGGACACCAATATCATCGAACAAGCCGTGCAGCTGGCCGATGATGGTCGTGACCTGCTGGGCGAGGTAGCTCGTGTCCATGGTGGCTGCGTCCCGCCGACGAGATGCGATGCTCAAACGCGCATGCAATGTATCCGCTTCCAGTGGGGCGTGTAAACTTTACTCGAGGTCTCAGATGCGGTGTGATAGTGACGTGGTAGTGGATAGGCGAGAGTAGTGGTGGGGAAGCGGCCAGCAGAGCAAGAGGAAAAGGGCGTGTAAACGAGGGTAATGGCTTGAATGAGCGCGCACTCTACTTGTATGCCAGAGGCAATGCAGTAAGCAATTCTTCGCAATGTGTATACACAAGACGAAAGTGATGCAATTGCTGGGGATGGGGCGCAGATCAGAGTGCAAGCGGGTGGTCATAGTGGTTTGCGCGACACTATTTTGGAACAGTGCGCCAAGCACGCCGTTGGCACGGCGACGTCCCGGGCGCGTCTGTATAGCGCGCCATCACGAGAACGCCTCGTTTCACACGATCGCCCTCCGCCACTCAGAGCCGCGGGGTAGGCGGCGACATGGCTCGAGGACATGGATCATACTGGCTTCTTGCATGTCAACATCCTCCATATCTGCCACTACTTGCTGATTGTCCCCAGCTGATTGTACCCGTGCTATACGCTGACTAGACTACGCCTCTATTCGATGCCTGGTGCCTCGTGCCTGGTTGCCTGGTCGCCTCATCGCTTTTTAGACTTTGTCAAAATGACCGTCACCTTGAGGAAACAATATCCAGTGCACTGCGGGCTCTCCTCCGGCTTACTCCATCCAATATCACATCCGAATCCATCGTCAAGTATTCTGGTAGTGGGCCGAGCATTTCCCTGTTTGTTATCCGCTCATGGCCCGGACCCAGAAAAGCATCCTGCATTAAGCTCAGCTTTGCCGGGAAGCGGCAGATGAGATTTCTTTTCGATAGCCGTTGCTGTGTCGACCTACTATAGGCGCGTGCAACCTAACGTAATCCGTGTACTCTACAGGCTTTTTGTACCGGTTTTTCTACATGGCTGCCAGCCGTCCAAGAAGCAAACATCTCGTGTTCACGGAGTCTGTTCCGTGCCGGCATACATGGTACCGCGGTACTTTCACGTCAACGATCCAAAGATTCTGAACCTTCTGCGGACGTAAACATTGTTGGTCTTCCATCGCAGAATCTACCTGCAGGGTGTAGTGCTTCTTATCGCCATACATGTGGGTCGACTCCACGGTAGCGACATGCCCTGGGTGAGCATTCTACCCTGTAGTCTACAGCGGCACTAATGTAGTCGTCAGCATTAGCTTCTCAGAAGTCTGGTATTACGAACAATTCGACCAATGCGATTCATACATATCCGTCCAACTACTACGACTTACTCCGAACATCTAAACGTAGCCGTCCACCTTCCACCCCTGACATCCATCACCACTACACTTCCCTGCCCTTGCATCGTCTCTACAACAACATCCCCACTCAACCCGGCACTACCACTCATAACAACCCGTCCGGCACAATCAAGCACCGGCACATGCACCTCTCCCATTGTCCCCTCCGGCGCCTCAAACTCCAGCATCACCGTGTTGTTCCCCCAAACCTGCGTCCTTGCGCCAAAGAAGCCCAAATTCGTGCTGAATCCTGCATCCGCAAATTTGAGATCACCCAGCGAAGGCGCAACACGCCACGTCGCTCCACCAGCAGTTAGCAATTGCACGCCGGCGACGTATTGTGTCAGGCTGGAAGTAGGACCTGTTGCCCATCCATGCGCGTGGCTGATTCGTGCGTCGTTGACGTAGGGCGCATAGTGTAGTTCTCCAGTCGTACTATATCCTTCGATAAAGGTAGAATTCGTCATACGCGGATCGTCGAGCATGAAACCCCATTGAAGACGCATTAATGCTAGTGCAGCTGTGGTGTTTTGTGCGAGGAAGTGGGATTGCAGCTCAAATCCTGAAATGAAAGGTGAAATGGCATCTGCGGCTTCTGGAGCAGGTGCACCGTAGGGTGTCCATCGGGCGACCAGGTTGGAGGAGATTTGCTCAGTTTGTGTGCTGTTTAGAGTGAGGTTTGCGACTACGGCCCAGGCGTTTCCGTCTTGTGGCATGAGAGTTGTGGTTTCATTGTCGCGGTACATGCCTTCTTCTGGCACCCACAAGAGCTCGTTGGCGGCTGTCTTGATGCGGTCTGCCGTCTCCTGCCACGAGGTGATGTTCGCGGTGTCGTTGAGAGCAGAGGCTAGGTAGATGCCTTGGTTGATGGTGTAGTAGAGGATGGCGTTTGCTTCGATGTTATGACCCCCCATACCGAAGCGAAGCCAGTCGTTAGGTGCAGTGACGTTCATCAGGCCGGTGTCGTCAATGTTCGCGAGCGAGAAAGACAGGGCGAATTTGTACTTGTCCCACAGGGATTTCAGGTATTCGACGTCTCCCTAGTAGTTTGATTAGCAAATGCTGGAGGTTGTAACCCAAGGCATCACGCTAGTTCCTAGTTCCTCCATACGAACGGAACCCAAGCAAGGAAAGGGCAGACATGGTACTCACGGTATAAAGGTAGTGGTCAGCGACACCAATTAGGGTGTACAGATGATAAGTGAAGGATATAGCTTGAGGAGGAAATGGCCGTCCAGCATACGGAAGCAGACCATTCGTCTCATTCTGGACAGCAAACAGTGAGTCCAATGCGTTCTCAATGGAGATGACATCGTTGGTGGATACCACAACACCAGGAACGGCTATAGCCATATCTGCAATTTCGTCAGCACCCACGCGGTCGCTACAGGGGAATCAACATACCACCAGCCCACACAAGTCTATCCCTCTTCGCGCCATCAACTAGCGCACTCTTACCAGCCGTAATAGTGTAGTTGTTATACCACGTTACATTAACCGGCGTCTGATCGTCGTCCTTTGAGTACCCCTCTTCACCGATATGCACCAACGCATCGCCAGTATCCGGTTCGATAGTGCAAATCTGGTTCGTGTAGGCACCAGCATACCACACACGGTTCAGCAAGTCGTCGTCGCAGTGGAAATACCCAGTATAATTCCCCAACGCATCGTCCTCCCAGTGAGGCATTGCCGTGTAATGTACTTCGGCTCCCGTCACCTCTAAACTCCCCGTGCCATTATGGACCAACGTCATGTACCTGAAAGCGCCTCTGCCCTTCTCTCTGGGCGCCGTGTAGCGTCCTGTGCCATTGACGTGGAACCAGAGTGTCTCGTCTTTTCCTGCATCGGCGGTCGCGTCGCTGCTTCTGTTGCTGATCCACAATGAGGACTCGGAGAAGGTGACGCCAATGTACTCTGAAGTCGAGTTTACGGACCCGATTGTCACGGTGACGAGACCTGCGATGTTGATACCAAAGTCGTACGCTGTTGCTGCTTCGCCTGTGAAAACTGAACTTCCATTTGCGCTGCTCGTAGTCAAGCTCTCGGGATTGGTGACGGAGCCGTTTGAGCTGTGGACGGAGACGGGCTGCAGGGTTCGTGATTTAGGCGCGAGGATGTATTGAGAGTAGGGCGTTGATGCGAGGGCAGCTGGGACGGCAGCTGTCAAGCTGACCAAGGTAGTAGACACCTTCATCTTGTAGCAATATCCGGTAAAGCATGAATCCACAAAACGTTGAACAAGCACTTATCCCCAAGGCTTATGTATCTTGACTGCCGCAGCTTCCCGGTCATCGCAAGCCATGGCCATTTCGCCCTTCGATTACCATGTCTACCTGCCGACTTGAAGATCTCAACTTTTTTCTCGGTTTCTTCGGAAGAGTACATACCGAGATGACGACGTCAAGAGACAAATCTCATCGTTGGCTGCGGAGACGACCCCGGTAGTATCCTTGCTTAGCCCTAGTAAACGCGGGGAAGCGAGTCTTTTTTGCCAGTGGATCTTGCTGCACATGGCTGACGCTAATGTACAATTGCCCGAAGTAGTCGCGGTACATGCTGAACTCTCGCCTCCACGTCCCGACGTCTTGGAAGCTCGGGGTCAGAAATGCGTAGGCTAGGGGGAATGCTATCACGAGTAGATCGCCTAGATCTTTGAATCTGCTTCGTATTTCGTACAAGTGAGTTATACCCTGTTGCCAAGCGAATAGACATCACGTCAACTTCGTGCTGACAACTACACAAGCCTCGCCATCGCGCCTAAACTTCGGCTTGTTATTGTTAGCTGCATAACGCCAAGATGTTTTTACAGCCATACAGTCAAGAAGATGCTGTGACTACCCCGAAAGTATAATGGCACAAAGAGGGTCAAAATGCAGCAAGGCACTGCAATCTTCACGTCCTGACACAGTGATGATCATTTTACACAAAACTTAGTTGTATATCTCAAAAAAAAAATCATAACCATACATAACTCCACCCCTCGACGAAACCAAACGTTTACACACTTGGAAGTGCTCTAGTGGCGTCGAGCCTGCCGCAGCAGAATCAATACAACTTCCCGCCTACCTCTTCCCTTGCGGCAACATACCCACCAACCTCTCCACCTCGACCGCCGCACTCCCCCCAGCCTTATCCCTAATCTCACACAGCAACTCCCTATCCTTGGCCTTGAACGCCTCCTCCCCTGCCTTGACCATAAGCCCACACTTGATCCACATCTCCACCCTCTCCTGCACACTCAACCCCGTACACTTTGGAATAAACACACTCGCCACCCTCGTATTCCCCGCCCCAAGAATCTCGTTGAAAAACGGCTCCCACCCAATCGGGCTTTTCTTCTGCTTTGCAAATTCTTCGAGCTCATTCCAGTGCCGGGCTGCGACGAGGGCGCGCAGACGGATGTACGTGTAGGTCTTGTCGTTGATTTTGAACTCGGAGACGACTTTTGAGGCGCGCTTGTAGTGGCCTTGGCGGACAAGTTGGAATATCGTTTCGTTTGCCGAAAGCCCAACGTAGGTCTGACCTGGTAATGGACCTGTCGATGCTGGGTCTCGTGGGCCGTTGAGATCGGTTTCGAATTGTGTTTGGAGGCGGAGGAGTTTGGCGGCATCGTCGATGGCTTGGCGTTGGAAGACGGCTGTACTGTCGCGAGAGTCTTGGAGGTATTTCGATGCTAGCTTCAGTTTGTCTTGCTGGGCGGTATGGCTTTCCTGTACGATGGCCTCGGATAGGAGGAGGTTTGAGCCGTCCAGTCTCCTGTCGTCTTGGTAGTAGAGATCCTTTAGTAACTCGCGGTCCTGGTCCCAAGCTGATGACTCTACTAGTGCTGTAGCAACAGGTCGACTATTGATGACGCGGAAAAAGGACGCAAGAGGTAGTTTCTTGCGCAGATGCAAGAGAACGTGATAGATGAGGTCAGTGTCGCCTGACTCGATAGCCTTGTCAAGCGCAATGTTGTCCTCCTTCATGTTGAGTAGCAGTGGTACCTGCTTGCCAGCTCTAGGCTCGTAGTTGAGCAGTTCTGTCGCCAGTGGAATGCGACCTTCGACATACGCTGCCCGTGCGATTTCTTCGAATGAGACACCCGGTTTGCCATGTAGTTTCTTAACTATGAGACTGCAGATCTCTTCTTCAGGACCCGTTGAGACGCGAACCTTCTGCTGCGCCCAGTGTCCATGAATCTGGTTTGCTGGGAGATGCAGGTATTCAGCTATGCGCAATGCGAGAAGATATTCGCTGCGGTTTGTGAGACGTTCGACAAGCTTCTCGGGCGTCATACGTCGATACTGGTCATAACTAAGTGGTAGTCCGACTTCATAAAAGCGTACCGCGTTCAGAACTCGTAGTGTGTCGCACGTGTCGACAAAATCATCAGACGAATATAAGTCCAGCACTGACTTTCCGTACGAAGCCGCTTTCAGTAGCGACTTCTGCCAGTGAATGTTGTATTCATGCGCTGCAGCCTTGATGCACGTGTCGACGGCTTCACCCAGACTCGGCCGTATCAACTGTATGAGGTCGTCGGCTTTGGGGCTCTTTTGTTCGAGTAATGAAGATGCCTCTAGCAGATTTGCAGCAGGCGAGTCTGAGCCTAATCTGAAGACATCCACCGCCTCATCCGGTACCTTTTGTATGAACTCGCAGACTTCGTTTGTGAGGAGCCGTATGCCGTCTACGTCTGGTAAGAGATGTACCCAGGTATCGTAGTAGAACTTGGTGGCTGCACTCCTGGGTCCAATCAGATGTACCTCGTCTTCCCATGCTAGCGCGACAGCATTTGAGCCACACCATTCCATGTCTTTTGGCACCGTCTTGATCTTGCTGTCGTACTCACTGAGCTTCTCGTTCCAGTCACCGCTAACCACCCACACCTTTCCGTCTTCTGTGTAGAAGGCGAGAAATTCCGCGCGGGGGCTGACGGCAATATGCCTGAACGGGCCGGCATCAAAGTTGCGGTCTTCAGCCTCAGTCGCGTCAACCACGTACAGTGTCGAGCCTATTGCCAGTATGACTTCCACGGACCGCGAGAGCGAGTAGGTGGGTGGTATGATGCTCCATGATATGACAGGTTCGGTGGGAGGTATAGCGAGGAGCTTGGGGCGTGGTTCGGCATACGAGGTGACGGATATGAGGTGGTTGTTCGCAAGGAGCGCAACGAAACCGGTGCTGTAGAACTTGCAGGACACGACGCCGAATTCATCTGCGCCGTGGCCGAGAGTGAAGGGTACAAAGTCGCCTTGGAGGTCGTAGTAACAGCGCACGGTGCCGTCTGATGTGATGACGAGCAGCTTCTCGTCTTCGGACCATCCCAGGCCCTTGATGGTGCCTTTGTCCCACTGTTTGCCTGTCAGCGTCTGATGCTATGGTCTCCGCGAATGCATGTAGAGGCCCTGTACATTGATAGTGCGAATCAGCTTGCCCGCGCAGCTGTAGATGTCGATGCTCGATTTGGACGCGCCGGGCCCACGGTAGGCGTGCAGCTTCTCCTCATCGCGGTAAACGGCTGCTCGAATCAGTCATCTTATCCACATGTTTGCGCAATCGTCGGCAGACGGTGGGACGTACCTACCTACAGCACCGCTGTACGGCGCCCCCACCACATTGTAGTTCTCGAGCTCGAGGTCTTGGTCAAAGACGGCCTGGTAAAGCTGCACTTTCCTGTAGAACTTGTCGCCGACCTTCTCCCAGTTGGCTGTTGGCTTGGACATGGTTGGTCGCAACTATCGGGGTATCATGGCGCGAACTTGTCGGAGGCTTGGTGTGCCTGCATGGAGCTCTTGGTTGAGGTCATAGCTTGCGCCCACCGAGGCTGTCACCTTACATCAACTCCACACATGAATTGCAGCACAACTGATTACCACTTGTGGATATCTCTCGTTATTCTTGCCAGCTATATACTAGTATACTATCCTACTGCATTCGAACCTAACTCAAACCCAACGCCGTCGCTCATGCATTCGTAACCAATTTCTGCGCCTTTACCCTAGAAGCTCAATTTCTTCAATGTCCTCCAATGAGCTCAGCAAGTGTTTCGCGAAGACCAAAGCGATCGTTGTCGCTGCCAACCTTCTTGCGGAACATGGCCAGATCCTGAAGGAATGCTTCCGCCTCGTTGTGTAACTCCTGCGCCAATTCGTCGTGGTCACCCTCGTCGTAGCCAGAATCCGAGTCACCATCGCTGGCCTCATCATCAGAGACTGCCTTCTCTTCACCGTCCCCTTCGCCCAACCATTCCTCCTTGTCGAAGTCTGGTGTACCAAGCTCTCGCGGTGGGGGGAGGACGATAGGGTTCTTGAGCTCCCCTAAAGCAAGCTGGAGATGGCGGCGCAATGAATCAATCTCTGCGCGTAGGGCTACGTTGAGTGGACGGAGTTCTTCGACTTCGCACGTGAGGGCCTTGATCTTTGCAGCAGAAGTATGACGGTTCTCCTCCATGAGACGCTGCATGAGTGCCACCTGCCTCTGGTACTCGTCCAGCTCTGTGGCTTCTTCCCTCTTACGCTGGCTGGCTGCATTGACGCAGACTTGTAGACTGCGGATTTGTTCTGACATCTCTGCAATCTGGGCGTCTCGCTGAGCAGCCGACATGCAGTCCTGGTTGACCAAGGCACGTGTGCGGATGCGCTTTGCTTGGTCGGCATAACGGAGCGTACTAAGAGTCTCGTCATAGTCGGCTGGGGCAATGCAGGCAACCATGGCTGTCTTACTGTTACCACCCAGAGAGTCTTTCAACAGCCAGGTCAAGACTGAATCACGGTATGGCACAACCTCCCGTGGCCGTCTTCCCTTGGCACCATGTCTTCGCGGGTCTGCCAGAGCAGCGATGACGCGACCAAGTGTAGTGAGCGACTTGTTGATCTGCGCTCCCTCCTTCAGACGCGCTCCTGTGGCTTCTGTCGACTTGGCTCGTTCGGAACCAGCGAGATCGACAAGGCGCATACGTGCTGTACGTTCGATGGTCTCGTCAGAGAGCAGTGAGTGGGTGATCTGCTTGAGGCGGATCGTGAAGACGGCGTGGGATCGTGACGAGGTGTCGTTCATCTTGGTAGAGGCAACCGTTCGGCTCTATACTCGTAGTTAGTATTCGATCCAAAGGAGCACGCGAGGAGGAACCTACCGTATCGCCAATCTTCATCAAGCGCGCAACATCGGCATAGCTCTTGACTTCAGCCTCAGTCAGACCCTGGACATAGACACCATCCTTTTGGCTCTCGCGAATCTTGAGATAGATGGGTGGAGTCGTCTTTGGAGCGAGAAGATCGCGCACGTGCTCGTTGTAGACTTCAAAGTAGGAGACCTGGACGTGGTAGTTTGTGTTGGGCGACGGTTCATGCGCGATTCGGTCGAACAGCTCCTCGCAAGTTCGTGGAATCAGGCCTGGATTGTCTGGTGTGCCCATCATGGTGTAACTCTTGCCCGACCCTGTCTGGCCGTATGCGAATATACATGTGTGGTATCCGGAGAAGTTGTGGTCGAGGAACTCCTCGCCGAAAGAGCGATAGACGTCTTCTTGATGGGCATAATGTGGGTCGCTCTCGTCGTGAGACCAGTACGAGCGGTCGAATGTGAATTCCTTGTCGTCAAGGACGCGGCGTCCGTTGTTCTGGCCCTCTTCGGGCGCATAGAGAGTCGTCTTTTGCGTCGCTGGGTCCATGCGGATCAAACATTGTGTGCCCTTCTCCTTCTCTGGCTTTCATCAGCGTCTGGGTGCATCAATTGAGCACTGGCAACCCTACCTCTCGGCACAAAGGCTCTGCATCGCACCACGACCTTGACGTTTCCGGGATCGTCGTTCATGGGTGCGGGTGTATGTGGAAGAAATGAGGCTTCTGAGGCACGCATTGAAGGCGCCGAGGCGGTTGTGTGTAGAGGATACATTCTGTAGTCCAATATATGGTCTAATATGAGGTAGCACGAATCCCAGAGCTGTTGCGACCGGTGTATGTATACAAGGTGCATAGGCGGTGTTGGCATGTGCTGCACGGATCGCTCTGCCCATGACTCGCGGCCAATGTTTGGCCTCTGTCAACACCCCGTTGCCGTGTGCGATCGATACCACGTCACTGCCAAGCTCCCCACACACGCGCGCGCGCCATCACAGCGCGACGCGACGGGACCAAAGGGCTGCAATCGACGAGACCTCATACCGCAGTGCTCGTATGCTTCCGGCGTGTACCCACAGTCTTTCTCGTCTTCTCTCCACCTACACCGGGACTGGGCCGCCAGGCCAAAAGCAAGATTCCGGCCACCTGCTGCATAAGGCGTCAATATACGGTGAAGCCCTCTGCCATTCGTGTCCGCACGAAGCATCCATCTGCCTTTCCTAGCGTTTTCGCATGTATCGTCGTCTGTTCCATGTGTTGTTGGGATCGTGTTGTCAAGAATGTTGCTCCGGCCAGTTGCGCATGGCCGTCCCTAGGTAGCGACTAAATTTTCCATCTGAAGCGGGCGCAAAATGTGACTGGTGTCAACCCTACAACGTGAACTCTAACAATGCATTTAGCAACACCACACCCGTCCTGAACCGCACCAGCAAATCTTTGCTCATTTTAATAAAGTCCAAGCCTATCAGGCCTATCAGCCATGGCTACGGCTGCGGTGCTCAGTCTCTTGGACGAGCAAACTAGGAAAACAGCGTTTGAAGGCAGTCTGGCCAAATTAAAAGCCGCGCCCGGTGTCGACGTCAATGCACTCGATATTTGCGTGCGACTGCTGCCCTCCGAAAGCGCTGATCAAGAAGGAGGCGACACTTCGCAGCATGGAGAACTATGGCATACTGTCTTAGACTGTCTAGTCGACGAACAGGCATCCCAGAGTCTATACGAGATTGCTGAGATATGCCATAGCCACGGATCGTTTGCCGCTTCGCTCCTCAGCTCCAAGCTCAACCACAGGCTTTCTACTCTGGTTGAAGATCTCTCATCTAGCCAACCGCATCCGGATAGTCTCCATTGTGCGAAGGCTTACCTTGAATTTCTCAAGTGCTCTTTCTGGATACCAGCCGCGTATGCACACATGGTCGACCCTTGGACTCTCCCTCTTCTTTCAAATTTCATCGGCATCGACAGGCTCGATGACACAGCGCATGATACGTTATCCGCTTTCTTTTCGCTGCTAAAGAGCAAGAAGGATGACTCGCTCGCCCATCTCGACGACATTGTGGATCAGTCAATATGGGACCGACTTAACGCTCTCGACATGGCATGTTTCGCCGCTCGCTCTAGCAAGATCTATCGGACTTGGTTCCAATGGATCTCCCTTGCCGTTTCTGGTGGCATCAAGTTGGACTGCGTAAGCGACGAGGAGTACTGGAGAAAGCTTAGATTGGGTCTTGTAAAGGGGCATGCTGACCAGCGCAAGTACTGTCTTGGAATCATTCGACAATCTTTCCTCGCTACATCTAGTCCCATCGATACACCAACGATGCGATACGATGCTAGCAAAGAAGACCGTGAGCAGTACGATCTGTACTCGACACTGTTTGAGACGATCGTGCTACATCGGTATTCTGGACAAGTCGAAGATTGCTTGAAATCCATGACAAACCTTCTTGGATCTTCTTCGGCAACAGGTTTTTCCAGGGTCACTCCTGCAATGGCAACAACGCTGCTCACTGCAGCTTTGAATCCACTGATTCAAGAGAGCGTCAGAAAGATGATTGGTGGTTGGTACATGGATTTTGTCATCAAGGTAAGTAACATTCCTCATCTTCTCGGTGGTTAATACCACTCGGCAAAGCTGTGTCGGCTGTACAACAAAATATCGACTATGCACAGAGTACAGTCAAAACAAGGTGTCCCTGCTGTTGTACAGTTTGATTCGTGCTGATCTTCGCTCCACAGCGCCGTGGTGACTTGAACGGTCATATCAACTTTCTATTCGATGGATTTCTGCCTTGGGCAATGGATGGGGGCCTCTTCACGTCAACGCTTACTACCACACGATCATCGACAGAGTGCGCTCACGGAGAGAGGCTCGCCGCTGTCATTTCCCACTTCGTATCCGACACAGAAGATAGCCCATCCTTCGTCCCTTCAGTCAACTACAACGTTACCGAGGCTGGCATCGACAACCGTAATGGTCGGGCAATTGTCCTCGGCGTTGTTCGCTATATCTTCAATGCTGGTGGTAAGATGTTCCAACCAGCAATATTGTACTTGCTACATGGTCTCATTGAAGGCCTAAAGGTGAGGTCCGAACGAAGGACTTCACATCAGAAGCTGGATATCTCAGAGATCACAGAGATATTGAATCTGTCGCGACTGCCTGGCATGCCCGAGGTAGCAAGTGACTTGCACAGTATCCACTGCCGAAAGCTCTGCGATCTTCTCGACCCTGATCTAGGTTCGACGGGTATACCCACCAATGAAAGCTTACGCGCCAAGTGCCAGAAGCTAGAAAATCCAGTAGACCAGTCTGCATTACCAGCATCTATTACCGAGAATAATGGCGGCATACCCACTTTTGAGTCTTTCTTGAACGATCTCCACGACTCGAAACATAGCTGTATACAAGGTCCAGCCTTTGCACCAGCTTGCAAGGCTATGGTTGAGCTGCTCGACCGGACGGACGTAACCAACGTCGACCCCAACGATCTACATACTATATTAGCAGCACTTTGGGAAGAGGCGGAAATCCGCGACTTCATCCGACCATTCGCTGTACATCTACCACCGTTGCTATTTCACCCGACATGCATCAATGTTTGTGCCAGGGATAGTCAAGAAGACGGCGGTTTGGAGTCAGACCTCACTTCACTCCTGTCTAAAGCCATGTTGCGTCTCACGAAGCTATCCAAGGGAAGGTCATACGTTCTAGCAGTGTTGGCTCAAACACTGCGCAAAGCTGCGTTCACAAATCCGTCCATCATATCCATACTTCCCTTTGAAGACTACATTCTTGACTTTGTCAACGACCCGGCATCGATCAGACCGGAGTTTTTGTTCGAAGTGGCCGCTGCCGACAAACTTCAACGATACTTACCGCATCGAACGTATGCCTCGTATTATGGTATGCGAGAATGGCACGCATACGCGGCTGTTATAGACCTTCTGCGAAGTTTCCCAAAAGAGCAAACAAGTACTGCCCGAAGGATATTCGATCAGCTACTACAGCCCTGGAAGGATCAGAAACCACCAGTCGCTGTCAAGAGCCCATGGAAGAGGACATTCCAGCTACAGTCGATGCTGTTGATGAGCCACTACTGTGTGATGGAATCCGACGTAGACGCTTATCTCGACGGTTTTACACATGCCTTGACGCTGGAATCATGGCCAAGGTACCGCTACCTGCTCGAATGGACCATCGCACGCATCTACCGTCAATTCCCAGGCAAGTCTCTTCGAATCGTTAAAGAGCTTGGAGACCTGGAAGAGTACAGCCCTATTCATATCGCCAGTCTAATCAAACTGGGTCTCCTCGTTGCTCCATACGAGTCACAGGACTTTGCTGTTAAGCTCATTACTGAACTGAATGCGTACTCTGCTAGTCCCAAAGTCCAGATTCGTCACGAAGCAAATTTTGCTTTCCCGCTGGTTTTCGAATTAGCCATCACCAAGGGCTGGAAAGACGTTGTCGAGAATACTGCGTTCGCGGGGATGAATGCTTTTATCCGGCGACTGGACAAGTTTAATGCTTCTCCATGGACAATAAGAACACTGAAGGTTGACATTGAACAAGACTTTACCCTAGCAGGCATCTTCCAGGGACGGTACTTGTCAATTGAGACACCGGAACAGGAGGTCGTCACGCGCGAAGACTTCGAGGTGCTTGAGCATGAGCATCAGTCAAGCCATGCGAACCGACCTTCGGCACACATACAACTTGGACAACACACCAAAACTAGCTTCGATATCGTCGCACCACCAGCAGTAAACCTAGCTGCCTCCGAACCTGAACCAAGCGGCCAAATAACCCTCCAAACCAAAGCTGGCATCGATCTCGACAACCTCCACCCACCTAGCGGGCCACCTGCCGCCCAAAACCAACGTCCTGCATCTGTCATGCTCATAGCGTCCTTGATAGACAATCCTACCAATCTTGGTGGTCTATCCCGTATCTCAGAGTCGTTTGGCCTCGAGAGTCTCTACATTGACGACCTCAAGAAGGTCGCGCACAAGGACTTCAAAGCTACTAGTGTGCGCTCGGAGAAGCATCTGTCTATCAAGGAGTTGAAAGAGGTTGGGGTACCGGCGTTCCTGCTAGATGCAAAGAGTAAGGGATATGAGGTTGTTGGTATTGAACAGACGGATCGGAGTGGGATATTGGGGACTGAGGGTGGTGAAAGTCATGTGGTGAGTGATCATGAGGGGAATATGGAGTACATCAAGAGGGAGATTAGGAGTCAGGATATTGGTACGCTGCCGAAGAAGTGTTGTCTAGTGCTCGGTAGTGAGAAGGAAGGGATCTCAGCGGAAGTGCTTGCTGTTATTGATCGTAATGTCGAGATCAAGACTGTGGGAGTGACTAGGAGTTTGAGTAAGTGGGCATGTTTCGAAAGCCTTTGGCCTACCTCTGGACTACGTGCTAATATATCCAACAGATGTTCAAACTGCAGGTGGTATCGCACTGTACGAGTGGTGGAGAGAATGGGGCGGCAAGGCTTGACTTGCGAGTTAACATCGCGTCCACCACACACCTCTGGCTCATAGCTTCATCAGCGAAAATCCAAGCTACTCAAGAACCTCCGTCTCAAGACATCACTGACTAATTTGGTGAATACCGCAGCTTACACTAAAAGGATGAATATGTACGATTCCAAAAGCTATGTACAATGGTAAAAATATTTGGAGAGAAAGTCATCGCCCCCGCCTGTGTCTTCAAGAGCTCAGCAGGCTCATTGAAACGCAGGACCGAGCGTTAAATAACAATGCGCAGCCTGCGACGCATTCCTTACTTAATAGGCAACGGGCCAACCGTTGTCATAGCGGAGAAGGTTAATTCCCAGCTGTGCCTGGCCATCAGACTGCCTATAGTAGTGGTAGACAAGCACATCGGCATCGTTGTCCTTGAAGACAGTGTTGTGACCGGGTCCACGAATAGTGCCATGAGATGCCAAGACCACAGTACCGCCACCCGACATCATGTTGATGCCGTTGCGGTCAACGTACGGGCCCTGAACGTTAGTCGATCGGCCGACCCTGATGTTGTAGGTACTAGCAGCAGCCTGGCAGCACCTATCGAACGAGACCCAAAGATAGTAGTAGTTGCCGTTCCTCACAATGACGGGTGCCTCGATGGCACCGCCGCTTCCACGGCTAGCAATATCGACCATGCTGGTGCCTGAGCGCATGCCGGTGCTCGGGTTGATGGAAATCAACTTGAGCCCGTTTCCAAAGGAACCAAAAGACAACCACCACTTTCCGGAAGCGTCGACAATCAGGTTGGGGTCGATGGCATTGTAGGCGCTGTTCGCATTCGTTTCAATGACGACACCGAGGTTCGTCCATGAGCCTGCTGCGCCCGTGGTGCTGGTAGCCAGGAAGATGGCGGATTTGCGCGAGCCAAACGTCGAGGCAGAATAGTATAAGTAGTACTTGCCGTTGTGGTACGAGAGGTCTGGGGCCCAGAGATTCTCGTTGGTGGCGCCTGTGTATGGTTGCGTCCATGGGGCGTTGGCATTGGTAAAGGCGAGACCGGCGTCGCGCCAGACGGTGCGGTCGGAGGATGTCTTGAGGGCGATGCCGGGTGCTGTATAGGCCATGAGATATTGGCCGTTCGGTGTCTTGACTACCGTTGGGTCATGGGCAAAAGTGCTGCCTGAGACCGCACCCGGGCCGGGATAGGTCTGTCCATTGACGCTCGGAGTTATGGATAAGATGGCTAACGCGCCTCCAAGGAGGTATTTCAACGAAGAAAGCATGTCGAATAAAGAGTGGAATCGAACTGAATCTGCTGTGCGCACTGAATAGTGCAACCCACGCTTGCTTTATGGGGAGTTTACATTGCCATGTGCACACATCCGGGACTTGCGGAGGAATTAACTTTCCTCCGGTTTAAGGTTAGATTACCTACTAGAGCACTGCTTGGCTATGTCCTCCGCATCTCGTGTTCACGTCAGACTTGACCTAACCTGTCAGTACCGCCGGCTGCTATGAAACATATGGATAGACATGGTGTTCTCGGGTCGTGCGGAGAATATGACTACCGTACGTGCCAGCGAAATGGCTAGCGACACTATGTCGAGCGCCTTCCGTGTTTAATCTGGTCGAAACAAGCTACCGCACTTCTACCCCAGAAAAGCTAACAAAAAGGAAGTACCAAGTAAGCTTGTAATGGGCGAGTCTGTAAAGCGTTCGAGTGCCAATACCTCTAGTGTTGCTAAATAAGAGCCGGGTTACGCCAAGTCGGCATTGGCGGTAGAAGAGGCCAGCTGTGATTCGACACAACATGCATCGGAAAATATTTCCCCACCAGTCGTGCACAACATCCGTTTTATTTCCACACTGTTTCAAGCACATAAGCTCCAAGAATACACTTAAGAGTAGTACTGAGGTGGCACAAAGTAATCTCGCTCGGCCATCTCGGTGGCGAGATGTCGCGAAGTAGATACCGACAACTTCTCACTGATTAGCTCATCATCTTTGCTTTGTACTTTCTCATCTGCTGCCCCAGCAGCGTACTCACCAGTTCACTCAAAGACCTTCTTCCAGACCCACAAACTCCGGCTGTTGGTATAACTCTTCAAGCCTTCCATTCCCCACTCCATCCCAACACCACTTTCCTTCCACCCGCCAAACGGTACTCTGGCATCAACATCGAAATGCGAATTCACCCAGACACTCCCTGCTTCTAATCTCCTTGCCATCCTCTCTGCGCGTCCAAGGTCTTTACTCCAGACTGATGCTCCCAGTCCCGTTTTCAGCGCATTCGCCCGGTCGATAACGTCATCTTCATCGCTCCATTTGAGTAAAGGGACGATAGGGCCAAAAGGCTCTTCTTGGACGATACGAGAATCTTCAGGTGGGTTGTCGATGATGGCGGGGGGGATGAAGTAGCCGTTGGGGGACGAGGACACAGTGCCTGCTAGGGCGGTAGTCCACTGCTGCGTTGTGACTTGGTCGTACATATTCTTGACTTTGTGGAACCTGAACAGGGTAAATCCTGTGTAGCGGCAGCTGATTGAGCAAGGGAAAATGGTACTTACTGCATCTTGTTCTGTATAGGTCCCACGACAACGCCATCTTCCGTGCCAGCGCCGGTCTTGATGTTGTTCTTCGTAAACTCAACCATCTTGTCACGGAAAGAATCGTATATCTTCTCGTGAATGTAGATGCGCTTTGTCAACATGCAGATCTGGCCTGAGTTGAGGAAGCTCAGCGTTGCGATCTTCGGAAGGCATTTATCAATGTCCACATCTTCACACACAATCGCCGCATCATTACCGCCTAGCTCCAAGACATACCGCTTCAGCGTCTTCGCACACGATGCTGCAACTAGTTTCCCTGTTGCTATCGATCCTGTGAAAGCGATCTTGTTGATACCAGGGTGTTCAGTTATCCACGGACCTAGTCGGTAGTCGCCACTGAGTACCTGCACAACGCCTGGTGGGAAGACTTCCATCGCCAGCTCGCCGAGCTTGAGATCGCAATATGGTGTGTATGGCGATGGCTTCATGATGAAGGTATTTCCTGTAATCAGCGCCGGACCTAGTTTGCCCAGCCCAAGCAGAATCGGCCAGTTCCAGGGCACGATACCCGCGCATACACCGATTGGCGGATGGGTTGAGTAAATAATCTTGTCGTCATCTTCTTGCAGAATCTCGTCCTTGATCTCCATGGTGGCGAAGGCACGTAGCCATGTCAATGTCATGTCCATCTCGCTTTTTGATAGCGAAAGCGGCTTGCCTTGCTCCTTGGTAAGGAGTTGCTCCAAATCATTGCGGTGGCTTTCTATTGTGTCCGCGTATTTGAGGAGCAAGCTTGCTCGCTCAGAGAAGGGTGTTGAGCTCCATGACTTGAATGCTTTGCGGGCTGCGGTAACAGCGGCATCGAGGTCTTCCTCCCTGGCTATTGGCACTTCGTAGAGTGGCTGGCTGGTGGCCGGGTTGATGGAATGTCGCGTTTCAGGAGTTGGGACGAGCTGGTTATTGATGATATTGCCTGGGTAGATCTCTGTATCGAATTTGGGCGCCATCATCGATTATCGCAGCATAGGTTGATTGACAGACAGCAGGAGCATATTGTAATGGCATGATATGGCTCCCACTAAATACTGAGAGCTGCGTTGGAAGTGGGGGCTGACATCGTACAAACGCGGGGTACGCTGGGCGACAGGATCTGGAATCGACGTCCGCACATGCTCGGAGATCAGCCTGATTATAGGATATGCGTGTTGCTGATGAAATTGGCTTGGTGTTGAGATCTATGGTGGCTCGGACGGAACGATGATGCAAGGGGTCAACGTGTGCACGGGTCTAGACGCGGGGACGCCTCCACGCGTCGCCAACCACGCTTCAGCCCTCTTACACTCCAACCTCATCCACTTCCATCGCCAGCGCCACCCCGCAGCATCACTCATGCCTTCGCAAGGGAAGATGCATGGGGGTCCTGAGCTGAGCTTCACCGCTGTCAAGATCTTGAACAGCCCAGGCGTTGGCTGAGGCATGCTTCCCCCGCCAAGCATCGTGAAACGGCTATCAAACTCATGCTCTCCCGCACGACTTGACATTACCCCTACTTTGTTCCAAGATCGCCCAGACGAACCCAGCTGTCACTCGTCCTCTTGTACCTACAAGTTTCAATTAAGCTCTACGTTCCCCCGCTTAAGCCTCCTATCACCATACATTGAAGCTCGCACAAGCATTCAACCGCTGCAAGGTCGAACGCCAAGATGTATCTGTCACGGTTGCTGAAACTGGGCTCTCCGTATTACCCGTCCAGAACGATAGAGATATAATGGCGATATAATCCACGGTAAGTCGTCAATGAATGGAACCTGACTATCTACTCAAAATGCCTTTCATGCACTCCAAGGGTGCGACAACACTCGGCCACACTTTCAGGTGAGTACCCCTTTCACTTTCAGATTCGCCAAGCTGAACCGCTGACCAGAGGCAGAAATTTTGATCAGACAATAATTACCGTAAAAGTTGGTGGAAAGGACTACCCGGAGTCGTTCAGCTGCCATCGTGAATTACTGCGACGATGCTCGCCATACTTCAACACGTGCTTAGAGGAGAAGAGCGACTCACCGTACGAGAAATCGGGTACCACTCTTGAGCTCGACGACACCAGCCCTGACGTGTTCGATGCCTTTATGCTATGGCTATACACCGGCTTCATACCACATCATCTAATCGAAGGTGGGAAAGAGGTGCACCCGCCAACCCATGCCGTCAACGTGAACGGGGGCGACAGTGCGAGCACTACTGAACAAAACGAGAGCGACGATGTGGACACTGCCTCGTGGGGTATCGCCCTAGAGACCGACGATGCAGCGTCAGACACCTCACCCGCCAACGCTGAACCCGCAGCGAGTCCTGCACCTAGTGCGGAGAAGGTGCCTGGTGATGCTGAACCTGAAAAGGCTGCCGTAGTACCACCTCCACGAAACCCTGCCGAGAAGCCCGAGATACCAAAAGAGACACTATGCCCATGCTGCTCAAGACCATACAAGTGGAGGGGGTTGGAAGGTTTCCTAGAGCGCCGATTCATATCGCTCTACGTCTTCGCACATCGCTATGCCATCCCGAAGTTACGCCGCGCGGTACTGCTAGCATGGCAAACGAACGACGAGATCCTACAAGTAATGCCTGATCACAGCAACGTCATCGCCGCCTACGAGAGCCTACCACCAGACGCAGCGCTCTGCCGATACTTCCTCGATATGTACTCCGTGTACTGGAATCCCGACCGCGATGACGAGCGCACGATAGCCCTGCGGAGTCAGCTTCCGCAAGCTTTCTTGTTCGAGTTGGTAACAATGTTAGCGAGGGGCGAGCGACCAAAAATGGAAAAGGAGTGGTGCGAGTTCCACGAGCACGAAAGCGAGGAGGAGAAGAAGGCTTGCTTGGACGATCTGGCTAAGGATCCGGTTGCAAGCAAAGCGCTTAGACGGATTAAGGATAGTAAGGGCTGGAAAGGCTTGGTACTCAAGAAGGGAAAGAGATGATGATACGACAAACCATCTTCGCATGTCTTCTTTGGTCCGGTATGGCGTCTTGGAGTTCGATAACACCAGCTATCCTGGTTATGCAATCTAGCAACACATTTACTATTTCAAGCTCTTCGCATTCACGCACATTCAAATAATTTGTCTAGTTCGATCATGCTTTGTTCCCAAGCTACTAACTTTCGTGTTTCCCTAGCTTCATCAGCAAGCTGAAGAATGCGGGGAAGCAACACGAGGTCTCATGACTAAGTGCATCATCATCACGAGATTGTCAATTTGACCAGTCCTGCTAAATTTACTTCTCGGCCGCTTTTCACCAGTTGGCTTCTAGTGGCATTGCAGGGTCTGGCAAATCGAAGTGTGCTCACCACCTCACTCGCGACTAGCAGGCCAGAGCTTGGCATTCACGACTGTCTCGCAGTACGAGATCAAGAGGTCTTGTAAGATTACTATAGCTCAGCTTGACGTTTGGACATCGTACTGGCCGACAAATCAGGAGTAGTAGGCTCTTGAAGTTTGTATATGTGCTGTATATAGATTCTTGGTATTGATGCAGCCGCATAAGCGGAGCATGATGCTGAAGTCGAAGCCGCGCAGCTGAGATGGCAAACTTGAAGTATAAAGAAAGAATCTTTATCTGTTCACTGTTGTCTATCCGCATCACCTTTTACAGTATAACAGCAACTGCTTCTATAGTTCCTCCCAAAGCTCAACCCATCATCATGAAGGTCTTCACTATCACAGCTATTTCCTCTCTTCTCACCCTCACCGCCGCCTTGTCTCCGCCATACGAACCCATCTGCGAGACCTGCGTCTACACACCTAATGAGAACAAGTGCGACATCACTACGTCGTGCACGTATGTTTGGGGCCACGACAACCCACATACACCTGGCCCATACTACTGCGCTTGCCGCCACGGTTACCGTACGTCTCGCTCCATCCAGCGAAACCTTCAATCATTCTCTCTTTGCTATCGGCATGTAACGCTGACACATCTGAATAGGTGCGACTGGGTATGAGGCCAACAACATGGAGGTGCAGTGGCGTCTGCCATGGTATGGCACGCCGAGCGGCGATCCGAGCCAGGAGGGGAGGGTGTTTGTGAAGCCGGGTGTTGAATGTAATACACTCTGTGATGACTGGTATCTCGGAAAGGATGGGTGCAAGGCCGTGCAGGAGAAGAAGTGGTGCATGTAGGTGTTACCGCGGGTAGTCTACAGGTAGAGTTTAGGAACAAGTATGATCTATTTGGAATCACCTTCCACGAGTACGTGTCGTTGGTCCAGGAACGCCGATATTGACCTAGTAAACAGTCCAGTGCCGCCAGTAAATGCAGAGAATTGGTATGCAGTTTTCATGAATAGATGCTGAACTGCGTTCACCTCGAAATTGATTAGTGTCTTGTTGTTTTCTAATACGTCTTTGTTTGATCTGGAGCTCTATCAGTCAGGCGGATGCGTCCTACAGTCTTATACGTAAGTCGTCGTTACACTCGAGTGAATGGTTTGGCTTGTAATTGAAAATTACTTAGTAAGCTAGGAACGTGAGGGATCATATGTCAAGCTTTGCTGCAGTGAAGAATCTCAGCATATGAAATTGATATTGTCATCTTACAGTGTCTTGCGGCGATATTCGACGCCATACCAAATGTCTCAAGGCCGCTCACGGTACGTGGAGATTGTGTGACGTTTTTCAAGTTACTTTGACAAGGCAGTTGTAGCTAAGACAGTGCTCTGACATAGATGAAAAGCAGCTTGTATCTACCTGTTAATCGCAAGCACCGAAAGTGACTGGCATGCTGAAATTAGACAGAAAGAATATCTGCAGATATGAGAATGTTGCCAAAGGAAAAGGTCTGTTTCACCCTGCTGAGAGGTCCTTTGGCAGTAATGCAGGTGCGACGAGGCTGAGTCGCTAAAGCCTCCATGACGTCGAATGAGTAATGGGTAACACAAGACGCCACTCCAACGATACAATTTCAACTCATGCATTCTCTACCTGAAAAAAAAACATCTACAGCCACTAAGCCTCCGAAGGTGCGGGGTACTCAATCTTACTCTCCGGTTTTCTTTCCTCAGTGCGCACCTTGAAGCGATCGGTCTTCTCGTCCGCCCAGTGTGGACGCTGGTCGAACCCGAACTGTAGAATCTCCGGACGTTGATAATGGCCCGCTGCATCAATCCATACCTTTACAGACCCCATGTGTGAGAAGTCAATCTCGCCCTGCACCAACTTCTCCTCTCCACCGGTGTGCGGACCAGCGATGAACGAGCAGAACGGATGAATGACTGAAGACCAACCGCCACCAAGCTTGACGAGATCCTGCTTTCCAAGATTAGTCTCCATCCAGTCGAGGCACTGTTGGTCGACATAGTCAGAAACAGCGATAACAAAGACTTGGGCGGTTAAAGCATGTGTCTTCATCAGCGCTTCGATTTGCGCATTGGCGACATCCTCGAAACCGGCCATCGCCGACAAGGCTGGCCAAGCTCCAGCATGGATGTGTTGGTTCTGAGTGATGAGTGCCTGACGTGCGCCGTTCATAGTATGCTCCCAGCAGGCCAGGCCTCCGAGGTTGTAGCCCAGGGAAAGTGGCCAGTTGCGCAGTGTGCTTCCGTTGCCCTGAGCCCACACCATGCGCTCGACAAAAGTTGGTTGGAGCTTCCGATGAACGCCGAGGATAGTTCCGTCGCTATCGATGATGACCTGCGAGTTGAACAGTGTATGACCGTTTGCGATACGCTCCGAGATTCCGAGATTGATCGCTACACCGGTACGGCGACACGCATCTTGAATAGCGCTGACGTCTTCCCCGTTTGGCTCCACAACTACGCTCTCCTCAGCGTACTTGGCCAAAGCAGTAACCTGCTTGAGGGGTGGGTAGCACTCAGTCCACCACTGTGGTAACGATTAGGATCACTCTTAACCTTGACGTTAAGAGCGGGGACACGTACGGGGTAGCCGGGGATGAAGGTTTCAGGAAACACCAGGAGCTTGATGTCGTCTTTCGCCGCTTGCTCGATGAGCCGAACAGTCTTCTTGATAGTGGCCGCCTTGTCCATAAAAACAGGTGCAGCATGAGCCGCAGCCACCTTGAACTTGGTTTCTTTAGGCGCCATGTTGTTGAAATCTGATGTCGAAGATGGCAATTGGTTGAGTCAATACAAGCAAGGTGTAGAGAACGTGAAGAGGAGAGCTGGTGTGGCCCAGATTTCACGGGTTATGGTACCCACTAAGACGATCTACTACCGGAAAAGGTTGCGGCACGTCGTTATCTCCCGCGTAGTTAAGAAGGCCCGAGTGGCTTTGGTAGGCCCGATCCGGGGTTTCCTCATCCTTTCCGCACTCCCATACGAGGTACCCCACACTGTCGTTACTTGTGATAGGACGATATGCAGCAAGTACCTGGCCCGTCACACCACACGTCCCTTCGGAAGCGTTATGACCCTGAATATATGTAGTCAATGCAAACGGCGTCTCCACCTAAGCTAGCTACAAATTTTTGTAAGGACTCTTTCTCTTTGGCTGCACAACACTCACGTCCCACAGGAAACTATACCGATTGGTCTCTCAATCGTACCGACTTCGGAAAATATCCGCTGCCAAGTGCTTTCTGTGACTCGGTGCCCTACCCTGCTCGATATCGTGCTGCACTGATGCGTTCGGTGTATTGAGCATGTGTTTCGACAATCGGTGTTGAAGGCTCGAAGCCCGTTGCACAGTTTTGACATTTGTCACTCCGTCCTGTTCTACCTCAACGCAACCAGCCTGTAAACATGGCATTTGACTACTTTGCTAACCCGCCGCCTGGTATTGACTTGTCGGAGTCACGCACTGCTTCCAACAATGCTATCGGCATTGTGCTTTTTGTTCTTTCGTTCGTTTTCGTCGCGTTGCGTCTCCTCACTCGCCTGCGTCTTAAACGTGAGGTACTGGGACTGGACGACTATCTAATGTTTCTTGGGTTGGCTTTGAATGCTGGCAACTTGGCTTGCTGCATCGCAGGTAGGGTACTTGATCATGAAAATTTGCGACATCTGCTGACATCAAGATCAGGGGGCTTCTTCGGTCTCGGAAAGCACATATGGTCTTTGGGGCCGTATGAAATGCGACAAATCACAATAGTGCGTTGTTACTTCCTGTAGCACGACAGTATATCAGTGCTGACAGCGGCTAGATCACTTTCGCGTATGTGTACATCTACACATGGAGTTTGTGTGTTATCAAATTCTCAATTCTGGCTTTATATCGTCGAATTTTTGGGATGACATGGCTTGGCTGGTTTTGCGTCGTTCTCACTGCCGGTTATCTAATCACTAACCACATCGTCTTACCATTGTACACACGACCATTACACTACTATTGGAATCAGTGGTATGGTGGTGAAGGCGTGGTACTGGTGAACGAGGCAAAGGTGAGCTCTCCTCAAACCAAAATCGCCGTTCGCAACTGACGAGACTCCAGTTCTATCTTGGTATCGGTATTATCAATCTTTTTGGCGATATATGTATCCTTACGATACCTGTACAAAGCGTGCTCAAGCTGAACATGGGACGATCGCAAAAGGTCGCAGTGATCCTCACGTTTTTACTCGGCAGTTTGTAAGTCCTGGACCACAGCAAGCTTACGCAATGAAGAATCACTGACTTGTCCAGTGTCTGTTTTGCGTCTCTATACCGCATCATCACTATTGTTCACCTCGTTAATACAACAGACATTAGCTGGGCGAAGAGTGACGTATTCATCTGGTCTTCCGTAGAACCCTCGGTCGGCATCATCTCCGGTTGCCTGCCCACCCTTCGTCCGCTGCTTCTGCAAGTCACGGATGTGCTCTCTAGGAGCCTGCCATCCACGCTCAAAGGTTCGCACCACATGGAATCTCCTGCGCACTCGCTAGATCCACTCGAAACGATTTCCAAAAAACGCACGCGGAAGATAAAGGTCAATGATACGTTGGAGGGCACCACAGTCACTCAAACGGAGATTCGAACCGACAGGAAGTCATGGATGAGATCGAATAAAGACCATGAGCCATGGGGTAGATCTCGGTTAGATGAGGATGAGATAGGTCTAACAACAACCCATGTGCATGGAGAGTGTCCTAATGCAGGACGCAAGGCATCGAGCGAAGTCCGGATAAGCGAGTCGCCTCCAAATGATAGAAGAGAAAGAGGGATCACTCTGACGAGAGAGTTTGAATGGGACGAAAGAAAACAGAGTCCTGTTCCCCACAAATAGACAAGCCTTCTCGTATTGAGCGGGAAAAGCACCCTATGATCACCTCCATACCTATCATCCAAACTAAAAGTTCTGCCAACTACCGATCCTACTTTCATGGATACGAAGATTAACAATTTTCATCCACGAAAGCATTCTGTGTTGCGTTATACACTTTTCGGAGGCTTTGACAGTTTTGAAACTTCTGCGGGTTGGCATGTGACACATGGCAGCCTCGAAAAAGCCGCAGACGACTCCAATGGATGGAGCTGTGCGCTTTCGCGCAACCTGCATCAAGTCTCGCGCGTGGTAGGTAAATTCATAACTAGCTGGTTTTGAATGCGCGCATCATATTTAACATGGTTGACAGTCCATAGGATGTGATGAAGTGGACGATAACATCGACAGGAGGGAGACGCAATGGGCCCGCCAAGAACAGCAAAAAAAAGTGTTTCATAGATTAGACTATAAGAATGCTTTTCCCACGTGTTGTTTGATCGATGCTTCGTGTTTTGAGGGACTACTAGCGCTCACATAAGCACCAGGCCCACTCCCGTAGAGTAGCGCCGGCTAGGTCCCGAGGTCGTATCACTTGCAGCCATACTGCTCAGCATACCACGGTTTCCGGTTCCCAAGACCTTGATATACCGATCATCGTAGCGAAAGCTAACAGTCTTACTATAAGACCTAGTGATCAGAGATTACGTAGTCATAGGAGAATCTGACCTGATAGTCATGTCGAAGTTGATCATTAATCTCGGTTCTAGGACACATATATATACAGCATCAAAGGAGCCTCCTTTGCTCTCACTAATCTGCAACAACCTATAGTCGCACAGTTCAACCACCCAAGACCGAGCTTTACTACAAACTTTCGTTATGCAACTCTCAATATTTCTCTCTACTATATTTATAGGACTCACAATTGCAACGCCTAGCGGCACAATCGAGGAAGGACCGAACAAGGTCCTACGAGATCTTTCATCACGCGAGACTGAAGCAAGCTGCATTGTAGATGGACAATGTCGAAAGCTTACTTGTATCGCGCCATCGGACTTTGAATCTTGTAGCCCTTGCGGTGGGCTGGTAAGTTCTTCTGGTTTGCATATTCTCCTGGTCAGTGCTGACAATCCGATCTCAATAGCCGCCTTGTTAGGATGCTGTCGTGACTTGCGATGGGCAGTAAGAAAGTACATGATGATACATGCAAGAGGAGGAACTTCACCGAAAGATTTGTCGCGTTTGTCATATGTTATGTGTTCCGGCGTGCGGACTGGATATGATAGCTTCATATATCGCCGAATGGAGAGCCTGAATGAAAACTCATGCACTCTTGGCTGTTTAGTCCAACATGATTGTAGTATGGATAAATACAAGGAACAGTGCAGCTTCGATGTAACTGATCGATGATCGATGTATAGACAGACACTTGGAAGAAGATTCAGAGCGTGATTACAAATGCCCATGCGCCCTTTTATGCCTGTGAAAGTGTGGCTGTACAGTCGCAGAAGACGTAGCCTCGTTCGACGCTGAAGTGACACTCACACTGACCGATATATGCTCAGATGATAAACTGCCAGGAGTCGTAGTCTCATCGAGCATGTTGGCAACCATTCCCATCGCATTCGCAGAAGGCACCGTCGTGGCGCCCCACGGTGCCACGTACGATGTGTACGTTGGGTTGAAGCCAATCATACTCACGCAATAGTCATAGCCATATCGGATACCACTACCTGATAATGTTTTAGAACGACGATCCCGACAGTGTGCGGTATGTTATCTACGCACAGTTGTTCATCACCGCAAGGTTCCAGGCGACGAAGCGTGCATGAGCAATGCCGTTGGGCTGTTCGATGAGACCGCATGGATCGGAGAGCCCTGATAGCATGAGTACTTGAGTAGATGGTATGTCAGGATGTTGAGCTGTTTGGAGCCCACAACTTTGGCGCAACCTTCCGCGTTCCTGGTTTTGTGACCATCGGCCCTGATTTCCGCATCATTGGTTCACTCGCTGGAGAAGCGCAACTGAAAATCAATGCAATGTATGAGATGGAGATGCCTGGCCGGGACTACTCCATGCGATATCCCATCCCCGATGGTGAGGACGACAAACCCGACGAGGAGACTACGAAGAAAGATGTTTCTGGATGCGGTGTCCATGACCAATTTACTTGGGACCTGGATGCCTCGGGCAAGGTCACTGCACACATTATCCCAAAAGTGACGTTCGGCATTGTGTTTGATAGCTCTGCAATATCTAATGCTGCGGTAAGCATAAGCGTGAGAGTGACAACATTGAAAGCGTCGGACATATGAATAGCTCGATCCGGGTGTCGATTCGTATGCGCAGTTGTATGCGAATACGAAAGTTGGCAGCAATCAGCCCTTTATCTACTGCTACGGTATGGATGCTGGTGCAGAGCTCTTTGGAAACATAGAAGCGCCAACAGTTTTCAAAACCAAGTGGAGCAAACATTACTCTCTCTGGAGCGATGAAGTGAGTCACATGTAATCTTCAAAAGAAGTCTACTGACGCGATGAACAGTATGCTGTCATCCCACGATACTGCAGCGATGGGTCGGCGTAGTCGGAACAGCGAACCCTGACAAGAGGCGGTGCTAGTTGGTGGGCGCTAAGTCGTGTACTGTAATCTATTTTATCCAAGCGTGTGGCACGGGCTGTGTAGAAACGGGGTAATTCCACCAGGCTGCACTTTCACATATATACAGTCTGCCGTCTCGAACGCAGACAAGCTGCTTTCAGCCACAATAGCAATTATCTCTAACTGTGCGAAATATGCGCGCATCGTTGACAATGTCTTCTCAATTTGTCGCCCTACCGCAAAGTGTTCTTTCCGGTATCTTTGCTCAACTCTTTCACGACGATCATGCGGCGTTCCACGCGCTTCGAGTTGTGTGCCGCGCAAGCAGAAGTTCTTCTGAGGAGTTTCTATTTCGCGAGATTACGCTTGCAGGTGTGAACGACGTTGAAACAACAATCCTACAAAGAACGCGAATGCCAGGTAAGGCGACCGGCGAAAAAATAAGAAGCATTCGAGTCAGACCCGTCCGATATGATCCTGCGATTTGCGAAAAGCTCGTAAAATTATTGGTAGACTGCTGGAGTCATTTGGTGCAGCTACAGAGAATATCGTAAATCCCACGCGATCGCACCACAGCTCTAGAAAGCTGACACATCACAGGTGGGAGACTTCGTACCCCTTTCCGCCTTCATTGCAGGCACTGTTGGTAAATCGCCCTAATATGCGACTTACATACATCAACAACGATCGTGGACCTCATCCAATGGACAAGGCTGTTCTGTCGTCTTCACATCTGGACAACCTGGACTTTACTGCTCTTGCATACGGACCAGAAGCCGTTTGTCCTTCGGAGATGTCCGAGCTGAAACAGTGCCTACTCCAAGCCCGCAACTTGAAGACTCTGCGTTTGCAAGTCGGCGCCCTTTCCGGACACATGAATGACGACTACCAAGAGAGCCCACTCAATCTTCCGTTTCGGGAGGGTGATATGTTCCCGGCACTCGAGGAGTTGACCTTAGATCCAAAGCATCAGAACTACTTTTCAACTGCAGAGCATTGTCAGATGTGGTCACGTTGCATGGACTGGAGTCAGCTACATACCCTAGATTTCGGTGAAGGTACCCCTACAGCCCTTCTACAAGCATTGACAGGACGTGTCTCACAGCTCAAGACATTTAACTTCGGCTTCCGGGAGGGTTACATGGGCGCTGCGAGGGCCTGTTGGAACTCGAACCAGGACATGAAAGTTCTTGAGCGTTTTCTCAATTCAATCGATGCACTGAGAAATGTGAAGACGTGTTGTGAAGATGACGTCCACGTGCAGATGGTGCGACCTAAACTTCTAGCCAAGCATGGACAGAGCCTGCGTAGTTTGGAAGCAAAGTATTGGAGGGATGTAGCGTGGGAACCCGAGCACTTTTACAATCTAGCGGAGACAGCTCGAGGGGTAAAGGTATTGCGATTGCCAATGAGAGTGCAGAGGAAAGAGGGAACGAAGGGGTTGAGCGTATGGCCGGATGATCAGGCTACGCGCAAGACATCGGCCATCGCACGTCTGAGGAAGCTCTTCACCATATCCAGCTCGCAGAGGCATGGTGTTTCGTCGCTTGAATCCTCAACTCTGTCATCTTCGCCATGGACACCGCCGAGCGCCGCGGCTTACCGATCTATCCACTCAGCGCTGACTTCATTCCGCCACCTCACACAGCTTCAACTCAGACTGTATCTGCAGTTAGACTCAGACCAGTTGATTTCGTACCCGCATTCAGATGCATGGGGCTCACCTCAGATCAAAGAGAAGGTTGCCCACAAATTAATGCTGCGCTAATGGCATGACTTTGGTCCGAAAAGCGCGATTCAACAAATCGAAGTGGACTTCCTCGCACCGGGTGGAAGTACAAAGATATGGCACTATACCGTGTCCCGAAAATGGCAGAAGAGAAGGTCGAATGGCATATGGGAGGATAAGGTTGTAGTCGAGATGTGGCAAGAGGGGAAGGATTACGATCCGAGCACTTTCGATCCGTTTGGTTAAAGGACGTTATCATTGAGTTCCGTGATATGATCTATCCTCGCGGTGAATAGAAGGTAGAAGTTATTTTCGAACCCGTACGAACCAAGCATCTACATGGTCTTGTAACTATCTAGTGTTACAGGTTTGGCCGTGTTCACTTTGTCATGAGTTCACACCACTAGTCTGGCCCGACTAGGCTAGATCACCCGCTCGGCGAAGAAGACCAAGATCTTCCATGTTTGTATCCTAGATCTGCCTGATATCTTATAACACCCAGTATCGATTGTTCGTATCCCTCGCATCTAGCGTGTTTACATACCACTAACAAACGTGCTGATGTTGCATATAATTTTTTCTCAAATATGGTTTCGGGTTCATGCAATGTTGCATAGGGTTTTTGCACTTTCGTCGCCCATGCCTACGTTTTGCACACTGCGGCCACATATCCCCCCGATGGAGGCGCATGTCGAACCACAACCCGAAGACCAACACCGAAATCCTCTCAACTTTTCGTCCGCTGCAATCCTCAATGATGATCAGCTGTACATATAAAACAATCATTCGCCTGCGAAAAAAGAGACATCAGGATTAACGCACCTTCGGGCCTTACCTTCGATATGCAAGGCTTCAAAGACTTCGACCCCGCAAAGGATGTTGGCGACCTTTCGGGCAAGGTTATCGTGATAACCGGAGGTTTATACATCGCTCCCTAGATGTTGACAGCGCCCTAACAACCATCTCAGGCACCGCCGGTTTAGGAGAAGAAAGTGTTCGAGCATTCGCGGCGCATAACCCTTCGCACATCTATTTCACAGGCCGGAATATCATTGCAGCAAACAAATTGATCTCCGACATCAAAGTCAAATACCCAACAGCATCGTTGAGCTTCATCAAGATGGATCTCTCATCCCTTCGCGCTGTCAAGGAAACCATAGCGGAAGGGTTCAAACACGATCGCCTCGACATACTAATGAACAACGCTGGGATTATAGCCAAGCCAGCCGCTCTGAGCATCGATGGCTACGAGATCCAGTTCGCGACGAACTATCTCGGCCACGCGATGCTCACCAAACAATTATTACCCGTCCTACTCAAGACAGCCAAAGATCCCAACTCAGATGTTCGCATCATCAACACCACCTCTGCGGGTTACGAATTCCACCGCGCCATCAAAGGTGGCATTTCCTTCGAGGAGCTCGAATCTGGAAGCACGATGTCCAGGTTGGTATTAGGGGGTGGATCCGTTATGGTCAGTCTAAACTCGCGACTATTCTTTTTACGAGGGAGCTCGCACGTCGGCACCCAGAGCTGACATCTGTGGTGATCCACCCGGGGCTCGTCAAGACACCAATGAATACCGAGATGGCTGGCTTGAGCAAGTTCTTCGTGAATGTAACGTCGCGGCTTTCAGGCGAAAAGTGGCTTGAGCCGCACCAGGGTGTTCTGAACCAGCTTTGGAGCGCAGCCGGAGCGGGGAAGAGAGCATTGAAGAATGGAGCATACTACACGCCAGTGGGTGTAGATTCGACGGAAAGATTGACAGCAGAGGCTAAAAATCAAGCTCTAGCAGAGAAGTTGTGGGAATGGACCGAGAATGTGTTGCTCAAGGTCTGATAAGTGCGGCTGGGTGGTTTAGCAGTACTCTCTCCACTTACTGAGAATATACTCCTTTCCAACATCTCATCAACTCAGCTTCGTCATTACTATGGCCAATGAGACCCGTGACTGGGAACTATATACGTCATACTTTCCGTACCGCGCTGAAAGCATGTAGTTCGTAGATCGAATACTAAGCAATCTCATGACCAGATGTTGAGTATCCAGTATGTCTTCTCAAGTCAGCTCAGGACTCAGCTCATTCATGTATGAGACCTGTTCTTCAATTTACCACAAGGGAAAGTTCTACGTGGACATCTTGAGATGTTTCTTTGTTTTCCTCTTCTTTTGTTTTTCTGGTACGTGGAGTTACAGCCTTATTTTCTTTACCGAAGGCGGCAGCTGGAATACCGCATCGAAAACCAGTTGTTGGGAAAATTGTGATGCACTTCGTTGTCTGGAAGAGTGCAGGTTAGTCGCTGGACGCGCATTTAGGACAAATTCGATGATGGTGTCGCAAACCTCGCGTGGAGGCGATAACAAGTTTTCACGCACGGCACTGATGATGTGAGGACGGACGCAAAAAGAGAATGGCTGAGGCACACACAGACCCGACGAGGGACCTCCGAGACTAGTCGGAGACGCTAGACTAAATATATATATAAGCTTTGGTCGGACCCGCTCAGGCCTGTTGTTCGCAGCTGCCCGGTTCCACTTGCTCGCTTCTGCCGCGTGATGCAGAAAACTGTCAGCGCCTTCTACTTGGCGCTGCTACCTGGAAGCTTGGGATAGAATGGCGCCCTGCACGCAACATTTAATCTCGCCGCCCTTTCAAACTACCAAGTTAATATTGTCCACTCTGATTGTTTCTATTCAAGTCGTTCACCACATTGATTGATTCTGTCATCTATGTGGCTTGACATCCGCAGTGGTCAGCTATCTTCGACTCCGTCAGAAGTGGTAAACACTGTTCGCGCTTGCTAGGGTAGATGGTGAAAAATAGAAGGGGATGAGGAAGAGAGAGAGAGAGAGAGACAGAGAGGGGTAGTGAGGTCGAGTTGAAAGAAGAATCGAGGAAGTAGGAGCGGGGTTTGAGCATATATTATCGACTAAGATTAGACGTGCGGTGTAAAAAGCAACAAGACCGATTTGCCAAAGTGAACAATCACGATTAGAGTTTTGGAGATCGATGTGCAAGATTAAAGATGTAGTTTATGCTATAGAATAAACTACTGAGGTATCGCAGAGGTATATAGTCCTTCCTTTCCTTCGTGTTATGCTTTACTTTACGTTTCACAGAACCCAAACATTACTTCGTACAAGTGACTCATTCGTGTCATTACAACATGAATAAAACACTACCAGTTACTCCATCTAGTGAACGGAGGCAGTGCGGTTGTTCTTCTCGGTGTCGATGACAACAGAACCGTTCCTCTCGATCATGGCGGTGCCACCCTTCTGGAGAGAGCTCTCGACGAAGGTGTGGGTTGGGCGCCACTTGGCGGAGGTACGGGGGGTAGTCTCGGCCATCATCTGATCGACCTGCTCGAGGGAGAGACCCTTGGTCTCGGGAACCAAGAAGTAGGTGTAGACAAAAGCAATGGTGCAGAGACCTCCCCAGATGAAGAAGACGGAGGACCTCAGGTTACCCTCATCCTTGCCAACCATGTAGGGGGTGATGACGGCGATGATGGTGTTCCAGAGCCAGTTGGAGGCAGTGGAGAGGGCAACACCACGCGAACGGATGGGAAGAGGGAAGACCTCACCGATGAGGACCCAGGCACCAGGACCCCAGGTGGTAGCGAAGAAGAAGATGAAGATGGCGATGAAGGCGATCTGGGCGTTGACAGCGGAGATGTTGTTGGCGCGGGTGGAACCATCGGGGAGAGTGGAGGAGTTGTTGAATCCCTGAGTAACACCGATGATGGCAACCAAGAACTGGCAGATCAACATACCGAGGGCACCGAAGAGGAGGAGTGTGCGGCGACCGAACTTCTCCATTCCGTAGAAGGAAAGAGGAGTGGAGCAGACGTTGACCAGGGTGAAGACGAGCGAGATCAAGAAGGTGTTGCTGATGGCACCGGTCGATTGCAAGAAGGGTGTGGAGTAGTAGAAGATGAAGTTGACACCAGTCCACTGTTGCATCATCTGGAGAGAAGTACCGAGAATGGTCTTGCGGAGGTTGGAGTTGGACTGGAAGAGGGAACCCTTGAAGCAGTTCATCCATCCGGCAAGCCAGCCACCAGCGGGGATAAGTTCGCGCTCGTACTCCTCGTTGGCGATGATCTCGGCAAGCTCAAATTCGACCAGGGACCTGAGGTGGGCGGCATCGGGGCTGGTTGGGTGTACACCACGGATCTTCATTAGGGCCTTCTTGGCCTCATCGGGACGGCCGCGCTTGACAAAGTAACGAGGGGAATCGGGAAGGCAAGCAATACCAGTACCCAAGATAAGACCCCAGGCGAACTGGATACCGATGGGAATGCGGTACTCGCCAGTGTCACCACGGTCCTGAACGGCGTAGTTGACGCAGGCAGCGAGAAGGAGACCAATCGTGATGCAGAATTGGTAACCAGAGACGAGCGCACCACGAACCTTCTTGGGGCAAATCTCGGACATGTAGAGAATGACGATAGCAGACTCGAAACCGACACCAACACCGGCGATGGCACGACCAGCGACAAGGAGGTCACGTCCGCTTGCAGCCATTTGCAGGACAACACCTAAAGCGGGGATTAGCGGCTGATCAACATGGTAGTACGTGCGGGAATTTCGTACCGATGATGTAGATGAGACAACCCAGAACGATCGTCCATTTACGACCAATCATGTCTGAGAGATCACCAGCGATGAGAGCACCAAAGAAGGTACCAGCGGACAGGATCGACACAATGAGCGAGGTGTTGCTGGAGCTGATAGCGCAAACGCCACCGGGGGTGTCAAGACCCTGGGGGCAGATGGGTCCCTCGACCTCCTCGATGAAAAGAGGCGAGTTGAGCACACCGTTAACATAACCGGAATCGTAACCTATAGGATATGTGGTTAGCGGCTGAAGTCGCAAGCATTGTCGATCATCATCTTACCGAAGAAGATACCGCCGAAGGATGCGAAAGCACAAAGGAGGTAGGCCTTCCAGGTAACGGGGCACTCAGTCATGTTGACATCAGTGGTAGCTTGGATGCCCTTGGGGTTGGCGGCCTCGTCGGCCATGTCGTGGTTGCTCATGTTGAGAGATGGAGCGAAGGTGTAGGCAGGAGAAGTTGACGATGCGCTCTATCTGAAGCTGTGCAGGTAGAACTCGCAAGCGGCCTTGGACGAAGAGGTGAATCTGAACGGGGTGCGTTGAGGGTTAATAACAATGCTGGAGATTTGAGATCTAGCTGTTCTGCGCAACAAGCGTACCGCAGAAATGGCTAGGTAACATTGCGTCTCAGCTAGTCGGCGTCTGTGCTTCCCTGCTATTGGGTGCGTTAGCCCGGCAGGCCAGTGAAAGGTGTGCGCCACTGGCCATCTGGGGTATGGTCGCCCGCGTTTTGCCCTCTCCAGCTCTTTCTCCAGGCCCGACTAGCCTAGCAATTTGACAAGTGTCGGACCGGCATTTGGACCGGCTGTAATCTGCCCTTGGCGACCAGCGCACGGACTGCGCAATTTACAGTCTAGAACGCTTCCAGGTTTTCAGAGCCGCACGTGAGGGTTCCCCGACCAAGGGTTCCCACTTCACTAGACCCCACCATCGTGGCCCATGGAGTCTATTGTTGCCCATGGAGTCGGCTAACGTGCGCCTGGAGCAAGCAGAGCCTTAACTACGCTAGCCCCCGATACCAGGTCTGCGGCGCCCTATGCTCGGCTCACTCCGCCAGCGCCGCCTACGTCTACTCGAGCTCACTGCAATGCTGCTCTGACGATGCGCCGAGTGAATGGCCTGTGCTATACTTTCACCCGCCTCTTGTCCCTTCCCCAGAACAAGACCTGGTGGCGGTGAGCTAATGCAACAGTGGCCGTCATGACCATGAACTGCTGATGCTGAAGTCGTTGGTCATGGACGCCTTACGGCCAATACGAGACGATACCTCGCTGCCCGTCGGAGCTCCTAATTAAGCGCGTGTGACTCCGCGAGTCAATGCAATTACCCCAGCACCACCAACCAGCCTCCCCTTCCTGTCCCGACAGTCGAAACCTCTAGCCAGGATGCCCTTGCACACCGTTCCAGGTGCGGCTGCAGGTCATCCGACTATGGGAAACTCAAGGCCAGTCCCTTCTATACGAGAAGTAAAACGTGATAGTCGTGATGGCCGCCACCTGGATGAGGAAGCGCATGCCGAGGCTGTTCCTTCACGTTGGTCGGTGCAAATCACGCGGAGGGCTCCCCAGGCTTTGGTCCGATCCGGCCCACAGGTCTGATTGGCTCTAGAACGCGCTAGTGGCTCAGCCCGAAGAGCTTGACGTGGAAAAGAATTCTGCCCCATGTCCTCGAGTCGCAATGAGAAAATCTTCTGCGTCTCGGCTCCTGGCAAGCAAGTACATGACAAAGCTTTCTCGCCTACTCCGACAGCTGCTTTCCCGACGTTTTTCCAGCCCAGCGCATGACTCCACATGCACCTATCTTCGGTCCCACAAATGGTCCCGTGTACCCAACTTTCTCCAAACGTTTGTGCCATCTCTCCCCACATCATCTCACTCGAGCATCGCATGATGCATAACCTCTTCAGCTACAGCCTTTGGAATGTCCAATGCCTCTGCAGCTCCATGGAGACGTAGTTTGATCAGTCGAGAGTTGCAAGAGATGTTCTGCAATTGTCAGGGTACTGCAATTTATTCTTGATGAAAGACGTGTCTGCTTATCTACTTATCATCAGTATAGATTTTAGTCCTTTGCTTGTCTGCGCGCCGAGACAATGCAATGCAGCAAGGCTGGCCAATGACCGCGAGGTCGGCGGGGTAGCCTTCACAACCGCAATCCTTCAGCCTTCCTCGACTGCCTTGACAGTGTTCCTCCCGAACGACTCGCATCTACGCCGTCGAAACCATTAAATCTGTTTTCATGGCGTGGCATGACGCGACATGCGCAAAATTGGATCTTGAGTGGGAGGATAGCCAGCCAGGGTGCCGTAGATGTGTGCGCAAGGCGCCTAAGCTAGCGCCTATCCATCCGATTTCCCCTCCTGCACCCCCGCCGGATACACCACGGTCACAGCTGATATGCACATGGCCTCCAAGCTTGTTTTCCCAAGCTCCAAGTGGCCATAGCGGAGGCTCAGAGCTGTTGACTTGTCTACTGGCGAATATTGACGAATGGGCTGGTACCGCTTCTCCTCGGCCATTGCGAACAGCGCTGCAATCTGAACAGCAATCCCTGCTGCAGCAGCCACTAAGTCGAAGCGGGCCAGGTTCCTTGTTCCAGGGAATCTATTCACGTCTCACGGATGCGGACTCCATTCGTCTTCTGCGCCTTCACGGTAGCGGAGACACAAACTACCCCATTTGCGGTACCCTAGAGATTCATCGACTTCGCGATCCATGCCGACCTATCTTCGAGGCGTTTTCGTATACTTGGGCAGACTACAAGGGTGACTCCTCCCTATGCGAGACTATCTTTCTCGGCCCACAGTACGACGTACTGCCAGTCACGACGAACTGTTCGGCGGCGCTCCGGCGATTCAGAACTGTCGCCGACCGCCTCATCTGGGTCGATGCCATTTGTATCAATCAATTTGACTTGAAAGAGCGCGGACACCAGGTCTCGCTAATGAGGAACATCTATACATCTGCAGCCAGGGTCCTCACATATCTAGGCAAATTTGACCATGTGGTTGATATCTCCTTGGTATTACCACAGAATAACAATCAACTTTGTGGAGAAACTTCTCCCAGTTCCACTTTCGACTCAAGAGTAATGTTGCGAACGCCTTACTTCTCGCGCATCTGGGTGATTCAAGAACTCATGCTTAGCAAAACAGCTAGTGTAACCTTGGGCGACCATACTATGCATTTGGACGACCTTCTTTCGAACATCAATACCCTACCTTTTGCAGCGGGATCTGGGCTTCCTACAAATTGGCTTCAGCACTTCGGCCAGAAGGGAACGACAAGAGATATTTTTTCCTTGCTTGTAGCCACCAAGAACTGTCATTGTGGCGATCTGCGTGATCGTGTCTACGGCTTGATGGGGCTAGTCACCGATGACGAGGCAGAACAGCTACTCATCGACTACAACATCAGCGTACAGCAGTTGTACACAGGCTTGGCCATGCACTGGTTTGCAAGTGTAGAACGACGGTTGCGACCAACGCCTTTGGAAATCCTCAAGCTTGCTCTACTGCCTAAGACTACCCCGTTTCTGCCTTCTTGGGCTCCTGATTGGGCACCTCAACTGTATACAGACGTAATCCTAGGATGCGCACCATCGGCATCTTTCACCATCCATTTTGACACCACTCAGGTACAAAGGTCTTCAGGGTTGAATTGGCCTGGATCAATGAACCCATATCCGCTTGGATGGATGCTCGATGAACATTCTTGGCAACGGAACCAATTTGATCTTGCGAAGAGCATCTCGGCATCACTTTCCAATAGCTCCAGAACACCTGAATCGTTGTTCCCCTGGCATAAGCTAGCCAAATTGGCAGGCTGGAGTCCAGATGTTCCAATAAAGCTCTTGCCCCGAAGTGGTGCCCTAGCGATTGATGCAGTCCATATTCTTTCCACATCGATGGGTAATGTGGAACTCACTGATATACATGGAAAGTTACTACACGGTTTGCAGGTCGCCGACCTAGGAGAGCTCGGCTTGGAGAAAAGAAGCTTGCAAGATCATGATATCGAGCTGTGTTTTCTACCTAGTTGGGGAGTCGCTGTCGCATTGAAGAAGCATTCGGATACAATTTATAGCCTGCAAGGCTTATCTCGTATAGTGTCTGCACCTTCATATGGACCAATGCCACCGAGTTACGAGAGTCTGATGGATATCTACAAGCATATGGAGGTGCTTGAGTCCAAGATTGTCGAGCATTGGCTGATGGATTCTTTCTATCATGGGGTGTGCGCCGGTTCTGCCTACGCTAACACCCGTATCCGGGGTTACTGGTCACGGCATTTCCCGCTAGCATCAATTGCTTGCCAAGCCTCTGACACTGCATTCAATTTGCTTCATGGAGAAGTACATCACCGATCCATCATAGCCGCTATGATGAAAATACGTGAAGAAGTCTTGAGTTTTTTGGCTGAAAATCGGGCATCTACCGAAGTTGCCTTTAGCGATGAATCTTACAAAAAGCCTGGTAAGCGCTACACAGAGTATTTCGATGATAAGATGCTTGTCGCTCGTATCAAGAACGCTCAAGCGACCAGACAGATCGCTGTCTCCTCTGCGCAGGAAATGTGTGCGTATCTGTGGGATATCGTAGAAGGTCACCAAAACATTTGTAAACAATATAAGCCGCTCCAGCTGGCGCTGAATGATGTTCAAGGCGAAGGACCTGGACGACTTCGACCTTTCATGTGGACGGTGCTCAAGGGCCCTCCGAGCTTCTCGTTTCCGCTGCTCGTGAATGCAGAAACGCGGGATTACCTAGAGACTATTGCACGTTCGGAAGGGCAGGTACACCCAACCACCCAAGTTTCTATCGTACAGAGGGCTTTGGAATTATTATCAAACCTTACGATCAACCCAAAATCCACACTCGAACAGAACTTTAACATCTTGTGGATATACGTGTTGACGATGGAGATGGTGGCACGAATACGTGGGGTGCTACAACAGCGGCTTGTTCTGAAGGCCATCCAAGATAAGATGAGGTATGGACGGAAGATATACATTGTATAGCATGCAAGGGCTAGCTCAATTCCGCAACGCCTGAATGCAAAATGTTCATTAGACATCCCCTTTCTTCTATGCTTTGGATAAAAACAATGTACTGCTCTGGTCATTCTTACTGGGGTAGGACAACCAAATGCCAGCACGACCCACAACTGCTAGCGGCCGATGGAATTGATTTTCTTATGGAAATCAGAGAGATGTAGGTCATGTACTCACACTAGTCGAGATGGCGTGGCAAGAAGAGGCGCTATGCAGTCGACAGTCATTGAAAGACTTGCACACAGGTTCTGGAAATGATTCCATTGTCATCCAGGAATATGTACAGAGAATCGCAGCACCGCTGCAACTCTCGTAAAAGTATGTATACAAGAAAAGTGGTAGACTAAATCGTCCATCACCTTCATCTCAATGCTCTGGCATCTCCACTTCATTCATTGATCAAAAATCAAAACTCTTGCGCTTACTCCTTACGAAGGAGAGCCTCACGGAAAGCACGGCGGCCGCGCTTAGCCTTGCCACCATTGCAGTTCTCAGCGTTATGCGCAACAGCCTCGCTAGCAACAGGTGCGGAAGAAGGCGCAGAAGAGGGCGCGGATGAGGGCGCGGGCGAAGTAGTGTCCTCGGTAGGAGTCTGAGCAGGGGACTGGGCACCGCCGCTGTTGCCGCCAGTCCAGACAGCTGGGCCGGGCATAGGGTACTCCTTGTAGCCACCCCAGATGCTGAAGTTGAAAGACTCGTCATCTTGCTTGTACGCACCAGGGAACTTGACGGTGGGACCGGGGGTGCCGCTACCGCCGCCGGTAACCTTGACTTGAGCGCATCTGTCGAGTGTTAGTTTATGTCGCTATGAAATTCGTGTAGAGAAGAACTTACCCGTAGTAGAACTCAGCCTCACCACCGTGAGCACCGTGGATACCAACATGCTCCGAGCGAATCAAGTACTCGCCCTCCGGAACGTCAGTAGGGACAGTGAACTCAATCTTGTCGTTGTCCCAAGTGCACCAAGCAGTACCCAAGAAGTCCTTGCTGGGGTCGCAAACACCCGACTCGAAAATCTTGAACCACTCGCCATCACCCTCGTACTCCTTGACGGAGCTGGGCGCCTTGGACATGTAGACCATAGCAGGACCGGGGTGCTTCATGGTAGCACCGACACCGAGCTTCATGGCCATCTTGGTGCCGGCTGCGACCTCCTTTACTCCAGTACGGCCAGCGGACTCGAAAGCACCCTTGTTGCAGCGGAAGTCGTCCATATCGGGAGTCATGTCGTCGCGGGTGTTCTTCCACTTGGTGGGATTGTACTTCTCAGGGCGGGTGTTCTCGCGGATGAACTCGTAGCCCTTTGACTCCTGGCCGTCAACGACCAAGACATCGAAGAAGTAGTGGGCAGAGGCGAGCTGCGCAATGGCGGCACCGGCAAGGATGGAAAGCTTCATGTTGAATTGATGATAGTTTTTGAAATGGACTGGTAGGTAAAAGGATTGTATAGTAGGACTAGCCTGTAGAAACGAATGTAGTAGCGAAAGACTGAAAAGCGACGGAAGAAGCGAAAGACAATGTGCAGGAATGTGCTAGTGGGCTCTTCATTGTCGTCCGCTGTTGCTTCTTATGTACCTGAGCAGAGATACCTATCTCACCTTTGCGGTCAATGTCGCTAACTGTTTTTGGTGCCCAGACTCCTTCTCTCCACCCACTCCTTGCGAGCCCCTCATCATTGACGTTTGTTTTCACAAGAAAACAGTTGTTCAGCGTCTACTTCCATCGACGCATGAGGCCGAGGTCTCTTGGCGGTGGTACTATTTCCGCTCTGCCGCCCAGCTGTGGCGAAGCGAGATGAACACACGAGATGTGAGAGCTGTCACCGTGGTGTTCACTGCCGTAGTACCCGCTTCTGGGTGCTAGTTACCGCAGCAGTGGGCCTGTCACCAACAAAATGGTACGGCTGACCGTTTCAAACAGTGATCTTGGCATCGGAAGCTTGGCATTCGGAGGTGTTATTCGTTGGAGACGTGCAAGTACCAGGTTTTATGGAAGGCGTTGCCGGTGCCAAAAGTGTTCGGTGGAGTCCAGGTTCTGGTAAGTAAAGTCTAGCATATCGCCCACATCGGGATGATGGAAGGTTTCCTTTCATTAGATTTGTGTGGTATACGGGACCTCTTAGCGCTGAGGTCTCTCTGTCGACGTCTACCTCCTGGAAGGTTCCTCGGAATCTCAATGCATGAGAAGGTATGTGGATTGTTTCTCCGCCCTCTCAATGTGAAACTCACAGTGACGATAAGGATGCATGGAGGATCCTACATGCTCGAGGAATGGTGATCAGGATGCAAGCCGCAAGCCCACCCACCTGCAACCTCGGTGAGTTATGACCTACCACTTAGCGCCCATTTATCTCGTACCTGTGCTATCAGTAGGGACCTTACGCAGACTTTGCATACAAAGCGGCTAACAAACATTAATCGACTTTCGAAAGCGCGGCTCGGAAGGATATATATGATTGACGTGTGGTCATAGCAGCCTTATACAAAGCGACCACACTTAACGGAGTCAATTATTGAGCACATTCGAGTTCGTTTTCAGACTCCCCATTCCGATTTCTGGGAACGGAAGAGTCTATGCGGAATCCCAAGCCGGTGGGATCGAATCTCCTGAGTCAGTAGTGGTTCACTTCTACCTGCACTTTAGCCTAAAGACCATCATGAAGGACCTGATCCAGTGTATCCACAATGCATCGGTGTGTGGGGAAACAAGTTGTAGCGTGTTTCTGTTTCCGCCTGTGGCTTGTTTCAAACGGTGCTGCAGTCGCGAAATGCTGCCGAACGTGAATGCAGGCAGCCTTGTGATTGCTGAGATGCCCTGAAATGTGTTTCTGCCCACCTACTTTAAGAATAGTCAGGCGATCGAAAGTGCTAACGTTTATCGCTATCGTACGTTAGTCTGATGTGCCAAAAGGGCTAGAATCAGCCTCTGCAGGGCATACCGAATTAGGAGGCATGGGATTCGAGTGCAGCCGGAGTTTGCGCTACGAAAGGGTATGCGTGTTGAATCAACCCGAAAATGAGCAATCTTCATGGGACGAGCAGTGATATTTCTGTGGGACCAAAGTGTGGCAGTGCAACGTGGCTTGACACGCTCACAATCCACTCCTGTTGTTATTCCGCAGTCGGTCTTTAGGGAAATGACCGGAAGCTATTGGATTGTGGCGTAAAATCATACTGCTTACCGACACCGTAGCTGCACTAGCGCATGAGCCTAATCCAACGATATATTCCCTATGCTGGAAGGGTTGCTGCAAACCTGTTGTTCTGGTCCGAGGAGAAACGCAATGCACCAAGATGGTGTTGTGATGTTTGGTCACAAGCAACGCATCCCCCGCGTCGCCTGACCCTGTCATACGTCATCACCAACAAGCCATGTGGCTGCACTATTGTATTGATTTTCTCCTTGTCTCATATTCCCAGTTTGCTGCTGTCAAACAAATGCACAAAATTTGCTCCATCTAAAAAAAACATTAATTGTCTCGCCGAGAAGTTCAGTATCTAATTTTCCTTGCCATCTCATTCCGAAAACGAAAGCGGTCAGTCGTCATGTCAGCTACCACCGAGCAAGAGCAAGCACCGAACGCACCGACCAACAACCTCAACGTCAAGCAGCAGAACCGCATTCAAAAAAGGCGACTTGCGCGTCAAAAACTCATCACGCACTTGGCTCTCTCACGGAAGAATACGCCATACACCCCTGGCGTGGTCCAAGGATGCATGCGTCCACCACGAGGCCCAGACGGTCGCTTTCTAACACCCGAACAAATCACCGTTATGCAGATGGGGGCTCTCGAGATACAGGAAACGAAAGGGAAGCCTGCAGAATGCCCGAATGAGAAGCCAAAATTCTGAGCTCTCGGGGGCACTTTTATCTCTATCTAATACACCAAAGCATTTCCATCTCAAACTCCATGCAGCGCCCAGGAGGTTCTCAAAGCACCACCGTCTTCTCACCTGGAACCCAGATACCAAACCCAGAAGGATCATATACCCCCAGCACCTTCCCGTCTCAACTCAGATCTCACGTCCAGGAGCTCTTCCATAGCCCCGTCACCTTTTCGTCTGACGTCTCAGTTTCCACCAAGTAACACCTTCATACCACCCTTTTCCATCTCACGAAACAAACGCATCTGCCCCTCTATCTGCTTCTTCCTGCGCCCTTCCGATCGGATCATCCGCATACACAACCTTGACCTCCCACATACTCGTCGCATTCATAGCCATCAACACACCACCACCTTTACTCCCCATCTCCCACCTACCAATCTCCTTGACGTTCTCTTCGTCAAGGAGAAGAACAGTCATGATGTATTTTGCTGTTTCCCTAGCGGCTGCTCGCTCGATGAACGAGCCATGAAGCTGTGTCGTAGCTGCATAGCCTTTTGGCTTGCCCGGGGAGAACTTTGACGAAAGCGGTGCTGAAGAGGATTTCGAGGCTGATGCTGGGGCAGAAGAAGAAGAAGAAGATGATGATGATGATGATTTGGCTTTGAGCGGGATAGCAGCGTGCTCGAGGGGCCCAACGGAAAGAACCGTGTATACTGGCGCGGGAAGAATATCAAAGACTTCCTTGTTGATTTCGCGTATCATCTTCAAGACTGTGTAAGATCCCCTCTGTCCCTCGACAATAAAGACTTCAAACCCGTTGTTGAAGAAATGCTCATTTGGCTCTGTTTCGCCCCACATGTCTTCGGTCTCTTTCAGTTGTGCAAGCTTATCGATGGCTGTTGGTGAGTTGCTGACAACGGCTTCGATGCGGGGGAGGAGGTGTCTGAACGCTTTGGTGGGGCCGACAATGTCGTGCGAGTCGACGTGGGGCTTGGTGATGGAGAGGTACCAGATTGTGCTGGGCACGGCGGCGGGGACGTCGAGGATGTCGGAGGGCTTTTGCAAGGCAGTAGTAGGTGTGGTTGGTGTTGTGAAGGGGAGGACTTCGGCGTCGCCTTCGAAGAAGACTTCCTTGGACATTGCGGAATGTGGGAAGCAGTCGAGGCCTGTTGTTGTAGTCAATCGTTTCGCTGTAGGTGTTGAAGATATGTGGTCGAGTGCAGTAGCTGTGGGGTTTATATATGAGAGACTTGGGACATGTATACGGTATCAGTGGATACAGGCGTTGATGCCTGAGCGCGTTTGCTAGATGACGTTGTCGCCTCTATTGTGCGCATCCGCTCTGAGGCTGAGGCCAGAGGCGGTGGCAGTCAGGCTACAGTATCAGTCGCCGGTAGACCGCTACCAACGGCTTGAACGCCTCCACAGTGTTCTATAACACGTGATATAATCCGAAGACGTCGACGTGTAGCCGTCTGGTATTCATGTTCGAAATCGCAGAGCGCTAGGTTAGCATGTTCGATGTGACTTCAGATGATCGTACGGTTGTGCATTGGTATCTCCTAGTGAAATAAAGACAATCCGCCTCATAGAATACATGTTGGGCTTTTATACTCAGTCCCTGAACGCCAGAGCGCCATACGCATGCAGAAAGCGACCTGAACCCGTCACTTAGCCTTCCATATGACTCCCCCCCCTAATGTCTCTTCGCCCTCTTGTCCTTGCCGGGTCGTTTGCTCGCACCGCCGCTGGGCTTTCCCTTCATCCTGCGAGCTGAGAAGCCGCTTCCATCTGCACTGGACTCCGCGGTGTTGCTCTTCGCGTGACGCTTCTTGCCACCGAAACCGTACTTGGAGTCCTTCTTTGCGCGCTTGTTGAAGGCCTTGCCGTCAGCACCACGACCGCGTTTGTCCTTGGGGTCCTCAGCGGTGGCGGCGACATCGAAGAGGTCTTCCTCATTCGTAGCTGTGATATCGGCACCTTGTCGCTCTGCATATTTGTTAGCATACTGTTATTTGTGTTCCCAAATGGAGGTGGTACATACTCCTCTTGAGAGTCTGGATCTTCTCAATTGTGTCCTTCTTCTCCTTGGCGCGTTCCTGCAGCTTCGCGACCTGGACCTGCTTGCCAAACTTCTTCAAGTCTCTCTGCTTACGTGCCTCAGCAGCTGCCTTCTTGCCAGCAGCGGCATCAATTAGCTTTTGCTTGATCTTGCCCATGTGCTCATCGCTCTTAACCATCTCCGCAAAGTAGTCTGCTGGTCGAGAGAATGCCACGCCCTCCTTCTTCAACTTCTTCCGCGCATCCTTGACACCGGATAGGCATTGCTTGTAGAACGCGAGCTCACGGTTGAGGTCGTCTTCGACGTCGGCGATCTCGACAGGCTCATCCGTGGTAACGGCCTGGTACTCGGAGAAAGCAAGTTTGGAGTAAGGCAGTTGTATGCGAGTCAAGGCGGCGGTGAGGGCGGCCGTGTTGTTGATCGTGAGGCGCTGGTGGGGGATAATGTCACCCTTGTCCTCTGAGGCGACAGAGTCGAGATCAGAAAGCGCAATGTCGTCCTCATCCTCATCCTCCTCATCTTCCTCGTCATCGTCTTCAGCCTCCTCGGCCTCGGCTGCGGCATCCTCAGCCTGCAACTCTTCTTCGTCGGAGCTGATGTCACTCTCGCTGTCGTCGAGGTGAGAGAGGTCGATCGCCGGTCGCTCGGGCGCATCATCGTCGTCGTCGTCACTCGCGTCGTCATCGTCTTCCTCATCCGTCTCCCATTCAGGCTCCTTGACTGCTGGCGCAGCCTTTGCAGGCTTTGCGTCGGTCTTTTTGTCCTTCTTCGACTTTTTCGTCTTCCCATTGACCTTGACCTCTACCTCATCTAGGGGCACAGGCACGCCTCCCTCTTCAGTATCCTCCTCGCCATTCTCCTCCGCCTTCTCGGCTTGTCGCTTTTCCTTCTGCTTGTGCGCCTGCTTCTCGTGCTTGCGCTGCTTCTCGAGCTTGATGTTCCTGCCCTGGTAGTTGTCGAGCGCGGCCTTGAGCTTGCTTTTCGCCATTTTCGCTTGTTTCTAAGGTCGTTGGAAAAGGTGTTTGAATCTTTGGCGGCGCGAAAGATCAGACGTCAAAGCTTCCCAGAAAATAATTCGTAAACTGCGAACTCTGGGCGCAGAAACATTTTAGCGCGCACGCTAGCTTGACCGCCCCCGAAACGGGCAAGAAGCCGCGGCGAAGACCACGTGCTTCCGTGCGACCCCATCAACCTAGTGTTCACCTGTTCACCGTACATGTTCATGTCCTCCACAAGATACAAAACTAGATTCCACAGTCGCCTTTGAAACCGCTCGACTTGTCCACGAAGCATCAGCCACGTGCACTTGTCTCCAACTTCCTTCTAAACACATTCCGACATGGCAACGCCTCAACCGCTGGCAGATCGCGCGCAAAGCGACACCGCGGTACGTGCTACACTTACGACAATGCCCCGCTCTCCCTGACACGAAAACAGTCAGCTGTATCAACCAACCAAGAGAGTTCTGGAGAGCTCACAGCTGTTGTTGACGACCTCTTGAACCAACTCAACACCAAGTTTACCACAGTCAGCAGCGAGCTACTTGCTAAGAGTAAGCAAGGGCACATCTGTGCACAATAGACAAGATACTGATGATGGGTAGTGGACGACATGTCACGGCGACTGGACAATCTTGAAGCAACTATTCAGGCTGGAGATGGTAACAAGGGTTCAGGACCTGGAAAGTAGTGGTCACGTGAATGAAGGCACACTGTTCTGATTAAACAAGGCGGTGTAGGCTGCACGATGAAAATGATGGCGTTTGGTAATTGTCTACATAGATCGCATTGATTGCAATTTGGGTGTTGACTTTTGGTTCTATCCTACTCATCTCACCTTCTCTTCATTGTCGTGATCATGTATGTCACTCCTGCTCCATACATGTTGATATCCCTACCTCATCATATCGTATCAATAGTGCTGGTCTTATAAATGCCGTTAACCGCAATCATCAGTCCACGTACGAGCTGTCTACAACTCCTGCTTCTCCTCTGCATCATCACCGATGAACTTCCTCAGGATGTTGCTCCTGCTCATCAAGTCATCCATCTTCTCGGGCGCTAGGTTGCCCTTGCCAATGAGACCCTGCAGGCGCTTGAGCTCCTTTGCAGCGTATTCCTGGTTGGCACCGATCTTGTTGAAGACCTTGACGTAGTACTCGGCGTACTTGTCCTGAAGGGTGGCAGCGAGGCTCTTGGCCTCCTCAGCACCATCAGTCCACTTGCCATTGAACTTCTCAATGACGCTGTTGAAGGCCTCGATGGTGCCACCAGTGGCGTCAAGACCACCACCTACGGCACGGTGGGTACCGGCGTTGGCGTTGATGAAGTCGATGAAGTCCTTCTCAGCGCGGGCGCCGTTGTATGGGAGAGGCTCGGTGGAGCCCTTGGGGAAGTACTTGATGGTAGGGTAGGATGAAACGCCCTGCTCCTGAGCGAGGGCCTTGGAGTTCTCAGCTTCGGCATCAACCTTGGCGATCAAGACATTGGGTTCGGTGACGAAGTCATTGGCGAGAGTTTCCCAAACGGGGGCGAGGGTCTTGCAGTCTATTCAGGTGTTAGCTGTAATCCATCCGCAGAGCAGAGCTGGGGAAAAAACATACGTCCGCACCATGGGGCGGTGAAGGCAACGAGCACATCCTGGTCCTTTCCAACCTTCTCCTTGAAGGTCTTGTCATCCAAGTAGACGACCTGACTGGGTAGCTTGCCCTTGACCTTGGGCTTCACGGAGCTCTTCTCTGTGATGAACTTGCTCAAGCTCTCGAGGTCACGTCCTCCACTGTAATCGGTAGGCTTGTCGCTCTTTCCGTCAAACCACTTGAGGGTAGGGAAGCCCGAGACACCGAAGCGCTTGCCCAGCGACTTGTGTTGGTCCGCATCGACCTTGGCAACGCTGACCTTGTCTCCAGCGTGCTGGAAGACGGTAGCAAGCTCTTCGTAAACGGGGACGAGGTTCTTGCAGTGGCCGCACCAGGGAGCGAAGAACTCTACGAGAGCGGGCTTGCCGGACTTAAGGACGACATCGTCGAAGTTGGAGGGCGTGAGGTCGATGACGGATGATGCCGAGGCGATTGCGGGGAGCAGCGCGATAGCCGCAGGTATTAATTTGGAGAAAAGCATCTTGCAAGTTTGTGAAGCTCAAAGATGAATTGAGGCTCCAGTTGTGTGTTAAGGAGCGGTGGGAATTCTGGTGGGGAGCTAGAGCAGCACAGCGGCTATCAGGGTCCCGCGCGGTGGCGATCGCTTAGTGTGAAAGGTGTCCTCTGTTACGCGTCTGAGGGCGTTACAAATCCAACACCACAACAACTGAGAATGACGTACGTTTAACATTGGTCATGTATACTAATCACTTCATCACTTCGCTCACCACGGAATTGGTTGTCTGCGACAAGGTATTGTATGCATTATCATTCCTGGGTATCACAAATCCATCGTCCTCTCAATCTGCATGTGACGATCCTATCACCTCCTACCAATCTTCAGAAGCTAATGCAACGACATTTTCCAATTGTTGCCCCCAGTCATGCCATAGCTCCCACTAACCGTCTTCTCATCCTCTTCTTTCCTTTCTTCTTTGACCTCCGGTTTCTTCTCCACCTTTGCGTCTTTCGCCTTCCCCAACTCCGCAGCAACTTTCTCCACTGCGCCCTTCAGAGCCCTTACGTCTGCGCCTCTTATCTCTTCAATTTCTTTCCCATCCTTGAAAACCATAAAAGTTGGCATAGCTGTGACACCGTATTGTCCGGAAATTTCCCTCTGCTCGTCCACGTTGACTTTGACAAATGCGAACTTCCCTGGCGATGCATGCGCAGTGGACAGTTGGTTGTAGATGGGTGCGATCTGCTTGCAAGGTGGGCACCATGTCGCGTAAAAGTCTGCGATCATGTAGGCGTGTCCATTCAGCAGGGTGCGGAAGTGTAGCGGTGCTGAAATTTCTGTTGGCATGATTCGGATTGATACTGTCTGTAGATGTGGCGTGCTGGTAATGTATGCTGTATACGTTTGGGTGTGGTGTCTTGATATGTCGTACAGTCAACAGTTGGGCTTTTATGCTGCGGTTGTTGTAAGGATCAGACTGCACTTTTGTATTTGCTTGTCGGTGGGATGCCGCAATGTTGTAGAAGGTTCTATTTTGGTAAACTACCATGGGCTGAAGCCCGGCCATAAGGTGAATGGTCTCGCCAATCAGCATTTGTCATCAGCTTGACAGTCACGTGGCAGCGCGCTTGATGCATCTGGTAGTCGGTGATAGCAACACGATGAGCAACGAAGCTACGCATGGTTGCATACCGCATCTGGCAACTGTGCTCATTTCAACAAAACATTGATCAACGATTCGGCAGTGGAAGCTTGAACCAGACTGATCTGGCGGTCTTGTGAATATGTGGCAGCGCAATGGTGAACATGCTGGTTTTTGTAGCCGCCTGAAATCATAAGAGAGATCCGCAACGCCTCGCTATGCCATTGTGTGCAGCAAGAACCTAGCTGCACCCAAGAAGAATATACTGTCCTCCGCAGAACTCAGCCCCCACCTCTGCCAAGTATCTCTTCCCTTTCCAGTACTTCAGGCTTGAACTTGATCAAAAAGACCGTCTTCCCCGGCCACAGTCCCTTCCCATCCTTGCCTTCTTCGTCGCCTACACTATGCGCTGTTACCCCCTCGGTGGGGAAGCCTGCGCCGTCGCACCCGCCCTAAATTATGCCCGCCACAAAGGCCGCACAATTCAGACTTGACAGTTCCTTGGGCAAGCTTATGTATTGGTTGACCATAGGGTCGTTGTCGAAGAGCATGTACTGCCCGGGATCGGTACCAGACTTTTCTAACGCGTCGGCGGGGCGACCGAAGAGGTAGCGGTATAGTTGCTGTGCGATGAACTGCAGCAGAGGCAGGATACGTGTGGGTCGAATACTAGCGAGGGGGTTGGCGGTGCGGGAAAGGAGAAGGTCAAGTAGACGGAGGCCGATGGGGTAGCCTTGGGTGTTTAGTCTATATGTTTGTTAGGACACATGTGAGGCATCGCGACTCGGTTCTTTCTGCCTACCTCTGCTCCAAGTCCCCCACATCCTTTGCGCCCTTTTGCGCATATGCAATCATCTCAATGAAGAGGTATGCAAACGCCGCTCTACTAAGTTCGGCATTCTTGCTACGATTCAGGTTCCTATCGTATATGCTCTTCTTGTTCGAAGGATACCGCAGCCCAGGCCCTTGGCTTGCGTTCCCGCTCATTGCTATGTGCTGCGCTTGTGGTTGCGATTGTACGTTCGACTGTGGGCGGATCGTGGCTGCAGACGCGGACGTGGAGGCTGCCTGTACGGGGTTGACTGGTTTCGAGAGCGACGACTGGCGCGAGGGGTAGTACGCGTGGTGCAGAGGCAGGATGTTGGACATGGTTGCTATTGAACCCTGGCCGTCTTGTTTGGCGGAGTTATGTGGGTCCGAGGGTCGTGCGTCGTGCGTCAGACTTGCCGCGGGTTGAGGCTGAAGATGCCAAGGCTAGTCTTGGTGTCTTGCACCCGTGCTTCCGACATCAGCCGTCCGACGGTCAACACCTTCACAAGGCGCTTAGGATAACTGAGTTGAAAAGTCGAGGATATTCATTATGACTAGAGTTTTATATGTATCTCATCTTCACGTCACCGATAGTCGACTAGTCCGATTTTGACCACTTCCGTGCTGACACCGTTCCACCATCCATAAGGATGTCCGTTCCCGTGACGTACGAAGACTCGGCTCCAGCCAGAAAGACTGCGAGGTTTGCGATTTCATCCGGGGTACCCATACGTTGCAAAGCCGAAACACCAACCATAGTCTTTGGGCCTACACCCAGGGGTCCATCCAGTTGCGCGAGAAGTTGCGGAGTCGCAATGACTCCAGGGCTTATGCTATTCAATCGGGCTTGTTGACTGCCCCAAGCTTTTGCAGCACCTTGTACTCTCAGAATATTTGCCCGCTTGGAAACGGTGTATGCAATATTGCCATCCAAGGATTCCATGTTCAGACCTTCATGATCCAAAAGTTGCGTGAGAGGTGCGGTAGCAAGGTGACGCTCCAGACTGGGGGAAAGGGTGATGAGATGGCCGGCCATACTAGCAATGCAAACCAAGGAGGTTCCCTCGGACGCGACAGACAAGAAAGCCTCGATTATATTGGCCGTACCAATCAAGTCCACGGCATAGATCTCTTTGGCACTGGCGCTTCCAGGAGACAGGCCTGCCGTGTTGATAATTGCGTTGATACGGCCCGCAGAATGAGCAGCATGTGCAAAGGCCTCGACGGATCGGTAGTGGGCGATGTTTACTGAATGACCTTCACAGCTAACGCCTTCTTCCCGAAGCGTGGAAAGGGCATCATTCAATGTGGTTTCCTGGAAGTCGGCTAGAAGAACGTGCTTTCCGGGAGCCAGTCGCTGTGCGACTGCGAGACCCATCCCACCAGCGCCGATGACGACGACTACATTGCGAGTGGAATGAGACGATGTCATGACGGACGTGGGCTCCTCTTGTAGCTGCTGTAGGATTTCGAGGGACTGATAAGAAGAAATTGACGACTATCGGTGCGACAAATTTGATAAGCAGTATGATGTTCTGGTGCTACGGTTGACGTCCTAAATACTATTTGGTGTAACCAATCACTAGCTCAACCTACATACCGAAACCTAAACCGAGAACGAGAACGACAGGATGGGGCCAGGCTACTCACCGATGGACCAATAGCCATGTCCGCTACCCGCAAGTCGCGATCCTTACATGATGTCCCTCGAAACAGGCCCGATTTCACCAGAGTCATACACTTCTTCGCAACAGACTAGTAAGTTTCAATCTCAAGCGTATCCAACGCGTACTAATGTGTGTGGAAGCTCGCCGCTACTGGAGTCCGAGGGCCCGTGTTATGGGGCATCGGTGTCCGAGCAACCCGAAGGATAGAGATAACATATCTTCTGTCATACATAGCGCACAACTCACGGTCTCCTACTTTCTAGTCACGCTGTCTGAAGTCGAATACCTCCATATGTGATTGTATATCGACTACGATATCTAGAGCTCGAGAACAACGAATGTATTCAAATACAAGAAAGACAATGGTGTCGGTCAAACTAACAAGAGAGCATCGAGACGCTTGGTTCAAATTCAGTGAGAGTGTATAGGTTCGTATTGTGGCTGAGTCTACGATGATAGTTCCTTTCTGATAAAGTTTCTCTAGAACCAACCAGCTTGCCGAGTCTTCTACCCGTAGGCCAACTTATCTGGCTGGTTCGTTGTTGTTAGCAAAGCGGTACGAGGAGCTACTCTAACACGAGAGGGTACAGCACAAGTACTTATGGCAACAGATGCTCTAACTGTAAGGCCACTGCTAGAGCTACACACGCCATACGTCGACTAGCAACTGTCACCGCAGTGGTCAAGCTCAGAGCCACATCAGCCATATGGACTACAACCATCTGTTAACTCATCTCTTTCACAACCTCTTAGCTGAGGTGACACATCAACATGGGCCAGTGGTGTAAAAGTGAAGAAAACGAGCTTCTTTATTGTCAGAACGCAGCCCTGCACCACTACGCTATGCAACAAAAAAGGTACGTATGATCAGTGAACTACTGATCATGGTGCAGGATAGTATATATCATCAGCCAGGCCTGACATTTATAGAGCTCGAAGTTACTATATGACAAAGTTTCTTATCACAATCTAAGCTACGTACGTCGCCGCAAGCGTCGTCATCGAAGCAACCACTCTCGTCACAGGCGTCATCAACATCCACGCATCTCTTGCAGTCATAGCATTAGCTTGAGCATTGTACGTCTCGTAGGCTGTCTGACAACTGCCATCGCAATGTCCAGACGACGACCCACACCATCCATAAACCGAGCCTGAAGCACAACGATCAGCTAAATTTCTTTTCAAGTGATTGACGTGGAGATGATTGACGGAGTAAGGGATCCATAAAGCAGTCGCCAAAACCACTTCCAGGACATATGGATCCCTCACTGCTACTAATCTTGCCGAAAGATCCGTTGGGTGAAAGAAAGATAGAAAATCGCTTACCAGTCTCCGAAGCCCCTTCTTATACAACAACGCCTCTAATAAACATTTCAAAGACACAGTCTCGCTTGCAGTACTCTGTTATTCATTCTGTCTCTTTTTTAGAAGCTATTAGCTGCATCGTATTGCGTAACAAGGAGAAGAGGCCTTATGGTGGCAGATCTTACTATTGGTTTTCTCTCCAGCGCTAGATAACGGGTTTTCAAGTAGGCCTCGACAGCTGCAAGGCAATCCCTCTTACGGTATCGCGTCAGATCAGGCCACCCATGATCTTTGTAGATCTTCTGAACTTCCTCCAGCGTCTCCCGGCCATCGTTTCCGCAAGAATAATAAGCAGCCTTGACATCATCGTGGTGAAAAGGTACGAAATTGAGCGTCCTGAAATTGGCCTTGAGCATCTCAAAGAAGTCTGAAATCTCCCAGACTCCACTGCCGGCCCGCCAGTCAGCCTGGTCTTCAGAGATCAGACCATCGTCCATCCAGCCGTAAGGGTCGGGATGAACCTCTGGTATCTCGACTTTGGCTTTGCTATCGCACTCGTACCAGTAGATGACACCGAGTTCCGTATCGAGTAGGAAAGTCAGACCATGCGTTCCTTGCAACGTGAGACCCACAATGTGAGATGGTATCTTTGCTTCGTCCTCAAACGGCTCGGACACCTCATGGAAATCCACACCATCCTCATCCCCACGACATGTATGCCAGCTTACAAGATCACAATCGGGAGCGATCTGGGTGAAGCCGCTTATATAGGGTAGATGACGAAGAAGGTCGATCACCTTGTCCGTCTTGTCGAATTCCGGCCAGCCGTTCGGACTGATTGTAGGCCATCCATCTTGGGGAGGCTCTTGGATTACAGATTCGTCCGCGTACATAGCTGACAAGAATTGGAAATAGTTGCGAAAGGCCTTGACTGTCGCATCACGCGAATAAGTGATTTCGTATATAGAAGGAGATTCATGCGAATAAGTGACTTCGTTTACAGAAGGAGAAAGTATCTTTATAGAATGAGAACGCATCTTTCCTGCTGTCGTGATGAATGGCGTAGGATGACCGGAAAAAAAGAGTGCAGGATGACAATAATGGGGGAGCAAGTCAATTTTCGGTTGTAACACTAATCTTACTGAGAGATCCAAGAAAGGTTAAGATAGAATTTGCCTTCCGTGAGGCGCCTGTAGCTGCATGAGGTGTGGTTTCTACAAGGCGGTTAATGAATGCGGCACGGTGCCATGGGCCCAACAGTTTCGTGTTAGAGAGAACACACCGCCAGTATGCTCATGTATTAGGATTAGTTACCAGACCTCGGAAAGATTCAAACTTCGTCGGAGAAAACTGACATGAGTTTGCTGTATCTTTATATAGACCGTTCGCGAAGAGTGCAAGTACGTAGAAGTAGGATTGATCAATCTATGTTCCGACACTTCGCCTCAGCCTAAGAGATTTCCAGGGTTTACAAGGCGGGGCCGAAGGTCACAAGTCCGTGCAGACAACACCAAGAATTCTAACCGCCTTGCCAAGCATCCACTGTTTCTCTTCATCCGACGCTCAGACGCCAGATGGCGCTGCTTGTCATCCTGCGCATCTTTGGCTTCCTCTTCCTCATCCTTCTCCGCCACCATGTCCTTAGCATTCCTCGCTTCCTTATTGGCACCATTCAGTTGTTATGTCCTTCCTTATCTCTGGTTGCTCAAACTGACATTCTCTTACTCGATCTTCTCGAGAATCTCTTTCAACTGAGTGTTCTCGGGTTGCAAGAGTGAGACCTCGCTCTCAAGGCGGGTAAGGCGACGTATTGTATCATCCGAAAGACCAGATCCCGCGAAACTTTTGGAGGTCTTCTGATCTACGTGTTCGATGATCTTGGATTTATCCTCAGCTTTGGTGTTCCAGTCTTTGGCTTGCTGGCCTAAGGCCGCGATAGTGGCACGCAGACACGCGTCTTCATCATCCTTCGCTCTTAGCTCCCCGTCGTCTGCTTCTTCAACCCTAAGACCTCGGACAGAAGATGTGATAGGCAGTTCGTGCCTTGATGACTCGAGCGACAGCGTGTCCAGACGCAAGTCGACAAATTGACTGAAAAGTGCGTTTAGATTGAAGTTTATCTGTTGATAATTAGTTTGAGCATGCGTCTAGTAATTGGATAACATACCTTATTACACACTCTCAAGCGGGTATATTGACAGCGACAGAAACAGAAAAGCTGTCGGAATCCTACATGTCATCATGACGCCAAGAATTAGATTCTGATGATGTGAGGATCAAAAGAGAGGGAACGGCAAGGCTCGCTCGTATCCGGTTCGTGGTGAAGCTTTCGCGTGCCATAAGCGCCCTCTGACGCAGATTACAGGTGAGCGAAGCGCAACGATATTCGTCACTCTTCGTGAAAAAAGGTACTCGAGAGTATTCCGTCACGAAATCACTCATCCTTCAACTGCTCGATAACAGCCGCAAGGTCTTTGACCCGAAATGGCTTTGGAACCGCGTCATCCATTCCAGTCTCTTTCGCGCGCTTCAGCTGCTCTGGTCTCGCATTCGCAGTAACAGCGATGATGTGCAGATGCTTGCTGATAGATCCGTCATGCTGCGCGGCGCGGATCATACTCGCGCATTCAAGACCATTGACAATGGGCATCTCGATGTCCATAAGGATGACATCTATCCTGGGCGCTGATGCAGTAGCACCCTTCCAGTGTTGCGTAGTCTTGATGAAGTCGAAGGCTTCTTGCCCATTATCGGCTGTGTGAACAATATACCCATGACGTTGCAACTGCTTTTTCAGAACGCGTTGATTGATCAAGTTATCTTCAACGAGCAAGATACTGGACGGGGTCGTAGACGGCGCATCAGCAGTAGTACTCATAGCATGAGGGTGCTCTAGGGTCGTCCCTTCGGTGTTGACCGTGTCGTTGGAATGCAAGGTAGACGGGATCGAATTCGGTCGCAGAGCCCTGGATGCTCTAGTGTAGAATGCGAACGTAGAGCCGACATGTTGCTGGGAGTTGAACCCAATCTCGCCCCCTAATAAAGCTGCTAACTTTTGACTGATGGAGAGCCCCAGTCCAGAGCCGCCATATTTGCTGTGAGTCTTAGGCGAGGCTTGTGTGAATTGGGTTGCGACACGCGCTTTGGCCGCTTCATCCATTCCACATCCTGTGTCCTCTACTTTGAACCACAAAAAGATGGAGCCTGCTGATGGTTCCGTTTCGAGTGCTGATTGATCTGTTTGCACAGGCTTTTGCACTGTCTTGATGAGGCCATCGAAGATGGCGGTGGGTGGCCAACATGCTGCTCCGATGCGAACGCTGACAGCTTTTTCGCCAGGTGTATCTTTGGTGAACTTGATCGCATTGGCCACCAAGTTGAAAAGCACTTGCGTGATTCTTCCAGGGTCTGCGTCAATCCAGTCAACCCCAAGCTTGCTCAACGAAGGATCGGCAACAGCTAGAAGCTGAACTCCGGCCTGTTCAGCATCAAGCTTGAAAGTACTTTCGACCCGTCCCAGGAAGCTCTTCACCTGGAAGATGGTAGGGCAAATTTCGAGTAGATCCGAATCTAGTTTGGAGAGCAAAAGAATGTCGTCTATGATACGTGTTTGATGCACAGTGCATGACGTGATCGTTTCGACAGCATCGACCATATTGTTGTTGAGACTGCGGCAGTTGTCGGCGGCTGAGGCGCTTTCTAGATCGGACATGCTTCCACTATCACACCGATCAAGAAGAAGCTTTACTTCCGAGAGGGAGTGGGCTATCGAATCCGCGCAATGCATGACAACGTTGAGGGGATTTCGGATCTGTGATTTATCAGAACAAGCTAAGACATGCATAGCTCCAGTTACATACCTCATGGCTTACCATATCAATGAAACTGCGCACTGTCAGGAAGCGACCACGTATTTGGGATCAGCGCGTACTTACTTTTCCTGTTTTCTTTTCGCCTCCACGGCCTGTTCTAGCCTTCTAATTTGCAACGCCTCGGAGAACTTGAAGTCGCTAATATCCATTATCGTGCTTGTAATCTGAAAGTTGTCGTTGTCAACCATTTCCAGAAAGGCTGTGAACTGCACCCAAGTTTGCTGTGAGAAGTCCGAGTCTGCTATCCATAGTCGATTCAGTCTGAGATGGAAGGTCGCAGACTCTCCAGTACGTGAAATGTCGTGCAAACATTCATCGAATCGTGGAAGATCCTCGTGGAATATAACCGAGCGAACGTCGATATCAGCTGCCGGTACAGTGGAATGTGAAGTCATCTTGAACCAGGTCTTGTTGGCGAAAGAGGGCCGCATGTCTCGATCGAAGATCAAGATTCCGAGGGGAGCATTCTCAACGAGATTTCGAAGACGCAGTTCGCTGAGGTGGAGCTGCTCCAGGGCTGCTGTGCGCCTGAAGATTGCTTCATGCTCGACTTTCTTCTGTGCGTCTATGTCTGTAGCACAGCCGGTAACACCAATGACTACGGAGAGGCTGTCAAACACAGGGACACAGGCGATTTGCACCCACTTTCTCACTCCACCTGCTAGCCGAAATCGTATGGAGAGCGTTGCTGGTAGGCCAGCAAGAAGCGCTTGCCAGTTTAGTGATAGCACCGGTACGTCTTCGGCGTCACAGAGATCTACCAGCTTCGGCTGATTTTCCACGTTCAGCTCCCTAGAACAACCACTCAAATCGCAAAATCCTTCCTGTCATCATGTTAGAACGCAAACGATAACGTTGAGTAGCTGACCTTACATTGACCTGCAGTACATGTCCCGACAAGGAACATTCGAAAACACCAACACTACCCGGATCAAGTCAGCACTATCCGGTGGCATCCCATGCGACACAAACCTCGCTGCGCCCATAATCTTCAGTAGCCGCGACACGTCTCCGTCGGCCACAGTAGCCTCTTGCTGCTCAAGGGCCTTTTCCCTTCTGATGAAATCTATCTCTCTCCCAATCCCCTCGTCCTCATTCTTTTCAGCAAGATGCCTCCCTTCTTCAAGCACCCACGAGACTACTTCGTTCGAGAATTCGCGATGAAGCGTCTTTATCCATGCTTGATAGGAGCGATCGTACGGTATCCGTGGCGCCAGACCAACTATTAATACAGCGTGAACATCGGTGATCCGGTTCCACGCGCTCGGCAACAAGACAGCCTGGTGACAAGCATCGCCATGGCATCGATCCTTGGACGCCTGTCGCATTTCCAAGGGCAAAGTGCCGTCTTCAGCCTGGAGAACCACCAGCGCATGAGTATTGACACTTCTGAAAAAGCCCTGCACCCATTTTTGGTCGATGTGAGGTTCGAGTTTGCACGGAGGCGCGGCTGGGAAGGAACCAACAGTCCCAGAGAGCAAGAAACTTAGTGGGTTGACTCGATTGGTGAGAAGACTCGTTCCTTCTACTCGTTCGATAGTCGTCTCTGCGCGGTACAGGGCAGCAAAAGCTATATCCCCATTCCCATTGGATATGCCACACAAGATCGAGGGCCAAAGCGTGTCGAGGTTTGACGCAGACTCGCAAGCTCGGGATATCTCGTCCAGAGAATTCTCGCGACGGGCTAGCAATTCGTCTTTGGTGATATCGTCAGTCGTCGTGAGGAGGCTTCCAGCGGCGGGGTTGGCCCAGTCCGAGTTTCGGTCGTATCGCAGATCGGAATCGACGGCGGAATCGCTTTCTGAATTGCTGGAAAGAGAGGGGTGGGGCTGATCAATCTCTACCGCCATGACTAAATCACCAGCGTGACGACACAAAAAGATCGATCGATGGTACTGAGGGGTGCTTCGCTGGTATACATTTCAGCCACGATCCATTGCCGGTAGGCGTACTAGCGTAAACGGTTTAGGTAGCGGCGAACCAGGCCGCTGACAGCGATCTAGACCGCAAAGGCCACGCGAACTACCCTGGCTACAGTCTAGACCACAGAGACCATGAATCCATCGAAACAAGCAGCTACAAGGCAAAGTGTGACACACTGTCTGATTGGTGGATGCCAATCCGCGAATGTGTTTGCAGAAAGCATACCTGGGTGGAGCTGCTTCGCACTGCGATCAAGTTGCTGCGCGGAGCGCCACTCAAGGTGGCAAACGGAGCCTTAGATCGACCACTGAGTTTGTCAATATGATAGGAGGCCAGCCAAAACAAAGTCCAACACGAAACACGGCATGTACTGAGCATATATGCATTACTCGCTTGTCATGGTTTAATCTGCCTTCATGGTGCGCACGGCCAGATCCCTGTTGATCCTATTCTCTAACCACGAGCGGCTGGTGCATCTCATCTGTCAGATCCCAGTGCACTTCCTCGGTCGCCACTTGCCTTGCATTCTCATTTCGGTGGGAGCGACCAGAGACTCCAGCGAAAATTTACCACCATGGTCTTCCAAAGCCACGTTACTGGTTTTCGACTGGACGCAAAGCAAGTTCAGCTCCAGAACTCCCGCCGTCCGGTAGGTCTAAGCAAGTTCAGGCTAGCGCGCTCGCTTGCTGCAATGCTCCGCCCTCTTTCGTCTCCACCCAGCGTGGTCATTCCAGGGCGAGACACTTCTAAGATGTCGCTTGCTAGGAAAATCGTCACGAAAACGCTCAACTTGACAGCAACGGCTATCATTCCACGTAAGAATGTAACTCGAGGAGGACAGAATATACTTCAATCTTTTTCGGAGAGCTCAGCATCCTACGCTACATGCGATTCTTGGGACGAATCGAAGGCTGAAACGACCCAACTTGGTGCTACCATGTGTATGACACTCACACACCCCAGCAAGAGCAAAAGGGATCAGAAAACGGAAACGACGAGAGCAAAGCCCACGAGAAGACAGGCTGTCTAGTGGCTGCGTATCCAGTAGCCAACGAGCACTTCTGGGCCGTGCTAAACATGTTACACGTCTACGTCGCCAACACACCATGTTGCGAGCAGCTAGAGCCACAAAATCAAAGACAAATTGATACTTTGCACCTACAACTCGCTGTAAATCTTCCTGGTGCATCTCTCCCCAGGTTGGTGGATGGAACAACTGTCACTCAGAAGATTGCTGAGTCTAGCATCTTTGGCAACGGAGCTCGTGCTTTTGATTTGAGATTCATCTACGGAAGGTTCTGTGTTGATTCGTTGGAGATGCTAGATAGATCCGTGTAAGATGGAAAATTCAGGCTGATCGGTAGTTGGCTACGGAACTTAAAAGCTAGAGGTAAAGGTTTGTCAAGAAGAAGAGGGGAATGCGTTTTGCGTAGCGGATATTTGGGGTGGGCAAAACGTTTGGCCCGATCCCTTGTAAAGATTACCAGAATGAGGCGTCCCATTGCTTCCATATATATTCCTTGCCCTTCTTCTGTTCCACGTGCCACTTTGCACCAGTACCACACAGCTCATGCTGTGCCGGAATATGATTCGACATCAGGATGTCGAGCCAGTATAAGCTCCATGATCTCTTTTGCAATTGGTTTTTGGTAACTTCGGCGATATCGTATGAAGGCTACCATCGAGTCTCCTTGTCGAGATCCATTAGATTTGGGCTCCGGTTGGTCCAAGATTGCTCTGATTGCTGTGACGACAGCAGGTGGTGGCCTTACTTCAGGCGCAGACTGTACGGAGTACTTTATCAAGTTCAGCTCGAGCGGATCTAGGAAACTTCGCATTAAGTCTGCTGTAATCTCGATACAAGATCCGTGTCTTGTCAGAAGCTCAAAACTTCCTAGATTCTTAGCCTGTTTGACTATGTCCAATGTGATCGTGAGATGTGGCGCTCTTGCAAGAAGCAGACGAAGTATGTTTGAATCGGAACATCCTAGGCCAGAAAGCAATAACCGAATGGTCTCGATCGTAGGCTTCAAATGCGTATTGTCTGCCAGGACCCGCTTGCAGGTTTGAATTGCAGATTCTGGGTACCCGGATCCGGTCATCAATCGATCCAAATCGTTTTCAGTGGCTTCTAAGCGCTGCTCAGTGCTGAGAAGCGATTCTATCAATCGCGCGGAGGAGTATCTTTCCCGCGACAAGATTGAAGTGAGTGGAGTTTCTCCATTACTTCCTTTCGAATTGACGTCCGCACCATGCTCCAGTAGTAGCTGTATTGTTGCATCATCTCCTTTATCTGCGCATGCAGCATGCAGAGGTGTTCCATGATTCGACGAGAAGACGTTCACGTTCGCGCCGTGTTGGAGAAGTATCTTGGCCAAGCCAGCGCTGTGAGATTTACATGTTACATGCAAGGCTGATCCCAAATCGGGTGAAACGATGTCAACGTCGGCACCGTATTTGAGAAGCAATTTGAGTAATTTCTCGTCTCCCTTTTCACAAGCAACGTGCATAGGTGTTCCCTTTCTAGGAATCAACACATTGACTTCAGCACCATGCTGGAGAAGGATTTCGGCCATTTCGGAATCCTCGTTTTGACAGACCCTTTGCAAGGCCGTTCCAGTACTGGGAGGTTTGTAATTTACAAAACGTCGCCCAGCCTCGTTTCGCGTCTGGCATGTGGGGTAGAGAGGGGTTCCAATGTCATCAGATGCTGTGTTGACATCGACATGGCGCTGAAGCAGCATTGTAACTACATCCAAGCTACCACCTTCGATTCCAGCAATTAACGCAGACCCGAATGATTCGTGACGCTGGTCGATTTTGACGCCAAGATCAAGACAGACTTGGACAACTTGTAGCATTCCCAGGTAAGAGGCTAGGTGTAGAATGCCAGCTGATGCGCAAACATGGCTTTCTTCAATCTGCGCAAGCTTCAATATAGCCTCACTGGCAGCAGTGCGCGCATTACTGCATGCACATTCCTTGTTTGGCCGGCCGGGAAGCCAAGAGTACAAGAAGGAATTCGTGGCCCAAGCGTCGCAGCATAAAGTCTTGTGGGACCTGTCTGTCTTCATTTGTATAGGCATGAGGCCTGCTAGCATGGCGTAGGCTGGAGACTGATATTTCAATGGTAAGGGTTGCGGGATGACCACCATCGGCAAGAGCTCGAAGAGAATGTTGTAGCTCTGGAAGTAGGCTGCTGCCTGGAGCACCGGAGGTCTCACATCAGCCATCTCGATTGTGCTCCCAAATAGCAGCTCCATACTTCGTTGAGCACCCAGGACAGCAAGGTTTGCAAGCAGTCTATCGGAGCTCTGCATAGTTTGCACATGGAGAACAAATTTGGCATCTTCTTGCCAAGCGCGCACGTAAGTAGGGACCTCTCTACAAGCATATATGAAATCGTCCGTATGCAGCAAACGGATAAGGACATAGTCGATGATATCCTTGGGTTTCTCTCCCACGACAAGTGTCCTCAAGATGTTGATGGCTCGTCCAGCATCGTACAAGGTAGCTCCTGCGGCCAGTAGGACTTTCATTGTTTTAAGATCTCCGGCAGTGGCAGCGGCTGTCAGTGGAGACAAGAACCGACCATACTCCTCTTCCACGTCTGCCCCATATTCGATCAGCAGGGCGGCAATCTCTACGTGGCCATTTTCGCAAGCGCCCTGTAGTGCGCTAGTCATGTCTGCGAACTGAGTACGCCGTGTCTCTGTCTGCCCGGGCATCAGAGTGTTAGGTTCCGAGTATGAGAGCAACAACTTGACTAGGTCGACGCTTCCGCTGCGGCAGGCTGAAGTCAGTATTGAGCCTGTCGGGCTGTATCGCGCCAACCCCTGATCGATGGAACAGTCATAAGATTGCATCGCACCCCAGTCGAGCAAACGTTGCACAGTAGCTAGGTGTCGGCCTTCTACTGCGGTACGAAGTGGATTCCATTTCTTCCTGCCTGCGATTGAAGCAATCTCGCTGCCAGCCTCTACGAGCAGTTCAATGCAGTCCAGGTGGCCGAACCGAGCAGCAGCATGTAACGCCGTCCCAAAATAGTGTCCTACAGCCTTGAAATCAACATTACGTTCTATGAGCAATTTGATGAGCTCAATATCACCGTCCGCTGCCGCCATTTGGAGTAGGAGAGTGAATCCACTCGCGGTGGCTTGTAAGTCAAGTTGCGATTGCAGAAGGTATCGAATGACAGCTCCTGGACCGGATTCTAACACTTGATGAACAGATTCAGACTCTACGAATCCTTCTCTGATGAATACTGAAAGCGCAGCGTCTAAAAGGAAAGTTGAAGAAGAGTGGGTCGCTGATGCTTTGACTGCCTGTTCCTCAGCTTTAGTCAGAACCTTGAGAACAGTGAATGAGTCTAATTCTCTCCACGCAGCGTAAAACAATGGCGTTCTGTTGTCTTCGTCGGGCAGGTCGATTGCTGCTCCACTCTCTAATATCATACGGACCGTTTCTGCAGGACAGCAGAGAGCCGCGTGATGAAGAGCGCTTCGTCCATGGCTGTCCACGACACTGACATCTGCATTCTCGCGTAATAGTAGCTCGATCACTGCGCGTTGTTTGCTTAGAAATTTCTTTTTCTGTTCTTTGAAATCTTTTAGTTCTTTTGTCGAAACCCCATGGGTTCGGTCGTATTGCGGCGTGGCTTGAAGACAGGCCTGCAGTGCTGTCCTTGGCCAAACTTCTTGCTTGGTGACTCCGTCCCTTTGCATGGATATATAGTGGTTGTCAACGAGGCTGGAATGCAGCACGGGCTCCTCGACGATTGTATTGACATGAACCCCACGTTCGATCAGATATGATACCACCACGGCATGTCCGTTTGCACATGCCTGGTCCAGAGCCTGGGACATGAAGAGCTTAAAATCCGCGAACTGAAGCAGTCGTCTTTCCCAAGTTTTCATTGCGAAGACGTAACCTCCCTGCGCAGCCTCAATGAATCTCCGTACAAATACCGAGTCATCTTGCAAGTGCAGTGTTTGATGACAAAGATAGGAAACAAGCTCGCTGTGCTCGGTACTAGCAGCACCATGGAATACTTTCCAGTAGTCTTGCATTTGGTAGTCATGATTGCCATCGTGTTTCAAGAGGTTGTAGAGCACACGAAGAGATTCGTTTTTTTCCGCTTGAGCACAAGCCTTCTCGATCACAATTGTATCAATGGTAGGGTTATGTCGACAGAGTATTTGTAAGACCCTTTCGCTATCAGATTGGATTGTGATAGGAAGAGTGATCGCAAGTAGATTCTGCAATCCAGATTCTGCGGCCAATTGCAGCGCAAGCCCCACTGTGGCTGGTGCGTTAGCTCGACAACCTTGTAGAAGGATCCTCATGATATGACCGTTTTCAGCCGTTTCGTTCGTCTCGAGCACCTGGTAAGAGAAGGGAAAATAGTCCGACCACCGACTCCCCTTCTTGTCACTAGACACTTTACTCCACTGTGTGTCATCGAGATGACTCTTGAGTTGCCCGTCGTGGCAAACTGTCTTCAGTCTCTTCTCTTTCTTTGGAGTGAACGGAGCATAATATGAGTCTGGCGGAGGGCCGTATGCTTCCTTACACTCGAGAAGTCGCTTTATGATTTTGATATGCCCGTACCATGCTGCTCGCTCCAACGCTCGGGGAATATGTTTTCTTGGTGAATCTGATGTCATGAGAATATGGTCAACAATACCGAGTTGACCAGCCGCAGAAGCCACCTTGAGTCCAATCCCGATATTGGACGGCGAAAGTCCAATTGCGGAGCGATGGTCCAACATATTTCGGACTATAGATTCTTGGCCAGCCGCTATAGCAACGAGAAAAGCATCAGATCCAAATCGTTTGTGGTGCTCAAGATCCGTGAGTTCTGTGACGCTTTCGACTTCGACGCTGCAATGGATGGTTTTATATGCCTCTTCAAAGGTAATTTCTCGTCCTCTATTCGCGTTCGCTCGATGTGCCTGTCGATCGCGCTCGACGTGATGTGTAGAATCGAGCGCTGATAGGAGATCAACGTGTGTTGGAGGGGGACGTTTACGATAAGCGGCTGTCGCGCTCATTATCTCATCCTCATCCCAAAGGGACAGGCTTCGATAGCCGCTTCGTAGGAGCAAATCCGCGATGGCCTGCCTGCCTCCTGAAACCGCAGCACTTAGAGCATCATCAAACAAGCCCTTTTGGCCTATGGGAGCACCAGCTGCAAGGAGGGCTTCGACAACTTCGATGTGGCCACGATATGTGGCTGCCTGAAGCGCATTGCCGTAATAACCGCCAGTGTTGTTCACAGCTACACCACTTCGTATCAGCATTGTGATTATAGATAAGTGTCCTCTCATCGCGGCTGCTTGAAGGGCGTCACCAAATGGTCCATTTGCATTTACTACCGCATCTCTGTCGAGAAGCAATCTCACAGTCGTGCCATGGCCCATCAGGCTGGCTGCACGAAGTGGTGTTCCGAAGGGTCCTTCATGTTCGATGCCCAGGCCCTTGTCGAGAAAGAACTTGATAATCTCGTTCTGGCCATAGAATGCAGCTGTTGCGATAGCATCATTAGGCAGTGCTTTGTCTTGGAAGTGGTTTCGGAACCAACGAAGTTTAGTATCGTGAAAGATCTTAATCGCTCCTGTGATCACAGGCTTCTTATTCCCGCTCAACGACTTTGATGTCAGGTGCAGGTAGTTCATGAGTTCTGCGAAGCCCATACCTGCCGCAACTTCGAAAACTTGGTCGACGGTGTCTTGCGATATTGGCAAAGCATTCTTCTTCAAGAGGATGAGCGCCACGTCCTCATGACCATTACATAAAGCAGTTTGTATAGCGGAAGCTATCACTTCAGCTGTGAGCTTTTGGGATGACCGTCTGATGATGAGCTGAGCAATGTCTCCATGGCCATTGGCACACGCCGCTTGAAGTGGAGTTGTGTGACGCCCGCCTTCGATTGCGATGTCAGCGCCCAGCTTCAGTAGATCGTCTACCACACGAGTTTGACCCGCAGCCGATGCCAGGTACAGACCCGTATTATCACGCGCATTCTTCTGATTGACATCAAAAGATGGCGTTCTGGACAGGTTTTCGATAGCGAACGCAAACCCATAGATACATGCAGCGAAGAACGGAGTGGCGCTTTTGCTCCCAACAGCAACGAGATCCGGGAGGCGCGTGTGTGGCCAGGGCAGTATCTTTGCTATACTTTCAACTGTCTCGATCCAGGATGAAAAGGGCGACATAAACTCCTGATCTGAGAACATAAACTCTCTTAATAAATCTTGTAAACAATCGTTACGGTCATGTTCGCTTGCAGCATTGTAGTGGAGCGGCCAGTATATCGCTGCATACACGTCGAAATCGCGAGAAGGTTGAACACCGACACTCAGTTCGGGCAACGGGCTGTCGATGCAACTAGTAACACAAGCCAACGCGGCTGTACTATTGGCATTCATTACGCTGAATTCCGGAAGACGCGACAGGTATTCTTGAACGGAAGCATGAGCGAATCGGATCGTGTCGAGTTCATCATCAAGGATCACTAGATGAGAGCAGATTCTGAGTAAATCGGAAAGATCCAAAGAGTTCCGCGACTCGTCCCGTGTCAAAGACGCTGCAGCAAGTAGTGCTTGAGGGGACATGATCTCGTGCAGGCACATCATCAACCGGAAGATTTGTGCTGCTATTTCGTACGCCACAGAATCTGTCTTGAGAATCCCATCAAATATTGTAGCATACAGATGATTGACGGTGTGAATGGAAGCTCCAGCAGGATCTGACATCGCCTGCTTTATACTGGGTTTCAACTTCAGATCGCAAAAGTGTCTTAATTGGAGCTCCACCCATCGGAACCTGATTAGTTCATCAGTCCATGGCAAAGCATAGCCAAACTAATCTCAAGGAAAAAAAAACTCACATTCCATCCGCGCGATCGAGAAGATAAGACTCCAATTCTGATTGGAAGAGAGGGTCTACTCCACCGTCAAGGAGATGTTTGTTCTCGACTGCCATGGAGACGCAATGTCTAATGAAACTTTGCATATCAGCTTGGGTAAGGGATGCTTGTAAGCGTAGTTCCGTTGACCCTTCTAGCCACTGCGCAAGGTTTGTGTCGTCTCTGCTAGAAAGCATCATCTTCGTAACACGGCCTGAATCGTCTCGAAGCGCTATCAGCTCTTTGAGCAGAAGATGCCTGTCCGTGACGTCTATTTCGTCGATAGCATCGATGATGATGATTACCTCATCTGTTTGGAGAAGTTGGGCTATCCAGTGTGTGCACTCATGTGGCTCCAGTTTGTCCACGTCCCCCATGCCAACCTTCCCCCTGGCCTCTCGTCGCCTAAACTCTAGGTGAACCTGCTCGACGATCTCAAAAGTTTCTTCGTTTTTGACGGTGAGTTGCCTCAAAAGACTTCGCATCACGTCCTTCGCATCACATCTGCCGCCGTGTCCTTTAATGTCGCCGCAATAGTAGTACAAAACGGGTGATTGCGCATTGGTACTCTACAGTGAATCATCAATCACTGCAGAGATTAGATTGGTTTTCCCAGAGCCCAGAATACCACGAAGCCACACGAGCGATGAAGATGCACTGCTCTTCCAGTCGATATAACGGGGATCGTTCGTAAGCCATTGAGTAGTGCCGCGTAAGCGGTGCTTGGAATGACGGATATGATGCTCTCTGTATGGTGTCAATGATAGCCATGCGATGAAGTCGCGGAACGATTGTGCTTTTAGCGAAGTCATGATGTTCTCATCGATCCGCATGACGTCCGTTCGTATAAGCCGCTGGACGTGTGAGTCGCACATCTTAGCTAGTTGTCGAATTTCGGTGTCATGTTTAGCTATCTGCCGAAGTCTCTCGCCCTGGTTAGTCGAGAATGCGCCTTTTGCTGTACGGCCTGTTGTTCGTCAGAGAATGACGCTGAGGAGTCAAATGTGAGATTTACTAGGCGTGTTAGTTTTGAAATACTGTATGCTCTCTGCAAGAAAGCTCAAAATATAGACGTAGAGTCCGAGGACTTTGTTGCGGATCTGAGTATGAAGCTGGAAGTCCGAGTCCATGTACAGGTCTTCCATAGCAGCATATGTAGCAACTTTTTGAGTGACCATCTCAATCCCCTCGATCGTAGCCTCCAGATACTGCTTGTCGTTGACGGCAACTTGCAGCAAGAATCGAACAGCTGCCCAAGGTAAACTGGCGGCTCCCGAATTAAACTGTACGGCGATATCACCCACAGCTTTAAAATGGTCTACCCATCGAATAATCTTTGCAAGAACATCGCGCAATATGACCTCTTTGCCACCGATAGTCGCTTTCCATCTCTTCGCGGAGAGGGCTCTCTGTTGGGTAACCGCCTCTTTTGACACGGCATCGATCACACGACCGTTTCCTACGTTGACGGACGCGAGGCTTTTCCGTGATTTGATGTCCAGTTTCGAATTTGCAGTGTCCCAAAGCGATGGAGTAGGTTTGGTGTTGCGACCCGTGGCTGCAAGGGACGTAGTACTTGTCGCAGTGGCTCTGGTAGTAGCTGACATGATGAGACTACCAGCTATCGAGGTTGCCGATTAGGTGTGCGTCTGCGTTCTGTCCTGTCTAGGCTTCCAACATTTGCAAACAAATGGTGTATAGGACCATTCGACGTTGAAAAAGGCATGAAGCAAAGGTGGACGGTGGAGGGCGAGGTAACTACCTTCATAAGGTGGGGCGCAGCGTAAGCCTTCTACTGACACCCATGTTATCGTCCCCGTGTCCTCCACGGATAGCCGATTTTGAGATAGCAGCCCCCAAATAATGGCTGCGCAACGCTACCATGCAACATGGTTGCATTCTGGCATCACCAAAGTCCTCTAGGGCTACTGGCTATCAATAACCCTGCAATCGAGCAATATTTCTTTGCATGTTGGGCCTTGTACGAAGGTTGCTATGTTGCACCGACTAAGCCACGGAGCAGTAACACATGTTAACGTCTGTAGTAACACGTGCAGTCCTACCGATGAATATCGTTGCATGTCGCATCGTCGTAAGATCCAAAGTAATAATCAGCGAGGCGAAGAGTAAGGCAGTACGCCTGAGTACGGGGAAGGGCAGAATTACGTCACGCGCAGGTCTATGCCTATCTGGGTAAGGTCTATACACAGGACACAGCCGCGCAAGTCGCGTCAACCATCGTAATTTGTTACATCACAACCCTCCGCCTCGTTTTCAAGGTCCTTCCGCAGTCATAATCCAGTTCACCCAACCCAGGCCCTTTAATTCAGATCGAAGCGATGATCAGGCCGCGCATTTCTGCGAACATGGTGGCTGTGTACAGAACATGGGCGGCCTCAAGTAAGCAAGCGATGATTACAGCCCCAGGGAGCTTATACAACTACTCCGAGTTGACTGCTGTTGAATTCGTGTCATTTCCTCTTTACCTGGCGAAATAATGACTGTAATTACGCCTATCCCGCTTGTTCCTCGGAACCCCAGTCACTTGTGTGCCACGTGCCGCTTAGTCGCGAATCATGATACGACTCAAAAATACTACGCTAGACCCTTGAAGATTGCAGCTGTTCGGGGTTGCGTTCTCTGCAGATATCTCTACGAGGAGCTTGTTGTCCATTCTTTCGGCCGGCTCACAAAGGATGTTCATCTTGAAGTAACTCGACATGGATCGTGTTTAGGTGTAGTCGACTTCAACAACACCGTGCATCAATTCGAGATATTCTCCGAGCGTAAGCATAGACGAGACTATACTGCGTGTCCGATACTTACATACGGCAGGTCAACACCCAAGCAGCGAGACGCCCTTCAGAAGGATACATGCGCAACCTGACTCCGAGTCATGTTGGAACATGATACATACATGGCTCGACAAATGTACTTCTAATCACACATGTTGTCGTCAAGACCATGCGCCTCCGATGCCAAACATACTGCTGAACGTGAATACGCTAAGATTGGTGTATGGGTCGACTTGTGAAGGAGACACGCGTTATGCCGCACTGAGCCATTGCTGGGGTGCTGCAGGCACTCTTGCGACGACTTTGAGGGCAACAGTAGACAGTTTCAAGACAGGCTTGGACTTGCATTACCTTCCGTCAAATTTTCGAGATGCCATCTACGCGACCAGGCGGCTGGGTATTTCGCTGCTATGGGTAGACGCGCTTTGCATTGTACAGGATGATGCAAAGAGCCGCAGCCTGGACGTTAGCAACATGGGAAGCTACTATCGAAATGCGTATATCACATTGTCTATATTAAGCGCACACGACTCGTACGTCGGCTTCCTCAATCCTCGAGAGTCAGCCCCGACAACCAGCCTGGGTCAAAACCTTCATCTCCGCCGAGCGCGACCATCATGGAACCAGGTACTAGAAGAATCTCCGCTAAGCAAGCGGGCATGGGTATTGCAGGAACGGTTACTATCGAAGAGAATAGTGCATTTCGAGAAGAACGAGATATTCTGGGAATGTCTTGAGAGCTCAAGTAGAGAGGGAAGTGTAGAAGATGAGCCAGAAGTGTGTGATGAGGGCGGCTGGACTAAAGAGACCTTTAAGCGCTGCCTGAGTTTCTCCAACAAGAACGTCCTAGGCGAGCTTAGCAGACGCACCGTCCAGAACGAACTCTTCATGGTGCAATGGTATCGCATCTTGTGTCAATATTCTGGTCTGAGTCTTACCTACAGAAGCGATGTCTTCCCCGCAATCGCTGGGATTGCGGAGATATTCCGCGACATCACGAGCTTTGCGTATAAGTCTGGTTTATGGATCGAAGACGCTCATTCCGGGCTTCTTTGGCATGCTGAAGGATCATTGATGCCCGCGCGGAAGCCTTCGGCCACCTCCAATGCGCCTTCTTGGTCGTGGGCATCTCTGGACGGCCCAGTAAGTATGCTCTTCAGTCTTGGGTCGAGCAACATGCCTAGCGATCTTGCGGCACAGATCCTTGATTGTCAGCCCGATCCTCTACGAGCAAGTCTCTGCAGTGCGCACAATTACGACGACATTCTAATGATGAATGCTTTGTGTATCAACGTCACCTGCCGATCGAGCTCGAACGGAGATGCGCCATATAGCGACCCATATCTTCGCATGGTGATCGATATATTCGATGAGCGAGGTATCTGCATCGGCACAGGCTACTTAGATCGAATCTCAGAAAGCAACATCATCCAATGTAAGGCTATCGTCGTATCGCAAAGACTGGAACTTAGTCTTAGCCATGTTCCCATAACATATTTCCTGCTCGTTATGGAGTCGAGTTGCGCAGATGCCTGTCACCAACGGGTCGGTATCGGACAGACAGCAGATAGGATCTATGGCCACGTGCTCAACACATTGAATCTAAAGCCTGAGGGTAAGCAAAGGATCATCATTGTATAAATAACTATGCAATACTAGCCTTCACTCCTTCATATCGATCTTCCTCCGCTCACCGATAGCCCACCGATCGAATAGCATACCACCAAATTTTGGTCCTGTCTGAACCTCGAGCATCTCGTAAAACATTGCATATTCCCTTGGTATATTTCCTTCTTCAAGCCATGTTAGAAGCTCGAAGTCGCGTGAGCGAGGATGGACCACGTAGTTATTCTCCCGTAAACGGTACCTCAAACATACCTCCTTGAGGCCTTGCATTCCACTAAGTAGTGGCAGCAGATCTCCGTACCACGCGATAAAATCATCGCAACCGTCCCAGAAAAGAGTGATGACGAGAACGATTATTCGGATAGAGGCAAGATGCTGCGGAGGTATCGTTGATACAAAGGTGGATAGCAGCTTGTAGGAGTCGAATTTGAAGGTATTCTTAGAGTAGAGCACCGAGGCGGCCTCGCGATAGCTAGTAACGCTGTTAGCCACAGGTTTCAAAGTATTGAAGACGGAAGAGCGGCGACAAACATCTTCTTGCAAGTTCTCAACATTTTGGTGTCGCGTCCTTGCTCTGCTTGAACTTTCCAACGATCCCACGGTTGATCCTCGTTGAATCTCATGTTCAACTCTTCTTGATCACACAGCACCATCTCATATATCTGCAACCGCAGCTCCAAGGGTAGTTTAGCGAAAAGAGGACTTTGCGACTGGCCCTTTGCCTTGCTGTTCCACCATCTCTCTCCATCGACCGATGGAATGCGCTTCCTTGCCACTCGTCTGACACGCCTGCGGTGCTTCACATCAGCTAGGACTGTATATCTTTTGAGTTGTTTTTCCGATGGGCTGCGGGTTCGCTTGCGCATATAGTAGCAATCGCCAAAGAGAGGGCAGGTTATGAGCTTGCAACAGAAGCGAAGCGTGTTGTTGTTGTTCCACGTGTACGATACCGCATCTCTGGTCGACTGAAATGCCGTCATTCTAACGCCCGTATGCTATAGAATCTACCAGGTGAAAATTCCGGCTGGATATATGGAATGTGTGCGCCGTGATTCAGCCTCAGAAAAGAGGCGCAGTCGTTGTGGGTCAGACCATGAAGTGTGGAACCATAGGCAACCACTTTCCTGCGAAGGACTTTGCAGCCTTTATCTTTTTGAGATTTTAACTATTGCAGCCTAGCTCGTGGCTTTGAGGCAGGACAAGGCTGACACAATTGGTATCTCGTGGCTCTGCTCTGCCTGGATGCCTCAGGAAACACTCTAACATAACTGTCAGGGCTGGTCACGCTAAGCTTAGAGCATATAGGATAGACCTTAGCAATCACTGCATGGTAGCGATTCGTCTGAGTTGCAAAGTACCTACAACTCTCCGTTCGACAGCTACTTTACGCATGGTACCCCGTTGTAACCTAGCAATCCTCTACGATCCTAACAATAATTGGATATGTCACAGATAAGCGGAACTTTGCTCGTCGATTGAAGGCTCTATATCTCGCGAAATCCCTTCTCCAATGACACCACCGTTATGGATGGAAGTAACAACCGGCTGCATCTCCAGCTCGAAGAGACGCAAGGCTAGCAGTAAGAGCGATTCTTGACGATAAGAGGATGAAGTGTGTTAAGATAATGTGATATATATGCGCCAAAGCAAAGCGATGGCATTGCGCTTATCGTAGTAAGTAAACCCCGCATAGCTTCATGTCATAATAAGGCGGTCTGCTACCAGGAGGCTCACGCCATCTAGTCTACAAATGCTCTGCGACTATAGCATGTCTTCAGGCTTTCGCGTCGCATACCATTGATAGGCTAATTACTCTGGGAAGAATGCACTGGTTTAGGGTACCTAGTAGCTAAGAGTAGCTTAGGAAACATAGGATCTCGTCTACAAACCTACATTAGGACCTGCAAGCTCCACGAAGCTGCCCACAGTTGATAAGAAAAAGAGACCAAAGTTTCCATTCTATGAGACGAAGACGAACGCTCAAGTCACTGAATCGTAGGAGCGCAAAAAAGAGCCCAGCATCCGGGTTGCCCAACTTAGCAACCCACAATTTCCCCGCCCCCGCAGACCTAGCCTCGCCTCATTCTCCACCCGCCAACTCCACCAAACTCACTCACACGGAGCCACTAGGAGCCGGGCATACGGGAATTACGGAGACATCTCCTGATATCGCGACACCCCAAGCCCCCGCATCCGACCGCCCAAGCGGACGCGGCCCTCCTGTGCGAGCCGCTACGCCACATGACGCCTGCAGATTCGGACTGGGCAAGTAGATCCAGAGCTTGTGGATATGTACATAGCAAGCGGCACAGCTGGTTACTGTGGGTACCTCTGCATCACATGTACAATCGGCCTTGGGGCTGTGCGCAAAGCTTCCGAGAAGCGGGACCGAGGTCACCAGTAGAAAGCGGAGGTCATGTCTGCCATTGAAAGCGCATTCGTAAATACGGTAGTTGCTCGTGAGGAGTGCAACGCTTCTGCTGAGTTATGGGCTTACCAAACTGGGGGGACACAGACAGAACAAAGACTTACAGCATGCGCGCAGCACGATACTACGGGAAAGAAGATATCCGGATTGAAGATGTGGAGGAGCAAAAGTGTGGTACGGGACAAGTCAGGGTAAGTGGTTTGAGTTTCCAGGGGTTGCCCATACGATAGCTGATGATGGGTAGGTCGCTCCGGCCTTCGTAGGTATCTGCGGTACCGATCTCCATGAATACCTCGGCGGACCTAACTTCGCACCGACGACACCGCACCCGTGTACGAATGAAACCATTCCCATCACCTTGGGACATGAGTTCTCGGGGACTGTTACGGAAGTGGGATCGGATGATTCGGGCTTTACCGTGGGCCAAAACGTTGTTGTCCAGCCGACGATATATTGTGGGAAGTGCAATGCATGCACAGCTGGCTCCGAGAATGTATGCGAGAACGGCGGCTTCATCGGGCTTTCGGGAGGAGGTGGCGGCTTGAGCGACTCCGTTGTTGTGCCTGAGGGTGCGGTACTAAACTTGCCCAGTAACGTACCGCTTGATGTCGGCGCGCTGGTAGAACCTCTTGGTGTCGCATGGCATGCTGTCTCCGCTGCTCCACTGACACCAGATTCCGTCGTCATGATTCTTGGTGGTGGACCAATTGGGCTCGCAATTGTCCAATGTTTGGTGGCACTAGGCACAAAGAAGATCATCATGAGCGAGGTATCCGGCGCACGGCAGCGCTTCGCGAGAGAATTTGGCGCTCATCACGTTCTTTGCCCTAAGACGTACGATGTTGTCAAGATGAGTAAGGCTCTTAGTGGTAGGGATGGGCCGGATGTGGTTTTCGATTGCGCCGGGGTACCAGCAAGTCTCACGACCGCTTGCACAGCAGTAAGGGCTCGGGGCACGGTCGTGAATGTCGCGATCTGGGAGAAAGAGGTGCCTTTCAACCCCAACATGCTTGTGTTCCGAGAGGCGCAGTACACAGCCGTCTTGGGCTATCAAAGAAAGGACCTCGAGGCGGTTATCGAACATCTCGCTGCTGGTAAGTTGTACCCTGAGAAAAGCCCACTACACCCAGTCGCTGACATGTGCGTTTTTTAGGTACCTTGAAGCCTATGAATATGATTACGCGCAAGATTAGTCTAGAGGATCTAGTAGAAGACGGGATTAAAACCTTGATCAACGACAAGGAGAACCATGTCAAGATTCTGGTAGAAGTGGGAGGCATGAGTCGCATAGACTCTGCTATCCATTGATGCGGCAGTGTTGTAGGAATGGAAGATATTTAATAATGCTACGACTTAATCAAGATGCTTGGGCGGGGTTCTGAGCATGGTGACCATCTCGGTCCGCACGCTGCTCCGCTTGGACAGCTGCAGCTTCCAGGGTCCAAGCATGCCGTCACTTCCGCAAGACCAATCCACGTCTCTGGGCAACACCAAACATGCCACTATCGACTATCGTGACTTTGATCGAGGCACTGCTCCATGCTTTCGTACCATCGATATCTTTTGATCGCCATACTAATGATAATGATCTCGCTAACCCTAGGCTCGACGGGTCGCCGCCAAGCGTCGTATACGGTACGGTGCGGCTGATGCTCATCTGCCGTGGCCAGCCTTGGGCGCAGCCTTGGGACGTCTCTTGTCTGCAGGAGAAGCACTCTGCTTACGCTCGAGGGCTCACCGAACTCAACTTGTAGCCACCATGGTGCAATACAACCCAATGCCTTCGCCAGGGCCCTATGTCCCTCCGGGTCAGGGCACTCCAGCACAGCAGCAAGGCGCCCAGCAGCCACCAAGCTATCAGCCCAATGCAACGACTTATGGAGGACCAAATCAATCTCAGAAAGGAGTTGCCGGATTCGGCCAGATGATGAATCAGCGGCTAGAGCAGGCGGTCACGACAGGCAAGCCAATGTTGAACAAGCTGGGCAAGACTATAAGCTCAAAGCTAGGAAACAAGCCTCCAGGAGGCCCACCCCAGCATCTCCAAAGCTACCATAACTACCAGAGCCATTACGGACAGCAGAACCAGACCCAATCGTACCAGCAACCTCAGGTTCAAGCCTTCAGTCCCCAGTCGCAGTCGCAGCAATGGGGCCAACAGCAGCATCAACCCCCATCTCAAACGCCGACCGCCTACCCCTCCTCGCAGCAGTCTCCACACCAGCAGTTCAACAACCAGACGCCCGTGTCAGGTCACTCGGCACAGAACAATTACTTCCCACAACAGACGAGTCAAGCGCCCAACTACCAATCTTACGCGCCGCAATCGCCGCTCGCTGGCACTACACAAACAGCATGGCAATATGGTCCGGAGCAGACGCAGGCACAAGGACAAAGCGGGCAGGGGCAGGCTCCGTCAGGTCAGCCTCAGGCACATGGGCACAGCCAATATGTTGGACAGCAGATGGGCGTAGCTGGAGGCTCGTATGTCACTCAACATACACCACCTCCTCATACCTCGAGCATGTCTCCGGCTTTACCTGCTCAGCATATGCAGCCACAGTGGCAACAGCCGGGTAGCACACAGCTGCCCCCGGCAAGTACCGAGCAGCAATCGGGCATTCTCCCGCCTCCCTCACAACAGAACGTTCCCGCGAGTCCACCGGTTCATACAACGTATCAGCACCAATGGAATAGCCCGTCTCCAGTTGGCTCACAAGGACAGGGACAGTCGCAGCCACTGCCTCATTCTATCAGTCCTCCACCTACGCATCAGACGATTGCATCACCTCAAGTGCCGCCAAACAAGCCTGTCCAGTCAAGCGATGCAGCACTGCACTCGACGCCAACAGAGTTTATCGCAGAGCTTCCTGCGGAGCTCCCGGCAGATGTTGGAAGCTTGAGTCTTGGAGAGTCGAAGTCGCAAGAGGCTATTTCTGGTTCGCAATACCAAGCCTTTCGTCCACCCGTGTCGCAGAGTGGATCGCCCTCTCCTGGGTTTACAATTCCTCGTCGATCTCTTAGTGCCAGTACAGTACCAGTTGCCGACCCATGGAGGTTTGTGGATCCGGCAACAGAAGTTCCAACACGCGAATTCTATATCCTGGCAGACTTGCTTTTCGATGCTTTGGATCGGAAGTTTGAGCCTAGAAACACGGGCCTCTTGGAAGCACCAAAGATCATCGGAAGCTGGGTAAAATTAACAGAAGACGCGTGTCGTGAGTGTTACAGTTGTCGAAACATGATACAGTGCTGACGTGAAGTCAGGTCTTTTTTCATATAGGTCCTACAGCGCGTTTGCAAAGTTGTGGAGTCTTGAAGGGATCCCACACATGATGGTGCCCTGCCAACCTGACTTGGCACCAAACTGGAACTTCAACCAGCACTCGCATGCGCAAGACGTAAAAGTAAAAGGTCAAGTGCCGACAGCCACGACGGCCTACACGACGTACATGCCAGCTCTAAATCGGGCGGGATGGTACAAGTTCTTCTTCCTTGAAGTGACGCATGCACCAGAAGACATCGATGATCTAATACCAGCACTATGCGCAGATACTTACAAGCCGGGGATGCTGAACCAACCCGACCTGGACAAGCGGGACAAGACAGACGTCCCTGCGCTACGGGCTAGAGCTGCGGAGATACAGACGTATGCGATTGGGCGTGTTTGTGAGGAGACCAAGGTCGCGATGGCGGTCGACCCAGATGTCCCTCTGGCGCACACGCACCCGACTGCGACAGCTTGGGGAGGCGCGCAGACGTCAGCAGAAGACATGACCGACATGGCTGTCCGTATGCACAAGATCCAGTCGGAGCGGCAGCAGAACGACATGGCGGCTTGGACGATGCTGGGGATGCAGCCGAAGGGCTATCCGGGCGGTGGTTATGGTAGTCTAGTGTAGAGCGGGCAATCGATAATGTTCAATGCGAGTGGTGTTGCCGCTATCCGTAACCGCGACAGCTACCATGGTGCGACGGGATTGAAAGCCGGTTTGGTTGTTTGCCCAGGTCTTGTCCTTGCAGTGCCCAGATTGGTTGCAGCTTAGTGGCCAGTTGTTGACAGGCGCAAGTTCCAACGTCGGCGGCGGGTTCCTGCACTGGCGCCGACAACGGACATAGCTCGTACAAGGCTATGGAAAACACAACAACGCGTGGTGTAGTTAGTGCGGCCTCGTATTTTTCCCCAGGGGTTCCATCTGCGTCATCCCTATCAATCGCATGTTTCATCTCGGCAAAGCGATTATGATCTCAACGATAAACATGCAATCTACGCAGGGACCCCAAACAGCCTGTCCGCGCGTTGGGCCTTTCCCGATGCGGCCGTCGATCTGCAGGTACAGCTTGCTTTTGCGTCTCCGGCCTTGCTTTGTGAGGAAGCCGCGTCGTGGGTTGCACCAACAAATAAGTCCAGGCTGGGGCTCGCGTCCAGCCTCTTATCTTCTCGACTCCCACCGCCGCTCTTCTTAACTCATCCTTTACGACTTTACGAGCACTGCACTGTTACGAGTAATACTCACGAGTAATACGATACCATAGCCTGTTATACCTTGTCAGAGATCCTCGGAACTTCACGATGCGCGCTTCCACCATCATCGCTCCGCTTTTCTTCGCGTCCACAAGCCTCGCCCAGGCTGTCGAGGAGGGCATTGCGCCCGATGCTCCTGCCCCCGAGGGCTGCCTGACTACCGTCGAGACGCCCTTCCGGATTGGCACACTCGAGAACCCCGACCTGAGTAAGCGCGAAACCGCTCAAGAAGTACGTTACCCTCCTAGCAAGCGGCCAATGCACAGCATACTGACGTAGCACCCCCAGGCATCAGATGGAGACCTCCTCTGCACCCTCGAGGACGGCATCCTGCACGACCAATACGGCCGCACCGGCTCCATTGTCGCAAACCAACAATTCCAGTTCGACGGCCCACCCCAAGCCGGTGCCATCTACACAGGCGGCTTCTCAGTCTGCGGCAACGACTCGCTTGCCATTGGCGGCAGCACGCGCTGGTGGCGCTGCATGAGCGGTGCCTTTGGCAACCTGTACGACCAGTCCATCGGCGCCCAATGCCACGAGATCCGTATTCAGGCCATCTACGATGAATCCGCGTCGGCGAGCAGCAGTCGCAGCAGCAGCGAGGCCATGGCAAGCAGCACCATGAGCAGTGCCCTGTCTGGATCCACTAGCATCATCTCCGCCAGCGAGACGAGCGGCCTGACGAGCGAAAGCAGGACCATGACTGGAAGTGGCTTCTCGACTGCTACTCCCTTCTCCAACAGCGCGACTGCGACTGGCTCCGACAGTGCGGATGCCACTTCTACCGGTGATGCGGCTGCTCCTCCTGCTGAGGGAGCCGCTTCGTCCGTGTCCATGGCTCCTTTTGCCATGTTTGGCGCGTCCATGGTCTTCCTCGGCGCTGCTTTGGTGCTTTAGAGCGTAGCATTATACCATTGAGCTTCTTCGGAGCTTGTTCATCACTCGCACATTGCATGCTGGGCGGCGCTTGGCCCCCTTGTTTATACCTACTTGCATGGTATTGCATCTTTTTGTACTACCCGTTTCGACTTGCATTAGCGAGCATATGATGCCATGGCGCACACACACAACCGGCGCATGTTGTCGCCGTTATTTTGGATAGCTGGCCAGCGCCATGATTGGTGGTAGCATTGGCGCATTTTGGATTGGGAGTTTTTTTTCCTACGGCTTTGACGAAAGAGCATGGTATTCCGAGATACACATGGTTACGCAGTCGGTATACGGAGCTTAGATTAGAATCTAAGCCTTAATCATAATACTTTACACACATTGGTTGTTGGCCTGATATTCGAGAGACTGTGTAGTGAATGGGTGTACGTTCTTTTGGGTTTCAAGCTAGCATGGTACGTGACTTCCAACTCGCAACTGCTGTTGATGTAGTTGGAGGATGTCCTGACTCTGTGTTGCTCGATGCAACGAGGAAAAGGTGAGAAATATGATTAAAGATGTACATCCAGGCAAAGAGAGTCTGACAAAATAGGTCGAGAACACACGACCAGCGCGCACTGAGACTCATCATGTAATCAAAAGTCACTGCCCAACTCATCAAACCCGTCCTCGGGCGCAGCCATGGCCTCGCAACTCGTCTCCAACAAAGCCCGAACCTTTTCCATAACCTCGCTCTGTTGCTTCCATCTCGCAACTTGACACTCGATCCGCACTCTCAGCTCATCAGACCAAGCAACAGGATTCCCAGGCACGTTTTTGGCATTGCTAATCATGGACGGCAGGAGCATAGTAGTCTGGAAGCCAGGCATGGACATGTATGATTTGAACTCGGTGTAGGTGGCGTCGAGGGAGCGGAGTTCAGATTCGAGAGATTGGTAGGTGGCGTGCAAGGATTGGAGGTAGGTGAGTTGGGAGGGGGATAGGGAGGCTGTGCGGCGGAGGAGGAGGAGCGTGCGGATTGCGTCTTCTTCGATTTGGGAGAGGCGGGATGTGTGGCGGTCGGCTGGGGTGTTGAAGAGAGGCGTGAGGAAGCGGAAGGCCCAGCGGATGGTGTTGTCTTCTTGGGCGGAGGTTAGGGAGGCGAGGAGACGTGCGCGACGGATGGCGCGGAGGCAGTCTTCGTGGTGGGAAAATGTGAAGGGGGAGTCACGTTTCTATCAAGTCGTTAGTTGGGGGATCGGTACATAGAGAGATGTGTGGGGGGAAAACAAACTTGTTCCATTAGTACCCGTAGTGCTCGTTCTGTCTTGAGGAACCGGACGAGCATGTCTTTCCATGCTACTCGAACAAGGCCCGTCCGTAGGTCCACATTGAAGTCGAAATGTAAGCGGTCTTTGTCGAGAGGGAAGTCGAGGTCTAGGACAGCGTGATCCAGTCGGATACACCAGCGCAGTTGACCGAATTGTTCTTCTTCCCGTAGCAATGCCAGTCGGCCAAGCACGCCATACCACCGTGGCTCGACGTCGTTGATCGTGTCTCCCGGCCTTGTCTCTAGGCCACACATGGTTCTGAAAGCGCGATACCATTCCTCTTTAATCTTGAAGACGGCATGTTTATTGCTCCAAATGGGTCTCTTGTCTTCCAGACACTTTGTGTCCTCTTCAATTCTTAAAAACCCCGCTTCAAGCAAATGCACAGCTTCGTGTTCCTCCTCATCCAGATCTTCCATGAACGGGCCGTGTCTTGGCCCCGTATATCCCACCAGCTGCGTCCTCTGCAGACAGTGGTACAGAACACGGCCGTCGAGCGCATCGCGAAACCCACGACACACTAGCCGCCAATCGAGGATATGATCGACAGGAACGTGTTCGAGAATCTGGAGTAGCAGTTCTGCGGGGAGGTGCGCTAGCGTTGGGTTGCCATTGGAAGAGCAGGGCGGCGCTTGGCTCGAGTCGATCGAGGAGATGAGGGCGGCGACATCGTCTTGTGTGAAGCCTAGCTGGATGTGGCGCCTCAGATACGGGGGCAGGGCATCGTCACTATGGCTGCGAGGTGTCGAGCGTGGCGCATAAGGTAGCTTAACGGGCGCGCTAACGCGCCCGGGTGACTGCGACATTGACTTGGGTGGAGATGCGGGGATGGGGATGGTTAGGGGATGGTGTGCGTTTTAGTCTTGGCCGTACGCGCGCACGTGTTTCGTGTGACACGAGTGAACTATTGCTCTGTTACACGACATGTGTGTTGATCAGGATAAGAATTTAACTACAACCGAGAGCAGGTTGCGCGAGGGTGCGATTCGGGGGTATAGGGGCTGTAGCGGAACTGTGCCACGCTCTCATTATGACCAGACAGTCGGGCGACTCCATCACATCCTCACCAAAGCACGATACGCAATGGATGATTTCTCCACACGATCCGACACTCCGCGACTTCACGGCTCGCTCAGCAATGCGCATCCTGGTCTGACCTTGGAAGCAGGAAGAGTCCCGCGTATGCTCGGCAATTCAATACTAATTCCCAAAGCGGAGAGGGTGGGTCAGGTCTTAGCCGCCGCTTTAGCCCCAGCGGTTTGCCCCAAGTGGGGTACACACATGTCCATCTTAGTTGTCGACGAATAGCCTCGAGTATGTTGCGGATATGAACAGCCTCTCGACTTCCTTTGCAGCTTTCAGAGGCACGAGGGGAAGATTGCCGCGTCTTCGCAGTAGTACATCTCACCATGGCTTCCTCCCAATGCCATGCTCGCTCAGCGCCTCCTCACCATCTTCTTCGTATCGACAGAAGCACTGATTCCATCTCAACATGGCTCCTGCAGTCCGTCGACCAGTCCGCATTGGCGGTGCCTCAGGCGGCTTCTCCGATCGCGTCCGAGCAATCGCATCTCTGGCGAAAGACGATGTCGATGTCATAGTAGGAGACTGGCTCTCCGAGATGACAATGACCATGCACGGCACCGGAAAGCTCAGGAATAAAGAGCAAATGCTCCAAGCACGTTCTTTCGAAGAGAAGCTCAACTATGCCATGTTTGCTGAGAACTTCATGGACTGCTTTACTCCCGCGATTCAGGATATTGCTACCCGCGGCATCAAAGTTTGTGTCAATGCCGGCGCATCGGACACGGAGCTGCTGGCTCAACTCGTGGATAAGACATGCAAGGAGGCTGGTTATCCGTTGAAAATAGCTTGGATTGAAGGTGACGATGTTACAGGCACTGTCAAGAGCATGTTGGACAAAGGCGAGGGGTTCAAGAGCTTGATGCATGATAAGTCGGTGGCCGAATGGGGATTGGAACCTGTTTGCGCTCAATGCTATCTTGGAGGTTTGGGTATCGCGAGAGCACTAACCGAAGGTGCTGATATTGTCATCGCGGGTCGGGTTTCAGATGCTTCACCCATCATTGGCGCTGCAGCTTGGTGGCATGAGTGGACAAATGATCAGTTCAACGAGTTGGCTGGCTCTCTTGTGATTGGTAAGCCATCTATCCTTGTCCTTGTATGCTATACTAAGTGCTCAAGGTCATCTTCTTGAGTGCGCCGCGTATGTATCCGGGGGCTACTGCTCAGACTTTCGTAGTCTGCTGGCACAAGGCAAGCACATCAATATGGGCTTCCCTATTTGTGCCATCGACAACAAGGGGGAGGGTGTAATGTACAAGGAGAAGAACACCGGCGGCTGCATGACCGTCAACTCTGTGACTTCTCAACTTCTCTACGAAATTCAAGGCCCGCTATACTACAATTGCGACGTGACCGCCGACTTGACAGACATCAAGATCGAGCAGATTGGCGAAGACCAAGTCAAAGTATCCGGCGTCAAAGGCCTCCCACCACCGCCGACAACCAAAGTCGGCATTACAGGCTTCGCTGGGTGGCAGGCCGAATACCACATCTACCTTGTCGGACTCCACATCGAAGAGAAATGCAAATGGATCGAAGAGCAAATCCGATACGAACTCGGTCCCGAGCTCATCAAAAAGTTTGACGTCCTCAAGTTCATGCAAAACGGCTCCTCGGTCATCGACTGCCGCAACCAAGACGTTGCGACAGTGGATTTCCGCGTCTTTGCTCAGTCCAAGGATAGAGAGCTACTTAATATGCGTAATCCCAAGGGCTTCTTCCGCATATCCATGGTCAACTTCTTAATGTCCTGTCCCGGTGCCTCATTAGGCAACGACGTCCGACAGGCAGAAGGCAAACCATACTACGAGTACCATCCCTCTCTCCTCCCCCAATCCGCGGTAAAGCAACTTGTCCATTGTATCTGGGACGGCGAGACATCATCTGGCTTCCAAGACGGCAAGAAAACACTAGACATCCCCCTCGCACCCACATTCCAGGATTATCCCCGCCAACAACCCTCCTATGAGACACACTCCCCCATACCCCTTGCGCACTTTGGTCCTACCGTACGCCTCCCTCTCGGCTCCATCGTTCTCGGCCGCTCTGGCGACAAGTGTTCAGATGCCAATGTCGGATTCTTCGTGCGCCACGACGATGAATGGGAGTGGCTGCGCAGTTTTCTTACCATTGATAAGATTAAAGAATTACTGGGTCCTGAGGAGTACAAAGGGAAAAAAGTTGATCGGTTTGAAATGAAGAATATAAGGGCTGTGCATTTCTTGTTACATGACCACTTGGACCGCGGGTATGATGCTTGCAGTACGTATGATACGCTGGGGAAGAACGTTTGTGAGTATTTGAGGGCGAGGAGCGTGGATTTGCCGATGAGGTTTGCGGAGAGGGGGGTGTTGTAGTAGAGCCGGTGGCGTAAGATGCATTTCGGTCGTTTTGCACATGGGTGGAGCTTATGAACGATCAGGACGCGTACGTCAATAAGGGCTAGATGGAGGTACCCGTAGACATGACTCTATCTTGAAAGCTTTTGATGAGCCAGCAAGCTCGCCATCTGCAACCATGTAGTATTGGAGGAACAAAGAGAGGAAAGCAGTCATGTTTCTCTTCGGAAAGTATTCTGGTCACCTGAAAGAGGTGGTAGAAGAGATAGAGAGTAAAATTGTGTTGAACAGCAGGCATTTATACCAATCTCAATCTTCCTAGCTCGAGGAAACATTGACCAAACACTATCTGATACCCGTTGGAAGTTGCTGTGTCGATTTCGAGGAGGGAAGCTGGCTTTTGAAGTGGAAGATCGAACCGCAAGGCTTCATGTCACCACTCTGCAATTCAGTTCCTACATTTTGATTTTGGTGTCCTCCAGCTTTCTTCCTATTTTTATGGAGCCTCTCGCAAAGATGCAACCATATTTTGCGTTTTTCGAGATGCGCAACAACGGCTCGGAGTACCCTTTACATATGTCAGACTATAAGCTTGTTTGTTCCAGACATGAAGGTATCATTGCCTCTGCCAATTCCAGTGAAGCCTGAACTCAATCAACGCTCATAGTTAATAAATGAGCGCTCTCAGAGGAACATGCTAACGCTATGCTGTATTTTGGGAGAGATAACACTCCCATCCAATTTGGGCGGTGATTTTTGAGAACAGAGAAGCCCCACCGATCATGCGTAATCATGAATTGGTTTTTGTTTCGATTCCAGTATCTCATATTCATCAGTAAGAAGCATAGGGAAAGAAGCATAGTGAGTGAGATACTCATGTGGACCTCACTACCACTAGTTCCTGACACGGATGTCTGGTCGTGGTCTCGTGGTCGTAGATGGTTTTGGTAGCGACTTATCAAAGCAAGAATTCGATTTCGGCCCGGGTATGAGTCGCAAAGTTATCATGTCTCCAGGGTGAAGATATTTAGAGCCCGGGAAGCGATAAGTTTATTGCGCTCTCTGCGTTATAGTTCCAGGAGATATAGTCATAGGGTACCAGGGAACAGTATATTAAATTGTCGCCGCAAGTTCTTGTAGCAAAGGATTCCTTGCAGCAAGGATTGTACATGTCTTCCAAAGCTTTTGCTTCATGGTACACATACATCGCTTTTTCAGGCGGGGACATAACGTCAATGGATACAATGTTTTGGATTTCGAGTCGCAGTATGATAACTTCGGCGACGGGAGAACATCCTATGAGAATCAAATGTGTATTTTCGAAAAACCAAACCGAAGCACAGCGCCCATGCCGGGTTTCTCATGTCTTTTCGGGTTCGATGTTTTTGAGTGTGGTTTAAGATAAGAGAGGTGGCGATGGATGGAAGAGCTTTATATAGCTGCGTCGGAGCTGCGACACGGATGCATAATGTTGGTCCGTTTCGGTGTTGGTTAGGTCCCAGCGAACATCTCGAAGCTGCAGCGTGGCGCCTCTCCTCATCGTTTATGTAAGATATATCTTTCGGTGGATCAATCTTAATGAGGATCACGCGTCATGTCGCAGGCGCGCCTCGGTGAGGATGTAGACATGGCGGGTTTTGGGTACTTTCGTTCTTGCTAACTCTCGATATTTCCGCGTGCAGCGTACCAAAATCACATGTCCTTTTGCAGTCAGGATTTTTTGTTCTTTCGGGAAGCCGAGTTTGGTCGTTGTGCTACGCATTCTTCGTGAATCAGATAAGTATATCTCGTTAGACATGAAGCTATTCATCACTTGAAGTGTGTCATCGCTACAGTTGCTTCTGAGAGAGCCTTTAGCACTGATCACTAAACTTGCCAAAAAGGAGGCTTACGGTCTACCAATTCTATGCGGCTTAAAATCGGCACGTGGCCGCTTATTATGCCGCGCAGAGTGGATTTGTAGCGTTCTCCATGTCAGCAAAGATCGACGATACTGTATCCCGAACTTGGCACCCCGGCGAAGCTTCTCTAAGACGATGGGCGGGAGATCGTGCACGAAGCGGAATGACTCGCAGCTGTCAGAGTACCTGGGTAGGGCTCGGGTACGCTAATCTACGCTTACTCTCTGCGGGGGTGGACCCTGCTCGTTTGGTATCCAATCACGTTATGCGCGTCCAACGACAGCAACTCTGGCGAGTACGACAAATAGTGGGCAATTTCTGAATTGAGACTGTCGCCTTGTTATATGCTATTACAACACACCTCCGGACCAAGCCCGCGCTATCGCACTTCCTCCATTACACAATACAACAAATGGCTCTCATCACGTCTCCACCATAATCTCCAATTATCCGTCCATCCACCTGGGCCGCTGCCGGCTCGAGCTAACGATGATCTACTGCTTGTAGCAAGGAGTGCGGAACTGAGCATTCCAGCCACTGACAGTCTTGTACTTTCCACCAGCGTTGCAAGCGGTGCCGGCCTCAAGAGGGTTGTTCGGGTTGGTCGCACCATCGGCACGGTGAGCGTTGGTGCACCAGCGCTGGCAGTCGAGGTTGCCAATCTTAGCATCCTAGAGGACGAGAAGATCCAAATTAGCATTCAACATTCCTCTAATCCTGTTTAGTTCCTGAGGGGTTACTCACCGAGTAAACGCAGCAGTGCGAGTCATCTTGGAAGAGGCACTGGCACCACTGGGCAGCCTGGGTGGTGATGGCGCTGGCCATCAACAGAGTGGCGAGGGAGAGGATGCGGACCATTTTAGCGGTTGTGAGGAGTCTCGAAGAGGTGGCAGAAGATTGAAGAGTGGGATGGATTGAGGTTGAGAGTCTTAGTGCTGTGCTGAGTGATGGATGTCAAGCCAGAGGGGGTGTTGCTCTGTTATTTAAGATATTGAGGGCAGAGAAAGGCTAACCAGAACTTGCTTAAGCTCGTATCTCTTGATGAAGGAGCCATTTCAGATGTTAAGCCGAGTAGTGCTTACATTGCTCTGGATAGTAAAGTCAAGTTAGCCCGGCCCCGTATCATCTCTCTAGACCACCTGATGTTGAAGTGTGTCTATGCGTTCTGAGGTATCTCCTAGTTCGCAGTCGTGAAATACTATGGCTATCGGCAAGAGCACTGCGTGGACGGAACTAGCGCGTGTCGATCACAAGGGTTAGAAAACAAGTCAACACAGGCCACCGTAGGGATAATAGCGAATGGGAGAGACTGCGCTTCCTTTTCGGTCTTCATTTCAGATATCACGAGCTCACTGACCAAGTGCTCCACCGACCATGCTTCTGTTGGCAAGCATAGTAGATCCTGTTTGGCAAGTTCTTCCCTATTCGGTCAGCTGCTCGGTCTAATAATCTATGCGCTGTTCTGAGCTACTCGGGATTAGCTTGAAGGGTATGGTATGAAGACACAGGTGAGGATGTGTTTCGTATGATCATTACAGCGACTCAAGCCCGTGTGGGCTTTTGCGTCCCATCGCTAGTGGGATTGGCACTGCGACTTATTTCTTACTCAGCTGACCACAAGTATTCATATGTGACAAGATGAACATGAGCTTACCTTCCATATAAAGCTGCAGTGATTCTCTCTAAACGTAGCATACCGACTCATCATCTTCAGTACCCACAAGTCTTACAACCCTCCCAATCCCACTCATTTACTCATCAACCTCGAACGCCGACAAAATGGTCCGACTTTCTATCTTCGCGGTTATCTTCGCCGCTGTCACTGCTGTCGCCGCCGACGGATACTGCCAATGCCTCTTCGCGGATGGATCCCACTGCTGCGTTACTGTAAGCCAATGATAGCCTGAACAAACTCAAACAAGATATACAAGCGATCAAATCTAACAACAAAATAGCAATACGGCATCAGGAAGGACTGCACGGCGCGATGCATCGATAACGGAAACTCAGACAAGAAGTGTAACGCTGGTGGCAAGTACTCTAACGTTGGCGGATGGCACGCGCAGTGGCGCCGCTCCTGCACGGACTGGACCATTGGAAACGCGTAGAGTGAAGGAGGTCGCCAGAGTGTCTTGCGTAGTTTCGTGCGCAGTTCCGCCCAAGAAATTGTTCCTTTGGATAATGGCAACCAACGTTCTTGCTATCAGTTTTCCCCAGTTCTTGAGATCATAGAACCTCGCTGGAAAGCTCGAATGTATATAGGTCACATTTCCTCGAAGTCCTTGATTCATGACTTAGAGATATGGCACTCAATAAAACCACCCTGTATACCTTACTCGTCAATTCGCACTCGCACTCGTAATCAGTGACTAGGAGTAACGGAATCAAGCATAGAATGCCGATCTGACAAGCGAGATAAGCATTGTGCCTCTGCTAGCAAGAACCACGCGAGCTTGATTGCAGCGATAAACTGTGATTCAATGCGTCCAACGTACCGAAGCCACACGTAGGAGGCCTCTTCTTGATTCGTACCGTATCCGTAGGAGTGGAGGTCTAGAAGCTGGAGTACAGCATAGGGCCCGGGGTTATCAGTGTCACCTGTCAACGACATCATCTAGAATGCCCGTCCTCGCCACCACGATACAGCTTCCCCAGCACCTTTAGCAGCTTCGGTTCACGAATGAGCTTAGCAGTTGCCTAATTAGGCGATAACACGGTCCATACTTAGTCTAAGCGGCCGTACTGCGGCTGTAGTCCGTACTCAAGGATCTTTTGGGTACTGCCGTGATACACCACTAACATTCGGTCCGTACGTACCTCACGATATGCCTCATTTGAGCCGTACCACGGTATGTTGAATGCGCCGATGTAAGATATGCACGTCCCCCGTAGATTGCTTGCCGAATTCCCGTAGATATGTCTACAACTCGTGTTGTGTGGTCTCTTGGTCTACTGGACTCTACCTGGGTATAAAGATCGTGTTTTCTCTTGCAAATTTACGAAGACTTTCGTTCATCAACACCATCACATCAATCCTCACATAATCTCGCAGCCTGATCCCATTACATTGTCCTCATCAACGCCCAAAATGGTCCGCCTTCTCACCATCGTTACCGTGCTCTTCGCTAGTGTAAGCAGCGTTGCTGCTTCGTACTGCCAGTGCCTTTACACAGACGGCAGCCACTGCTGCGTTATTGTAAGTCCCCATATACTACTTTACACTGAAGCTTGACTTGCTCACCGCTGTTATTTCTAGGACAACATAGTCAATGACTGCACGAGGATGTGCAACAAGGCATCCAAGGACTCTACCACTGCCAACCAATGCAACGCCGGCGGGAAATTCTCCAATGTCAGCTCGTGGAACGCCAATTTCCGCAAGAAGTGTGGACAACCCTACATCTACTAGATGCTGTAATGCACTTGCGCCATCGGCAAAGCTCTTTTGAAGGCCTACTCTATGTGTAATTTCATCGGAGGAAGACATGTAGTAGAACCTTCCAGGTCATCAGCAGGGATGTCGATGATTGATTCAATCAGGGGAGAGAACGCGATGTGGTATTATCGGATAGCTTGTAGTTGGTTGATTAAGCATCAGGGGCTTGTTCAGAGCACATTGATGGCTCGTCGCACGCTCTGCGATTCTTGTTATTACTTCGCCTCTTAGAGGCCATTCTAGTCAAGTAATGCTTAATGGGTTACAAGAACATGTATGCGACCCTACATTCTTCCAATGCTGATTGTTTTATAAGCAATACCGATGATACTCTAAGCATGCACCTCCGCAGAATGCTCTGAAATACACCAGCACTTCCAAGTTCCACATTATTCGCGCTTTGCAGAATTCACATGAAAGCGTGTCCAGATACGCTGAAATGAATCCATGAACGTATCGCAAGCTGCCAATGGTAGTTAGTTCCCCATTGACGGATCGTTGCACTTGGTTCAGGCGATATCATTTCCAAACACCAGCGATCCCTGTAAGTAGTAACGCCGAACCACGGAAGGGGCGTCTTGGTAAGGGCTCACCGCCGTGAAGATTGTCGGAAGCAGAGACTATCTTAGGCGAGAAGCGGTCTTTGGAAATTACGATGCGCGACATTACGGGAATTCCCTCTAGCGCCTTGCGCAATACCCACCTGTCAGCCTTCACCACGTCAGAACGTGAGTGCGCAATCGAGAGACAGGATACAAAGAAGGTATAGCGTATCTGTTGCTTAGGACCCTCGGTGTTCATTTGCGGCTCTGCTACGGGAGAGATCGCGAGCGAGCACAGAGGCTTTGCGAAGAGATCGGCAGATCTTTCAGAGTGACACTTTGCCTTGTAGTGAGCGATGTGCCCAGCTGAGATTTTTAAGGTTCCATGGTAACGACTCCCCAATCAGCTTCAATTCATCTGGCGTCCTCGAAAAGTCAACACTTCGTAGCAAGAGACGGAGAAGTGGTTGGCGTGCGCAGAGCACTACGCTCGGACGGAAGTTGTTGTACTGTTGCATCCACGATCTCGGTGATATTGGCAAAACAAAGCACGCATCGCGCGCATCGAGAAACTCGGCATTCCTTCGATATACACAGTGTCCAGGGAAAGTGTTGTATGTAAGCCACTAGCAGAGCCTACATGAGCTAACTATGACCGGGATAGATCTGCGATCTAGTACCCGATTAGACTAGGCTCTGCTCAGATAAGCGTAGCCTCCCTCTAAAGTCTGACTAAGATAGACCCATACAATACTTTCCCAGGAGACGAGCTCAGACACCGTTTCACCCTCTTCGGCCCTCCTCTGCTTACCGGTGCCTGGGTTAGTGGCGACACGTGCTAAGTCAATACCAAGCCAAGAACCGCCACATTTGTGACCTTGTTTTGTTCGCTGCAACGTCTTCTCCTTGTGTATACACTCCTTCCCATAGTTGCGCCGAATATCTGGGTAAACGGCTCTAGGTGGAGTGTTGTCTTGCCCGAAACAATGTCTTTAGGCCTATCCTCGGTCATTATGCTTTGCCATTAGCACCATGTTTTAATTGGAAATTGTGTCTGGTTTGCTTCAAACTTGTGAAGTGATTGCGATGGTGAGGCTGTATGAGTTGCAAGGCTGCACTGGAATCACCTGATTTTTAGTAGCGTTTCCGATATTTATGCCGTATAAAACGCTGCTAAATGGAACAGGATCGCGCGTTCAGTACTTGACCGCTTCTTGATCTGAACACAGCAGAATTGGCCTGATGGAAAGCTATCAGGTGAGATGAGATTGCTGGTTTCGATAGACTTCCCACGCGATCAAATGATACGCCGCTGACAAGTACTGATGCCTTTGACACGTTAATCATGCAAGTGATAAAAGTGCAACGATTTACCAATGCACAGCATTTTGCCTAAACAGAACTGCTACCATGTACCTTGGAAAGAACAGCATATTCTTCTTCGTCATTTTGGTAGCCACTAACCACTTGGTAGCAAAGGACGTTGAGCCACAACAAGCCACACTTCCCAAACCCCATATTCCGCGGATACCTGTTCCCGCCTATCCCGTCTCCATCAACATGAGAAAATTATTTCCATGTTTGCACGAAGGCCCACCTACCCGGCCCGCCTTAATCAGCCACGCTATCCGAATCGCCGATATTTTCAAATTGCCTCAACGTCTGATTGGCGCGCGGCGACTTACTCCGCCGGTGTTGTCGAAACACCAAACGTCATGAGCCCCTATCACCACACTCGAGACCCCGTCGCTTCGAGCTCTGATTGCTGCGGTAAGAATCGCCAGCCGATATTATAGCGTAATATTGGGTCCACAGCAGGTGAGGCGTAGTTGTGCGGGGGCGAACATGCTGTTTACAGTAGGTGTGAAAAATAGGAGGATGGATCGGTGATCCAGACCGAACGCGAGTTACTTTTTTTCAATATGAGGGGAGAAGAACTGTAGATTGTAGTGGGATTCGGCATTTTACTCCGTGTCATGGGGGTCGAAACAATCAATGCAGGTTGTTGTCAATGTCCTCATGATGACAACCCACAAGCGACAGCAGGAGTCATAGACCTTGAAACACAACGTCTTAAAGGATTAACGCGCACCCATGACTGGCATGAGAATAGGTTCTACCGAGGCAGGTCTCATAGTATCGATGCTTGTATCTTTTGAGCAACGATGATTCAAGAAGGAAGTACCGAAAGCTTTTGTCGGAAAAACTCCTTGCCTGCACAACTTTTCGCAGTGAATTCATTGATGAGAAAACATGTGTATTCCACTGGTAGACTTTGGTATGTGAACTACAGTTCTGGCTCTATCATTCATTGTTCCAAAGCAAGGAGTTTCTTTCATTGTGTGAATGACGGGATGTGCACGCAGCACCACCCAAGGACTCATGAATCGGTAGAGCGAAAATGTTTGGTCTGCCCAACGTACGTCTTTTTCTGAGCCTTTTGACAATAGAGAAAGAATGGTACAGGATGGAGAGTGGTAAGGACAGAAATACGCAGATTGTATATATCATACAAGCGTAGTAATCTCTCTGGTAAAGACATGCCAGGTCATCAATCCTCGAAACAATATATGGCACAAAGTCATAGAGGCTTTGGGACTAGCAGGATGAGGCCGAGAAACAGAAACCAGAAACATGTTCTCCTTCCAAGTATGTTTGAGAGGCCAGTGCGAAGCAATTTTTCGAGTTTAAATGTGAGGCGTGTAGTGAACGATTGTTGTACTCGAAGAGCGAGCTTTTATATCGCTGGAGAGTCAAACGCTGTATGAGCTCGATTTGAGGCTTACTCATCGAACAGTAAAGCCTGAATACAGCATGCAGAATGATTGCTATGCTTTACAAAACTGAAGCCTGTAGTATATGGTGTAACCATCTTCGATGAGCAAGACATGAATTGATGCACGCGGGATTTTTGATTTGCTACGCAATAAGTTATCATGCCTGGATAAGTGATGTTCTTGCTGTTCACGAGCGAGAATAGAAAAGTCTTTCCGGCAGATGAGAAAAACGATAGGTGCATTTCGAAAAAGACGAGTACTCTGAGGTAGTGTTTTTGCTCTTTGCCCATAAAGCGATCAAAATCGGTTTTTGGTACAGGGCGATATGGTTTTCTTCTTCGAACCTTTTGATGGTCCCCGACCGACAGAAGCATAAGAACGATGGGTGGTTTTTGATGTAGTGGGCGGCGCTTGTGCTGCCGAACAATATAGAATGAACCAGTTTGAGTTTGGACACACTCGGCCACTGCTCCATGATATGTACGGATTTGATTTTGAAACGAGGGGAAGGACAGTCCATGTCCGTGTTCCCACCATGTTTTGGTAAATAGTTTGTGAGGTTGATGGAAGAATGCAGGAGAGATGATCATGGATATATATACTCATCGAGTCCGGGCGTCGGCATGTGTGTGCAGTCCCAGCTAGCACCCAAGCACTGTAAAGACTACCACCGCACCAGCCATATCTATCATAGTTTCGCGCTTGCACCTACGCTTTTCATTGGTGCCTGTTCAATCAAAAAGCCTGCAAAGAACTTCGCAATACCATCAAAGTCATCCAGAGTCGTCACCACCGAAACATCTATATAGCATTAGCATGTCCGCCTTGCGCTTGTCATCAAATTATAGTCACTCACATTGATCTGGCCTCACGATCACTACAGCGCCCGCATCCAGATCAACACCGTAACTCTTGTAAGCGTGTCCATGACCAGAGTTGTAATGTTCATCGTCAAGATATGTCTTGTGGAGATCTAAAGTCTCTGTCAGCGTGATTGTCTTCCATGATAGAGAAGGAGACATACCACGTATACCCCACTTTCCACTCTTGGGCCAGAAGTAGTCTGGTATGCGTTCTTGTTCGGTGTCGCGAAACTTGCTACTCAGTACTAGGATAGGCTCGATAACGCTGTCGATGTGTTTCGCCGTGGATGTATATCGACGCGCAATTGATTCGAGAGCTTTCGCTAGCTATGCAATTTTAGTACGATGAGGCAATATCAAAGGTTGGAGACCATACCTTATCCAATCGCCTCTGATGCGCCGCTTGATTGACATCCCCAGCAAACACGACAATTCGCCATCTACCATCACTCTTGAGCACGCTTTGCAACTGCACAGCCTTGCAATCGCAGAATCGTGTTACCTGCGCACTCGGAAAGCGCATCCCCACCGTCACTGCCGTAGCCTTACTACCATCGCTCCGCATCCCACTAGTGACCATGGAGTCTTCGTATCTTGCGGTAAAGCCCGCCATATAACGCCCACTCTTCGTGAAGTAGTCGGCAAACTCACCCTCGTATTTCTCCTTGCGGCTGAACATTTTGGCGAGTTCTTTGTCGAATGCGATGAGATCGGCTGCTGTCTTGCTGCGTTCGGAGACGTATGTCGAAAGCAGAGATGGAGGTGAGAGACCGGATAGGACGGATCCTAGCTTCCAGCCAATGTTGTAGCCATCCTGGAGCGACACATTCATCCCTTGGCCTGCTTTTGGAGAATGCGTGTGACAGGCATCGCCAGTCAGGAAGACGCGGTTGTGAGCATGGAATGCAGAAGCGAGACGCTGCCCGATACTATATGCGCTCCACCAGAACACGTCCGCAAAGTCCATGGTATACGGCGCAAAGATCCTTCGAGCCTGATCTTGCAAATCGGCCAGTTTCACTTCCTTGGGATGTACGCCTGCAGGTAGTTGAATGTAGAATCGCACTAGCTGGCCGCCCTCGCGCGGAATGATGAGCAGGTTGCCGGCTGCGCTGTGTATGGTGCATTTACGACGAATGTCGGGAAAAGATGTGAGCGGGTAGATATCCATAACACCCCAGACGGTATCGGAGGTGTCGCCCAGCATGCGAATATCGAGGGCTTTCCGGATAGTGGAATGCGCGCCATCGCAGCCTAGGACGTATTTTGCTTCCCAGACTTCCTCTTTTCCATCTTTCTCTGCAGTGACTTTGACGCAATGTGCGTCTGGGTCGTTCTTGCTCTTCTCGTCAATGTCCACAGCTTTGACAGCCCATCCGTACTCGATGCCATTGCTTGTGCCTTTTTTCCACTTCCCCTTCTCTTTCAGCACATTCTCCATCTTTCCCAGCATCAAACCATTCATACGCGCTTGGTTGAGTATCACATGAGGTAGGTGACTCAATCCTTTCTCGGTGTCAATGGATCTGCTCTTCCTCTTGATACCGCCTTTGGCATTCCCGCTGCGATCTTCATCGACCCCCCAAAAGCACACTTCCAGTATGTGATACGCTTCTCGCAACAGCTCTTCTGATAGACCGAATGATTCATAGATCTCTACTGTACGGACTTGAACGCCATCTGCTTGACCAATCTCTAACGGCCCGGATCGTCTCTCTAGAATGGTAAAGGGTATGTCGAAAATCGCGAGCCAGGTTGCTGCAAAGATACCAGCAGAGCCAGAACCGGCGATGAGAACGTCCGTCTTTGGCATCGTGTTGCTGTGATTGCGCTCGATTATCGTCTCTCAGGACGTTGGTAGACTACAGTCCGAGACCGTGAATGATGTAGATGACGATAAGTAATTATGTACAGCGAACGACTAGTCGACAGGCTAAAAGGGACAAAGGACTCTAGTATACGGGAGTGGGAGACCTGATTGTAAGATGGGTGCTCAACAGATGTCGCATGTCTGCCGAACGCGATGTCCGAAGGTGTATCGGGCATGCGGGGACGCACATCGACCCACCCATTAGCGTATAATGACCCAACAGCGAATCCGGGGAAGGAGCCGGATATTTGTTCTACCACGATTTGCGAAGAATTGCGGAAACAGTTTTATTCTCAGTTGATATAGCGAGAAGAGCTCTAGCAATTGTCCTGGCGTCGTGGAACGGGAATGGGTAGTCGTTGTTCCATCATCACACATGGTGCGCAATCGCGAGGAGGCGTCGGCCCGGACATCACAATGCGCGAAAGGACGACTTCGGTCGAGTCAAGAGAGGTTGTATTACTATATACTATATAAGCGCTAAAGATGGTCGTAAATGCGTCTGCGTAAGGCTGTCAGGAAGCACATTACCAGGTGCTTTCGCAGCCACTGTATCCTCCCAAGTCATCCCATAAAAGCGCCGAAACATTTTGCCGAAGCATGTATACGCCGTAAACTCCATCCCATGCGTATAAAGGTATGTGCAAAACAAATATCGTTGAAGGCAATTCAGAGGCGAGAGGTTGTCGTGAACTCAATGGCCGACGGCGGAGTAGTGCGAGTTGCGGGGGTGGTATGGTTGCTGGTATAGTGATGGCTCGTACTCGGATTGCTGGTACATGGTGCCGCGCTTGTCTTCATAGTCCAATGGCTCTTTGATCTCCCAGTTGTGTTGCTTGACGCCGACGGAAAATTCGAGGTCTTCGCGAGTGATGGAATCCCAGTACTATGTAGGTGTTAGTGTCGATGGGCATGCGATGTGGTAGAGGGTGACTTGCCTTGTAGACCATCATGACTGCGAGCAGGTTGCAAATGGTAGCGAAGAAGAGGCCATCGATGTAGTGCTGTACTTGGTCGCAGATGGTGTCGCTGAAGACGTAGAGGATGACCTGACCAATGACAAAGAAGAAGATGCCAAACGAAATATCACCGAGTGGCCAGCGGTCTTCGAGGGTTCCAACAACCAGAATGATCTGGCTGACGGCGTAGACGAAGAGGCAAATGGCGTTGACGATGTAAGTAACGACAAAGATAGCGATAGGGTTTCCGGGGTTCAGTCCGGCCCAGCCCTTGAAAGTCAAGAGGTTCACAGCACCGCCGACTATGAACATGACAAGGGTGGAGAGACGCAGTAGCCATACTGATAGTGTTGTACCGTCTTCGTAGAGTTGGAAACCGACGAAGCCGTTGATCAGCAAGCAGGTACATAGCGCAGAGACGAGGCCATTCTGGGCGGCAGCGAAGTAGGGGTAAGCGGCAGAACCAGGGGCGGCGACACCGGCATCGAGGACGAGCGATATGATGGTGAGGAAGAGGTAGATGTAAAAGAACGACGTGATCTCCTTTCGGCCTGCTGTGCGTGAGTAGAGGCTCCCGGGGTTATACGGCAATGCGCCAACGTACCAACAGCCGTGAACTTGGAGCGCACATGGATAATCATGACGACTGTCATGACCATGGCGAGGATGTGCATAAAGTCGTTGGCCGTCTCGAAGATGAGGGTATTCGCAATCTCGACCGTCCGCGCATAGCACTCGGTCTGAATGCCGACGCCATTATTGATATCCTGGTGACCCACAAGAGCGCATAGCGGCAGCGGAGCCTTTTCGCAAATCGTCTGAAAGTCGCCGAAGCCCATGTTGGCTGGGTGTGAAACGTGCGATGTCGGTCGGGTTACGGCGGGTCCGGCGCGCGGTGTAGGGCGGAAGCGTGGTGTCGACGACGACAAGTGAGTGAGGTTTGGTAGTCGCGGAAGGTGCAGACGGCTAGCGAGCGAATGTCTGCAAGGTAAACAGTAACGAGAGAAGGCGCGGTGGGGTGCGACGAGGGTCAGGGATACTATGGGGGCGGTTGTCAGGAGTGAATGCGCACTGTTGACAGTTCCCGAGCCGCACTAGTCCCACAATGCAGGTCGTATGCACTTCGGGACTAGCGCCAGCTATTTCCGTCCTCAGAGCTTTTTGCTCTCCACCTGAGCAACACCAGCGATACTTCCTCGTGACTTTCCAGGCTGTAGCCTCTACAGCAGGTGCACTCATGATGTGTTGGTATCTAGGCATCGAATGGTGTCTTCCCAAACAGAATCTTGATCACACCTACCTCTATCCACGTTTGATTTTAGCAAGTACCAAGATGGTTGGACAGCTGCGCTGCCGTCCACCAATGAAAGTACGCATAAATAGCAGGTCCTCGCTCAATGTTTGACCTGCTAGCACGTCTCCTACATCCTCGTTATCGTCGAACACTCCAACGGTTTGCGAATCTCCAGCACCAATCATGCCCTACATTGCGATTGGCACTCGACGGCAAAATATGGAATGGCGAATCAAATCTACGAATGTCTTTGCTCGTCCTGTGGTGCGGTATCACTCAACCACGGCAGGTCGTTTATCAGGGTCCATGAATGCCTATGGCGCTGAACTATGGTAAAGAAGCGATGCGACCCATCTCGAAAAGTCCTTTAACAGTTATTTAATTTCTAGTCTCTTTCGCATTCACGCTCAAATCTCAGTCAAGCAATTTCCTTGGTGACCTCAGCTCTCAACGATCAAATCACCACTAACATCTCCTTGCGAACGCATATCACGAGCACTCACTCCCCAATTTCCCAAGTCCTCTTGCTCGACCCGCCTTCATGAGTGAAGACTCCAGTATTGAGTGGCGAATCTTCACAGAATTGGCAGCATGGAACAGAAACAATCCTGCTCCAACTCAACCACCAAATGAAATGGCTGACCACCCCTATCACCGCTCTGCTGAAGCGGCGCTCTCAAGACTGGCCGACTTCAGGACACAGAATCCTCTTCGTTTCATGACCGCTTCAGCAGCCCCTTCGCTATCCCCTGGCTTGCCTTCTCCGGTGGTGTCGACAATCACATCTATACCGCAGCAGTCGCGGCCAACACCAAATATGCCCCAGTTCCACCCTTCGCGCATGAACATCCCACCAACAGCGTATGCTCCCGCATACGCTCCCGCCCATCAGATATCGCAAGCGAGCCACATGCCGCTCCTTGCTACACAGCCGCCCTCTCTGCGACCACCAGAGCCGCAAGCGTACGAACCACTGGTTCATCCCGAACCGCTCGCGTGTTTGACTTACAGTATGGTCTACGATCGAGTTTATCTGGTTCTCCAGGATAACCTAAGCGAGTGGTGGACAAGGAATCCAGATGCGCTACAGAATGTATCCCGTAAGCCATCTCCTCCGCCCTCCATGTCCCTTCTCTTTCACTAACACGACCGAAAAACAGAACGTCTGGCTGGTCAAATCAGATTTAGCGGTCAAAGGGGTATGTTCGGACCAGATGGCATTCAGTCACTCAACCGAATCAGCATGTTTATTGGGCGAGAGGGTATCTACCGCTACCTTTGTCTCGCCGTGCTTCCAAACCACGGTGAATTGGCGATCCTCCTCAAGGGCGACCTTTGCGAAAAAGACGGAAATGATCCCATGTACGATGAGGAGTTGCTGGCAATGTGTAAAGGAGGCTTTGATAAGGTCGCTGTGAGGCTGCATGCAGACATCGTCGTACAGGATGAGTTGAGGCGGGCCAGAACAAGTAGCCATGGGGTGAGGGTGGGGGCGCTAGAGTGATTGACATGGGGGCCGGGTAGTGTTCGGTCGAACCAAATCTGTAAGAATAATGTCGGCGCTCATACTTATGTTGCACATAGACCGGGTCATAGAGACCTACGAATCTCTCTTTCCTAATGATACCAATGTATGATCGTCCGCCTCAGGAAAGGCAAGGTGATGGTGTACATTTACAGTTCCTGTGTCGTGATTGTTGTAGTTGGCCAAGGGAAAGATGCCACTGACAAGTGTTTGGGTATTTGCTCAGGGGATTAATGGCACGCCTGAGAGATCTGTGGGACCAATGATTTTGTGATTGGTTGGCTCGTAAAAGCACGTGATGACATCTTGTCATCGGTGTCGTGATTGGCTGCGAGCGGTTCAGAACACCATCGCGCCTGCATCCTGTACCGCATCCGATAGACTGTTCTCACGCGTCCTCATCATGGACGTGTCCTCTACCACTACCGTTGCCCTTGGCACTTATCCAGCATGTCGTCGCAGGGCGGTGTGCGGGTTCAGTCTCGCAAGCGCAGTCCCAAAGTGAGAACAGGCTGCCGGACTTGCAAGTGTGTAGTAGATGCCTTGACTGTTGCCAACTCCAACTAATTGCTTCTAGAGTACGACACGTCAAGTGTGACGAGGCCAAGCCGACATGCCTCAAGTGAGCCCTTGCACCTGTATTTGCAGGTTGCTGCAGCAGACTGACGTTGCTAGGTGTACGAGTACCGGCCGCAAGTGCGAGGGCTATCAATCAAACGGCGGTGCCTTCCAAGTCCACGTTTGGAGTTACAGCCAGGCATCCGGTCCGCAAAACGCGATATCCACCTTAGGCAACCTTGGGGATAGCGCACGCTTTCTAGAGTTCTATTACCACTGCGCTCGCCCTGCGCTTTCGACTAGTTTCGACAAGGAATTTTGGTCGCGCATCGCAATTCAGATGGCGCATTCGGAGCCTGCTGTGCGTCATGCATTAGTGGCTCTGGGTGCTCTCTGCCAAACTGAGCCAGGAGATATGAAGCATGCATGCTCGAGATTTATGACAAATCGCGATCGTAAGGTCATGCTGTCACACTACAATCTATCTATCAGATGCTTAGTCGATCGCATGAGGGAGACCACTTACTCGCACGAGCTTGGCCTCGTCGTTTGTCTTCTATTCGTTTGCATCGAATTTCTCCAAGGCAACTATCACACCGGCCTTACCCATTTGAACAACGGCTTTAGATTGATAGCCGCGCGCCGACGGGGACTAGCAGTGTACCAGAATCAGTCAGCAGGCATTGCTTCACCTAGCGGCTCGAGATCTTCACAGAGTGCGATCGAAGAGACAGTTGTACCAATCTTTACCCGCGGCATGGCGCAAGATCTGTTGTATGGATTCAAGGCTATACAAGACTTGGAAATACCAAGTCCAACACCAGCGATGTACAGTCGTACCCAATTCCAAAGCCTTTCAGAAGTGCAAAGAGTCTACTTCGAGCTCCGCAACGCAACTATCATCCATCTGTATATGATGGGTCGCAAAGCCATCTTTCGACAAGAGCCTAGCAACGACGCTTATAATGAAAGAGACAACCTTGTGGCATGTCATCGTATCTGGTATGAGAATATGCGGCGCTTTGAACTCCACCATAAGCTCTCCAATGAAGAGAGCATTGCTGCTAGCTCACTCAAAGCTTCTTACCACACTACCCTTATCTATGTCTCATGCTCAGCAAGCGTTATAGAGAAAACGTATGACGCTTACCTGGATGACTTCAAAGAGATAGTACGTAGCGCCCGGGAAGTCATCGATCTCACACCGCCGGCAAAATCCAACACCGCTCGTTTTACACTCGACATTGCGATTATACCACAGCTGTACTTTGTCGCCACCCGGTGTCGCTGTCCCACCACTCGGCGAGAAGCAGTAGCACTTCTGGAACGTAATCCACCCCGCGAAGGTCTTTGGGATGCGCAGCAACACGTCGTAGTGTCCAAACGAGCGATCGAATTGGAAGAAGTTGAAGTTGACCCACGTACCGGCTGGCCGGTCGAGGCGACGAGGCTATGGAACTGTATCCCAAAGGCCGGGATCGACCACAATGGTGGGTTTTGGGTGGCGTTCATCCCAGCAAGATGGATCGGGATACTTAATGCGGACGGGACTCAGAAAACCATGTACGAGTATTTCGTCCTATAATCATGGTTTGATGCAAGAAGGTTTTCTAAAATACAGATCCGATATTCTCGGCATGTACATCCCGCTTTCGCTCGTTTGCAATCATAGATTTTGCTTAATATTAGATATCGTTATTATGACAACGAAAACAATCTTACCAGAATGCCTGCGGAGAGTAACGTCAACAGCTATCCCGTGGGGCAAGAAAGTTACCATTGGTAAGGTTACATCTACCATCACTGCAATCGCAAACGAGCAGCAGTGCTCAAGGGGACAAGCGGTGGAGGTGCGCAAGACATCGCAACAAGCACAAAAGCATATATAAACTTTGTTCCCACTATCGAAAAGTGTCCGCCATTCACTATTTACCAATCCAACACACGAACACTGAGCTGCAAATAATGGCTTCCAGTCCCATCCGACAAGCATTCGAGAAGATCTTAACAGACAAGAAGAATCGCGGCCTTCCGCCACTCGAGGCTGAAAACTACGATCACTTCCTCGGTAAGTTGCTTTGTCATTTGCACCTTTTTGAACTCAGCTGACGCCTTCTAGCCGCGGTCTCATCGCTTCTCGCAAACCCGGCCTTCATCGACGAACATAGCTGGCAGACGCAGACACTCGAGCATTCTGTCAGCCGCCCCACCTTCAATGCGGTAATCATGGAAGATTGCGAGACCAAGCTTGATGTTCGACTCGAAGTGGGCGAGGAACTCGATTCCAGTGGCAAAGTAGTGTTTGTGGGCAATGTAGTCCGCATCACTGTAGATGGGCATGTACTGGCGAAGGGCAGAAGCACCTTGTGGGCCGCTGATGCGCTGCTACTTGCGTTGAAGAAGGTTATCGCGATGGCGGGGCGGTGGGAATGACCGAGTCACGGGGTACATCGAGGTTCCTGGCGTGTATTGGCTATCGTGACTTTCGATGTCGTATCCTCCTCTGTTTGTGGCTCTGAAGCGAAGCTGGGCAGGTGTGACTTCAGCTGATAGCTATGGAGTAACCAAAACAATGATGTATGAAATATCCTCTAGCACTTTGCTGGTGTGCGTTGAGATCAGCTGGCCACCCCTTTGTTGTAAGTTAATTGTAGCTCACATAATGATTATCAGGACCGCTTGCCAGCAAACGAAACTATTGCATAAGACGTTGACCTCGCCTGCTACATGTACCCTTGTACGCAAAGGCTACCGCGAAGTCTTAGCATCCATGGACGAAAGAAAAGACAATATCCTAATTCAAGATCGCCTCGACTATATCTGCAAAGCCGAAAACCTTCCGATTTTCACGCCAGAGGATCATCAGATTTATCAGTCTTTCTGCAGTAAGTATAGGACGTCTATGATCTTGATACTCTCTTAATAGATGCAAAGGGGACATCATTTATCTTCTCGATGTCGGGAGGGAACAAATATCTGCTTACCCTTGGGCACTCGAGGTCGGCGACACTCCACTCCCCGCTGAAGCAGATCTCCTCGCCTCAGTCGCTAGTCTGAAAGAAAGTAGAAGCTCGCGTAAGGAAGATGCTGCGAGGCAGACACGACAAGATCCTGACAAACCGTACCCCAAGGGTTTTGATGCATCCAAGAAAGAGAGTGTGGATCGCATCGCTATCAAGATTCAGCCGCGGCTGTGGGAGAAAAACAATGGAAAGATTAGAATATTGGGATACGATGCATGGTTTCAGGTCGACAATCTACTTCTCCAAAAAGTTACCTCAAAAGAATCTTCAAAAGACGCGATGAGGAAGCTTTTTCGGGCGATAAAGGATTTGGCATTTCGTCATGATGTGTTCTGGTAGTACGAGGATTTGAATCCGCAGGACTATGACAACTGAGATCTGGCAACCTGAACCTGACCTGACGAGAGGAGGGGGAGCGGGACACTTGCAAGCATCCAGGACTAGTGTGTATCGAAGATATTAGTGGTTGCTAGCTTGGATGATTGACTTTCGCAAACATTGTCATTACGTTCGTCCGCTCTTGAGCTCTTGCCTGATACCATGACTAGTTTGTCAGTTTTTACCACCAGCGATGGGCAAGCCACATGGATGCGGTCATGGGTGATGCTTGACAGCAAACATAGGTAATATGTAATAAGCGTGGTACTACAAGTTACCAGCTTTAGTTGCTCGCAGATCGAAGCAAAATCCTAAGATATATGGAGAAGAAATAGTTCAGTGTTAGATCCCCGTCGCCTCTCGAGGCACTCTTGATGGGAAGAGTGACAGACTACGGGCTTCCTGTCTTAGCACTGAAGGATCGCCGGAGATTTGTTGGTAAATTCAGCATTTCCAATAGATAGATACATGGTTAACACTGCGCAAAGATGATCTTGTCTACCTCCTCGATACAAAGAGGAAGAACATTCCGCTCTACCCCTGGAAATGCGATGATAAAGTCGAAACTGCACCCACGCCATCGACTTCACCTGCTCCGGCCCATCCACCAAGTTCCGCAAATGACTATAAATTTCTGGATGCATATGGTATCGCTATACCTCACAACGCATCTACAGATGGGATCTATCCAGCCAATTTCGATCCATCCGCGGAACAGAATCACGATCGTATATTCATCACTATTGGAAAGCAGGACGTTGATAACCCTTTTAGTGATATCGAAAATGAGATGTTCGCGGACATGACTTGGGGATACGACTATGTTGCTCGGCTCAAGGTTGATGAGTACACCCTCGTGAAAGGTGTGGCAGAGGATTCTGAGGAAGAAGCAATAAGCGAGCTGTTCAGACAGGTAAATCTCCTTGCTAACAATTACCGTCAGATGGAAAAGGAAGCAAGCTAGACGTATGAGGAAAGAGTGAAGATAAAGAAAGCAGAATAGACGCTTGATACGGTATGTGAGGCCATGAATCCCGGTGTGCATCGTCAAGAGCAATAGCTGTTAGGTTAACGTGAGAATTCTACGAAGTTCATCAGGTAATGCACCCTTCACCTCATAGTAACAATGAGATTCAGCAACGCCAACATGAGAATGAGACTGGTATAACGGGAGAAGTGAAACATAGCTTGATCATCGTTTGACGGGCATAGCCCCCTCAGAGTGATACTCGCCCCACCCGGACTACCACGAGGACTTCGCTAACCACGACCTTTGGCCCCCTCACTCAGCGTGATCACTGAAACGGGTACAAGAATCTACAGAGAATACTGTGAGACTCAACGCAAGAATCAGGACCGCGACAAAGATGAAACTCCGGCTCGTTATATCACCACGGCGCGCTCCCCTAGGAGATCTACTGCGTAACCATCTTCAGGGTTTGCTCGATGAGTTACCAGGCAGATTGCCATCATACAATCGAAAGCAGCTTCTGGGTGAGTTGCTATGTTCGTAAGATTGTATGGCTACTAACAGCAGCTGAAGATGACCTTTGCTTTCTCGTGCGCAGCCCTCTCTTCCTCTACGCCATAAGTCCGCGGTTACGTCACGCGACAAATTCGTTGAGGGTCGACGGACTGATCAAAGCAGAAGACATCAACATATACGCGCTGAATATGATGATCGTACGCGACGACAGTAGCTGGGCGACTCAACTACTACACGGCGGAGCTTCACTCGTCGAGGGACGGCAATACATAACGACGGAACAGGCCGGCTTTGTGCAAAGCTTCCACTGGTTCTGCGACGAGGCGAGGTTCTTGAGCTATGAGTTCCACGCTCGTGAGCTGGCCGCAGCGGAGGCGCTGGGTATTGCTGTCAGTATGAAGCCGGCAGTGGTTAAGCCGGTGCAGATCGATCTCCGCCAAACTCGTGCTAGGGCTGCAGCCCAGAAGCAGCATCGTATCGTCAAGCTGAGAGTAAGGTACCAAATGATCCATGGTAGACCAGTTCTTACGAAGGGGCCGAGGTAGGAAAAGGACGAATAAAGCGCGTCGTGGAGGGGAGCAGAAGTTGAGCTGGTCTGTTACTTGGATCCAGTCATTTTAAATCGCGTTTCAGCATCACGACATGAAAGAGCAGCTCAGTAAGGTGTTGCGCGCACGATGCTGTGGTGTCACTCCCGCTTGAACGGTGAGAAGGTGTACCCGCCGTCAATGCACAGTGCTTCCATCTTTTTGTTGTCAGCGCACAGGAAAACTGAACATGACTACATCACATCTCGCCATGCACATGCGTAACATCATCGTTGACATGAGCATAAAGCCCATAGGAGGAGCAGGAAGGATCGCGACTGCCCACAACAATCCTCATTGAAACCTCCAACGTGGATGCGATTGCCTTGCCAGTCTCTTTCGCCTCCAAATATCATCGTGAAAGCCTCAGTAGGTGTCTTGCTGACATGCAATGAATCCAATTCGCGATACTGCCGCCGCAAATTTTCCGTGAATCTGCGTGAAAATATTGCTGGGAGTGTTCAACTAGGCAGACACAATGTGTCGTGCTTCATTAGCCAGCACTGTCTGATGGATAAAGCTTGGACCCCGAGATTCCGCCGGAAAGCCCCACACGTAAGAGCCGTGCGACGCTACACGAGGTCACGGGATACTTAGCGCGCCAAGGCCACAACGCGTATATAACGCTGCGCTCCCTCGTCCTCCTCTTCTGTTCTTTAGCTCTCTTTGCCTTTTGGCTTAGGTATGTTTAGTTTTCTACACAAAGAATAAAACACATTTGCTAACTTTCTGCAGATCAAGTGTAGTATCTGTTCTTTTCAGTTTAATCTCTGAAACTTTCCTACGGGAAAATTCAAGATTATCCTTATTTTTGAAACCAGCCGGAGAGGCTCTGGGCTTGCTCATCTTCTCTGGCACAGTGTCGCCAGTATCACACTACTTCTGGCAGACGCGAACCTACCTTTTCATTGAGTGTTTTCGCTTGCGAGAACCTTGAGGAAGAAGTTCCTTTGCATGATGTTTGAGCGAGTTAGTAGCTTTGGTGACTTGATGCAGGTAGCGGCACTCATGCGTGTTGTGACTATGAGCCATGTCTTGGTAGCAAGTAATGTAGAACTCGAGCTCAGATGTATGGCTTTGTGTATAGTTTGCGGTCGTATAAATGAGGCAGCGTTCCTGTGTAGCTGGGTCGGTGGCGCGTATATGCACCGCCGCTGCTCTCTATATGGGCCATACCATGACGCAAGGATAATTGGCTTATGAGACGTAAAGCTCTGCTCTTCCGTTCTGTAAATGTTTTCTGAGCGACCTGGAGTCCGAAATGTGCACTTGCAGTGAGACAGCGGCAACTTTGCGTGGTGAACAGTGAGAGGCCGAAATTTCGTAGCTTGTCGTGACGAACAAACAACGACATCACCTACACAATCTTCTTCGCAACAACACCTCTACATCTACTCACACTTCAAAATGGCATCCAAGTCAGGCATGGTCAACCCGGCCATCTTCCAGGATCTTCAGGCGCGCGTAGACGAAGACACCGCCGTTCGGGATGTGAGTGACGCCTGATAGAGCTGCACGTGACAGCGTACTTACAACGCGACAGGAGCTGCGCGACATCATACAGGCACTCGAGAAGCACAGTAGGCACCTTGAACTCGGCGCATAGGCTTTTCTAATATATTCCAGACCGCAATGTCTCGTTTGTGCTGTCAAGAGCCCATTCTACGCCGGTGAACGAGCGTGAGTGGTATGTCGCAGGTCCAGCAATATCACGCCTAATATGAACACAGTACCCGATATTCTCAAGGCTTCTCAGGAACCGATTGACAATGTAATCGCCACTGTCGGCCAGCTGTCGCAGGCTGCGTCAAAGATGCCGTACTACAAGTTCAACAACATGTGGAGTCGTCAAATGCAGGGCGCGGTAAGCCCGCCAGGCACCTAAGACCCGTGACGACGAAGCTGACAGCATAACAGTGTGAGAGCGCTTTGTTCTGGGGCTGGCTCGGCGGCTTCAAGTATGATGGCGGTCAAGTACAATGCGGCCGTCTGTTGACCATCGAGGAGCTCGGCGAGATCTTCAAGAGTATGCTCAAAATCCCGCTTCATATGCGCACGGCTAACGCGGGCAGTTCCTGTGAACCTCAAGGACCGCGATGAGTTCCATCTCTCGCTCGAAGAATACCTTCATTCTCTTATGACGCTGGTCGAGGAATTGACACGCCTTGCACGTAACGCCGTCACGCTGGGTGATTACGAGCGCCCGCTTCTCATCAACCAGTTCGTCAAGGATCTGCACGCGGGCTTCCAGATCCTCAACCTCAAGAATGACAGTCTGCGCCGCCGTAGCGATGGTCTGAAGTACAGGGTCAAAGATGTCGAGGATGTAGTCTATGATCTGTCGTTGAGGAACTTGCTACCTAAGAAAGCAGAGCAGAAGCAGTGAGAGGACCGCAGGGTGTTGCAGTAGGAGCGCTGCGTCCATCGTCACGAAGTAGCTACTTGTCTTATAGAACCCAGAAGCCGAAGCGAACAACGGGAATCTACATACAAGACTAGTAATCTGTTCTCCTCTAAACGCTTGTAGTCCTTGCTACAAACCATGGAGGTGCTCGAGTGGTGATGTGACATGTGTCCAATGAGCGCGCAGCACGGACAACATCACGAAAGTTTCCGACCCGCGACATCCCTCCGCAACCACCGCGACTGCACCAACCCAACAGGCCAGGCGCCACTTCCGCTCCTTTAGACGCCCGTCGTAAAGCCTTGCCCTGCTAGTTGACATCCGCATCGTACTGACGACGCCGCACACCGCCAATCCTCTTCTTTCATTCGCAAACATGGCCAGCACGACTGTCATCAACGCAAACGCGACGTCCAAGGTCCACCCTTCTCCCCCCCCGCCAATCGAGCCATTAAAGAATGACTTGGCACGCACCTACACGCACATTCACCCGCTTCTTGTCCTTTCCGTCTATGGCCTCAAGTTCAATGCATTGGTTGCCGACCCGGTATCGACGCTCTTTAGCACCCTTCCGTACCTCGCCGTGCTACAGATAGCGTTCGTGGCTGTATGCCTACCACCAACTGGAGGCGCACCCAAGAAGCCCACCGAGAAGAAAGCCAAGGCTCCTGGCAAGCCGGAGCAAGGGGGTAACTCGAAGCTTGTAGTACGTGTACTCTACGACTTTTACACCCTACACTAAGCCTGCCACGGCCGATATTCGAGAAAGCAAGACTGACAAACAATACAGCCGGCATTCCTATCCCTCCTTCTTGCCCTGATCGCTGCAACCCCGCTCCTGACCGCTACCCTCGTCCTGTTCGGCGCGCCCGTCTCCTCGCATTACTGGCATACTCTCCTTTGCGGCGCTCACATCGCGCTTCTCAGTACACTGCCCCTGGTATACGTACACGGTGTAGACGGCGAGACCTGGAGGCAGATTGTCGCGCTGCTTCTGCCGATTGATGAAGTCTACGGAGGATTGATTGGTACTGTGCTTGGTGCATGGCTGGGCGCTGTGCCTATTCCATTGGACTGGTGAGTACTTCTACACATGTCGACACCGGAAAACATGGCTAACCGACTACAAGGGACCGCGAATGGCAAAAATGGCCCGTCACCATCGTTACAGGCGCTTACATTGGATATGCAGTCGGCAAACTGCTCGGTGGCACGCTCCTGAAGGGTACCAAGATCATGTTTGATTAGGTGCTTCGGACGGTGGTACACTCTTGAAGGATATCAAGATCATGTTTGAACAGGTGCTTCGGATCACGAAGGGTTATGCTCTTGTGTTGCTTCATAGGTTTTCCAGGCTTCTGGAGGGTATGCAGGACATGACAAGTCGTTGTGAACGTGACATCCAAACAGATGGTAATGGTTTTGTACTTTCGCAAAAGAGGCCTTCCAAGTTGCAGACGCGATGGCGAGTGATCAGGCCCGGCTACCTATAGCGACGACGTCAATAGGGTCAGCTCGCCCAGACCAAACAATTATTTTCAGACTTGCGCCAAAATCGTTGAAGTTTCCAAAATCGATGGCAGTTTCCTGCTCCAAAAGGCGAAATGTGGACACTGTAGGTGCTGATGGAGCCTCGAGGCGAGGCGTAACATCTCGTAGCTCTCGGAGCTTCGACCGATGCGAGCTTCCTCCACCAAGGCCGAGCTTCCACCCGGCATTCCCAAAGCAGCAATTCCGGCGCAAACACATCAATCTCCCCAGGTTACAGTAACCCACCTGTATTCCACTTGACTGGATGCAGTATACCCAAGCTGCTAAATCTAGATTGACGAAGCTTCGGGTTAATCTGAGCGCGTAAATGTGCCATTAGACGCGTATGAGGAGCGAAAAAATGACTTGACGGGCGTGATGGGGTGCCACGAGCGGGGTCCGCGGTCGTAATGTTGATCGAGGCGGGGGATGCGGGGGATTGTTTAAAAGGCACGATGGCCGGCTGAATTGATGGTATGTCGCGTGGCTTGGTCTCTTGTATTCATCCTCAATTCTGAGCTGTGTATATTCTTGTGTGTTCGACATATTTGAGGTATGTTGTTGCTTCGGCTGCCATTCCAGACTACAGCTGCCAGATAGTATACGGCATAGGTTTCACTCGCTGACAACCTCAGATCTTTACGTCATACACATTCGGGCGCGTCTTCAAGATGTCTAGAAAGCATTTCTTCCCCAATCCGGAAGGCGTGGTCCTCCACAATCTCCGCTCGCTATGCACACGCAACTCCCACATGGCGCTCGACGAGGCCAACCGAGTCGTTTACAATCTCTCACACCCTCCGGACCAGGTCACTATCGTATCTGGTGGTGGTTCAGGCCATGAGCCGGCGTGGTCTGGCTTCGTCGGCGATGGCATGTTGTCAGCTGCTGTATGCGGTGATATCTTCGCTTCTCCCAGCACCAAGCAGATCATGGCTGGAATACGGAATGTGCCGAGTAACGAGGGCGTTATCCTATGTATAACGAACTATACGGGAGATATGCTACATTTTGGCCTTGCTAGAGAGAAGGGCCAGGCATTAGGATACAAAGTCGACGTTGTATGCATGGCAGAAGACGCCGCTCTGGGTCGCGAAAAGAGTGGCAAGGTTGGAAGGAGGGGTTTGGCTGGCAACTTGCTAGTTATCAAGCTTGCTGGCGCCGCATCACAGAAAGGCTGGGCTTTTGAACGGTGTAGGAAGATTGGCGAGTTGGGTAACTCGCAATTGGTAACTATCGGGACGAGTCTTGATCATTGCCATGTTCCAGGACGAGACGCGTTCGAGAGTGTGCAAGATGACGCTTGTGTAGTTGGTATGGGTATTCATAACGAGCCTGTAAGTTCCTTCGACTTAATTCGAGCTATACAAGTATTACAGGCTGATTGATGCTAGGGTTTACGAACCATCTCCCCAATGCCTAGCCCTGAAGATGTCATCAAAGAGATGCTTCGCTACCTCCTCGATCCATCCGACTCCGACCGCGCATTCGTCACCTTCAACCCCAACGATAACGTCGTCATGCTCGTCAACAACTTCGGTGGCCTCTCAAACCTCGAATTTGATGCCTTGGTGAATCTCGCTCTGATAGCCTTGAAGCGCGACTGGAAGATCGTACCAACACGCATCTATGCTGGCGTACTAGAAACCTCCCTTAACGCCCAAGGCTTCAGCATAACACTCGGCAACATGAGCGGCATGGCAAAGGCCATGGATCTCAAAGACGAAGATGTCATGGAACTGCTAGACGCACCTACAAACGCTCCGGCATGGCCAAAGAACGGTTACCAACCCCTCAACGTCAACAAGGAAACAGAGGAGCTACGCAACAAAGCCAACGCCGCTGCAGCCGACAAATCCGCGCTCCACAAGGGGCCCGCTACACCACCCTCTTTCATCCCCGCTCTCCGCACAGCATGCAAAGCAGCGCTAGAAGCAGAACCCACAATCACACAATACGACTTACAGATGGGCGACGGTGACTGCGGAGAAGCTGTGGCCGGAGTATGCAAGTCCATCCTCGCCAATATCGACGCCGTGGAAAGTAACCCGCCACCCATCCTCGCCTTGCTAGAAAGCATAAGCGAGAACGTCGAAGATGTCGGCGGCTCTCTCGGTGCCATTCTGTCTATCCTCGTCACCGCCTTCACAAACGCGCTGTCAAAAGCCACTCTATCACAAAACGCACCACTGGATATCTCGACGCTGGCGTCTTCCGCATCGATTGCGCTCGAGAACCTGAAGAACTACACTAGTGCACGGGAGGGCGACAGAACGGTCATGGACGTGTTGATTCCTTTCATCAACACATTGGCTGAGAGTAAGGATTTGAGTAAGAGTGTGGATGTGGCGGAGAAGAAGGCGGATAGCACAAAGGATATGAAGGCCAAGTTTGGGCGGGCGACATATATCAGTGAGGATGGGAGCGAGAGAAGTAAGATTCCCGATCCGGGGGCGTATGCGGCCGGGGTTTGGCTGAGGGGGTTGGAGAAAGGTTTTGGTGGGTCGTGAATGGGAAGGCAAGTTGTTCAGACAGCTGCAGCAATTGATCACTACTTCTTTGGGAGGCTAAGGAAGACCATTTAAGATCTCGATAGAACACAACGTTAAGATATGCGCACGTGCTCAGATATTAGTCCGCCTGGGCGCTGTGGAGCCGTGCATTGGTGCAACTGGCTGACAAAGATAACTGTAAAGGTAAGGGTGCTTAAACGGTCCGACATCAAAGCTCTATGTGTTAGGAAAACGTCAGTAGTGCTCACGCACGACTACGTCAAATTGGAATAATCGAAACCATATGGTTTTGTAAATCCGATTACTAAATCCATCCAAGGATGAATGACGTACAGTGGAAACAGTATAAGAAGAGGAATGAAGGCAATGGATATCTGGAACATTTTACCATTATCTCGCTCGCAAGCATCACATGTTTACCATCCCCTCTACAATCAGCTTCACTCCACTTACCTTGCAAGGGAAGGTAGTCATTGTCACCGGTGCTTCCCGGGGAATTGGAGCCGGTATAGCACTAGAATTGGCGCGTAGAGGGGCCAATGTAAGTTTCTCACATTGCCAGGAGTGAAGAAGCTGCCATAATACTAACACTGCAAACAGGTCGCGCTTGTCTACACATCCCCCAATAGTGAGGAGAAGGCCAAGAAGATCGCATCCGACATATCAGGCTTGGGAAATGGTAGCAAAGCGCACATCATCCGAGCAGATCTAAAAAAAAACTTGAGGCTCCTACAGCTATCGTTGCGTCAACCAGGGAAGCATTTGGCGACAAGATCGACATCTTGATCAACAATGCTGGTGTACTTTGGGCGAATCCTATTGGGGAGACAACCCTTGAAGACTACACGGGAATGTTCGACATCAATGTTCGCGCACCACTATTTTTGACCAAGGCTGTGGTTCCTCATCTTCGTAAACCTGGACGAATTATCAACATATCATCCGTTGGTTCGCGCGCCGGCCCACCCAAACTATCCATCTATGCAGCGTCGAAAGCAGCCGTCGGAGGCTTGACAAGAAGTCTTGCACTTGAGTTGGGAGATGAGGGCCATACTGTTAACTGTGTTTCTCCCGGCTCCGTGGAGTCAGACATGCTGGAAAACCTGCCAGAAGAATCGAGAGATCATGTGTTGAAAGGCACGGCAGTAGAGCATCGTGTGGGAACTGCAGATGATATCGCGCAGGTTGTATGCTGGATAGCAAGCGAAGACTCAAAGTGGATATCGGGACAAACCATATCGGCTTCAGGCGGCTTCATGATGTTGTAGCAGTATTCAGGGCTGCTGCTTCTGTTTTTACTAGAGCTTTACGAACCTAGCTTTGTCTCAAGTCACGGGGTTTCTGCTGTTTAGCGCGACAACACGAAGTAAGACGGCGCTTGATAGGAGACTGTTTCGCACAGGAAAAATACATGCGCATGTGATTAGACATGTGGAATGTCTGGTCATTTGATACGAGATGTGATCACCAATGTCTGTATACCTAGGATTCGGTATCAACAACCAATGACATTTCCATTGCCGCGTCGCTCTCACGAGTCAAGCGGCTTTTCTTCTACAAGAAAAAAGCAGAAGAGCATCGATCGAACGCTTTCTTGAGTCACGGTGGCTGAAGACACACGTTTACAGTGTAAGCAGTTCTATTATTACTTATACTACAAACTTTGCGTCATGCCTGTTCTTTACCCGACCTACCTAGGTAGCGTCGATAGTACATAGAGAAGGTCTTGTCTATTTGTGATAAGATCTAATCGTAAGCAGAGATAGAAACTTTGTCGCATATCAAGGGAGTGTGGTCTGCGGCAGTGTGTTCTCGCGCTGGAGATCGAGCCAGCTGCACGAGGGCACCTCGGTGTCGATATTAGCAGGTACAGAAGCTCTCCAATTATGACCCCACTCTTCCAACGTCCATGTGCGGTCCTGACTCACGAGTAGCTCTGTATCCGGCATCTGGCCAATGTCAAAGTTGCAACTGACTGGAGATTGACCAATTGTTATCGCGCGCAAAGCTTCTGGGAAACCATCCATGATATACACAGCCCAAAGCCTAATCTCCCATGAGTCTAGAGGGGTTTGCCAAATCTTACGGTCAGACAAGCACGCCTCACAAGCGATTTGCCATGCAGCATCGCGCTTCGCCACATCGAAGATGCGTGTCGATTGTGTCGGAGTGAGATCACCATCTATGACCATGCGGAAGGACTGAGATGGCATCCCAAGAGAATGTAGGGACATCACTTCCATGATCCAGTTGGCGATGCAGCCCTGGTTGTGAAACCCCGACGTGATCGAGTCAGCCTGCCCAGAATCGCACGGGTCTGAACGTGCGTTTGCAGATCGCGGATTTTCGTTGTCTATTAACAGGCCCGATGCGTCTGGTAGTATCGCCTTCCAGAGATCGACTCTTCGCTCGATTCGTAGCTTTGGGTTGCGTTGACAGAACGGGATGAAGCCTTGCGCATGACACTGAGGCCAAGCCACAGCCCTGTTCTTTTCATGTAATACAATCTTGCGGATCTGAAGTTGTGCAACTAAAGACAGGGACTCCAGGAAGGATATTGCTACACTTGCTGCCGAGAATCGATATTTGAACCGATCTAGATAGCGAAGTTCGTTCCATTTCACGTCGTCGACTCTGTTCTCAGGTCCTAGAACATGCTTCATGGCTATGATATCCTCTTCAGTTGGTATCTTCCATGGCATTTAGTTGTACGCTATAACCTCTCTGGGATGATCATATCCGCTTCCCTTTGGCGTCCACCCCCATGTGTTTTTTCTGTCAATCTTGAGAATTCCAGATGCGCTGCGACGGCGGCGAGTGTAGATGTGACGAATTGACGTGTCTTTGAAGGCGTGTCCTTCCAACATTCGCTCCATAAGGATGCGAAGACATATCCTGGTTCTGTTTTTCGGATCAGCGACGTATATTGAGGATGGTGCGCCTCCACATGGGCATATATTGTATCGTCAAAGAGACCTGCCATACTGACTCCCCACACCAAGTAGCGAGTCTTCAACTTTTCCAGAATTCCCAGGATAGCATTGAAGTGGCCAGCTCTCCTTTGGCATGAATGGTTATATTCAGATGAAAAGTGAAGCGTATTGAGACCCAGTGCTAGTCCGCACGTTTCTTCTCGGAAGAATCTGCTTACAGACCTGAGAGCTAATTTGATGGGTTGGCCACTTGCAGACGTGAGTTTTCCAGTGGAGAAGTTGTATGCATAACCGCCCTCTACCTCGAAGTAGAATTTGTAGATAAGATTCCGAAGCTCGCGAGGAAGGCTGTAGAAGTCTGCCATGGTTGTCGTGATACCGCGATGATAGTTAGGGGACGGCGGGTCGAGATGAGAAAGTGTGTTGGAAAGTATGCGGCGAGCAAGCGGCTTTACCTACTTGAAGGATCCGAAGGCAGCAACCAGCTCACGTGAATGTGGGCATGTGCCAGGCGTCGCGAGACACGTACCACGGAACAGCATCCCTGTGGAAAGACGCTCGCTGGCTACAATCCCTCGGCACCGAATATTTGACTACCATGAGTACTGTTAACAAACATACCAACCAATCCTCAACGCATATCTAGCTCAATACCTAAAACTCAGCTTCCAAATTTTGACAAGGTCGCGCTCTAGAGTCTTACCAGGTAAAGTTACCCAGTTAGTCAGCTGGCCAGTCTAACCTTGGAACCTAAAGGGGAGAATGAAAGCATCGGCACGCATGTACCAAATCAGCTGCAATCAAGGTGTCGTCCGCTTCACGGGATGATCGAAATATTCCATCCGTGCAGTGTGGGTGTGAACAGTGTACCCATTCTGCACTATGCAGATCTTGGGACGTTCTACCAACAGGGTTTATGAAAGGAGAAATATCGCCCTTGAACATGCTGAGGCCGTGAGTTTTACAGAGCGTCAGACATCTGTTACCGATCAACAAGAACGTTATCAACGATGAGCTTGGATCATGGAACGACCACGGTGTTGCTCCAAGACTGGCGTCAGTATAAGGTATAAAAGCTGTGCGAAAGTGAGACGGGGCGAATCGTTACACGCGCATCACACCGGTCGGCTTTGTCGTTGACATTATTGGTGGGACTTCTCTATTAATTTGATTGACATGCTGGTAATAAGACGCAGGCACAACGCTGTTGAGTTACACTGTATTGTATCGCAGTAGAAGTGTGTTCCCAAACACTCACTTGGCTTCATTGTATGCAGCTGTATATATCTGGGAGGAATGTTAGAGAGCGCAGTTGATGCGGGAACATCCGCGGCGCCGAAGACCTACACTCATTTGGAAGTTTCATTGATTGCAACCGAAGCCATGAATGCTAAACCTGGTCAGTGCTCTGTGTGCAGATCGGCTAGAGCAGGAGCCTTACTCATGTGGTTTTGGAGAGCCACCATGGAACTCTCAGCTCTGGGTAGTTGCCGTAAAGCTCGACGTTGAAAGAACAGTGTGATTCTGGACACACACCAAGTCAGCTTGATGTGGAAGACAAAGATAACATGGTCACCGACTCGCTGGAGGTAACCGTGGTTGATGGCAGGCAACCAGCGTTTTGAACCATGGAATTCGAATCCCAGGAAATATTTGAACATGGACTGCTGGTTGATCAGTGATGGAGTCATAAATCAGAAGTGGCTTTTGTCATACCTCAAATATTCTTCTCTCAAATTCCACACTCCAATATCTCTGGTGCTGGTCAGCCAGAGGTCTAAACGAGCACCTCGACGGCCGTATACCGAGCATCATCGTCATACTCATCCCTACCATCTTCAGCATGTCGCAAGTCATCACATGCGACCGTATCGCAGCTACAGAGAGGATTGATCAGTCAAGAGTCGCTACAAGTCTCATCACTGAGAGAACTTACGCATAGAGCGCCCGGTTATGGAGGGCCCCACAGTCGGCTCAACACCGACGACGACAACCACAGCCACCACGCCGACAGCCGCCCATCGATACAGCAAGGACTAATGATGATTAGACAAGAGGCGGAAGGGAGCAGAAAAGCATACTCAAGTCATCCTCAGTGTGGACCGCCTCAAGAGTGACCTCGAATACCACGTACAAGCTCGCATACAGCCAGTCAGCCTGTCTGACTTGAGCCTAGAAGAGCTTGAGAGCAAGTTCAGCGAGGAACCGTTCAAACTCACTGCAAGGTCAGCTATAATCAGATATATTTAGAGAGAAGCCTTACAACTTCTTCTTGTCGGCACCATCCTCATGCTAGCCAGGATGGACATGAGTCCAGAAGACGAAGCCTTTGCTCGTACCCAGGATAAACGAGTGCAGTGGTTGCACGAAATGGTCATGGCTCGTGGCGCGAGGACTGATGAGCAGAACAAATACTTCAAGGACGTCCTTGATGGTCTAAAATGCGTTGACTATATGTCCCAGACCAGTACAAGCATACTCACCTATTTGACGACTGGCTGAACTTCATCTGTACTGATACATCTACATCAACATCAAAAGTACTGGCTGTCTCATCTTTCCGGTAAGTACTACATATGGAAGATCAGGTACATCATCGTTGTTGGTGACGTACCTTTGGCGAGTTGAGTCAAAGCTAATACGTCTCAGCCCGACACGCCCAGAAGGACAACAGCTCGACCATGCCAGTCCCCAATGTACGTCTTCCTGAACCCCAATGGCTGCATATCTTGCGGCATACAGAAAACACGCAATAAAATCTTATCCAGACTGCTTCCATGCTTCCGCATCCGTCCTTCCGCCATGTTCGTTGTATCCGACTCGCCTACGTGTGCCGTACGTTCGACCTTGGCTTCGAAGAGGTGTTCACGAGACGCTGACGACATGAACCTAGATCTCCAAAGCCTTCTCAATTCGTATGCGCGCGCAATCGGTCGGTCGATTCGATCGATTCGTTCAAGAGGTATGAGATTCTTTCCGCGCCTCATCCCGACGATATACTGACAAAAGACTCAGGGAGGACGAGGACGTGTGGATGAGGACGAGAAGGAGTTGCAACGGCGGAGCAGCTTCGTTCACGGGTAATCGGTACGCATACGTTGCCCAATCACGTCGTCTTCATGCTGATCAGATTCTTCAGAGGAGATGTTTGACCTGATCCCGGAGAGTCAGGAAGGACACGAACCACATGCCGTCTTGCCGAGAGTTAGTGAAGCAAAGTACTTTGTGAGACTTGTACCCTGTGGCGACAGAAAGGGCTTTTCCAACAGCGATTCCCGGGTGAGCTTGCTGCATCAGATGGCGCCGAGTAAGCACACCCTATGTTCGTTTTCTGTAGATTCTTCCAATTGACAAATGTCTAGTGATGATATCCAGAATTGGAAGCCCACTGAGGTGGTCAAGGGAGACTTGGTCAGTGTGCCACACGCGCAATCTGATGAGGATTCGCCTTGATGTTTTGCGGTAGCGGAACACTACCAGGGAGTGGATGGAGCTGAAGGTAAATGTACCACCCAACGAGCACTTGAGTGGATATTGACCATGAACAGGTCATACTGTGGGGCGCATTCAGCAATGCGCGGTGGCGTGAGTGTAAGTCACTACTGCCACTGCGTTGGTCGTTCAATATTGATAGTTTTGTTAGCCATCGCGGCGATCATCCTGGAAGAGAAGAAGAGGCTATCGTTGTGGGAAAGCAAAGATACAGTAAAGGCAGCGGGGTAATCAGCAGTATCCCGGCCTAAAGAACAGCGAATCTAATACCTTATAGGGATACGCGACTCAAATACAAAATGTTGGAATGCGTAAGTCCCACGCTCTTGAACCATATGTAGACATTCTACCCTTGCATTAGGCTGACAAGTACCCAAGCTTCTCTGGAACGATTACACGCCCATCACAATGGTTGGGAGGAGATTACCAGCTCTTGTGACGATGACTGGTACGCGACCTCAACTCTGGCTCCCATATCACTCGATATCGTGCTCATGCTTCCGAACAGGGTACCTACCGCCTCTCGGTATGCTGCACAAATCTATACCTAAAGGTCATCTAACGAATCTAGCAGCTTCAACAGACCTGAGGACAGACCTGTTACGGTTCGCTCGAACGTAGGTCCTGAACTGCCATGTCTCTATTGTGTCTGACGATCCGAGCCTCCCATAGTCCCCTTTCAGACAGCTGCGGTCGTGGCTAATGGTAAGCCACACACAACCCTCTAAACAGAGGGTCCTAACAACTCTAGATAATTCGAGAAATGTTGAGGCTCTTGGCCAAAACATGGGCAAGCTATAAGCGACCATTGGTTAAGTCGGCGCTAAGGGTTGTAGGGATACGCAACATCATCATTCGTCGAACAGACTCATGGTAAGGCATAAACGAAAATTGGGTTAGCCGGCACTAATGTTGAGCAGTTCCATGGTACCATTCCAGGCAAGACAGGCAACCGAACACACGTGACACAGCTGATCGGAGCGGGTCAACGGTAAGCTCTGATTATCGCTGCTTATATGCCAACAGCCAGTGCTGATATCACGAAGTCTTTCCGGGTGTTTTTGACTTCACATTGGAATGTTTTGCCCTGTCGCAGTAAGTATCGAGCCGTTTTTGTCGGGATGTCTACTGACAGTGACTATAGTGTGATCGTGACGCCCGCGCCACCAACAGATTCGAAAGATGCAATGTAGAGGTCGAGTTCGAATCGCCGTGTAAGTTGCCCAGCGTGTTGTTCAGCTTTCTAACTAATCTATGTATATAGGTCTACGTTCTGCCAAAGAAAAAAACTGCTTTCTATAATTGATTTGTTAAGGATTACAAGCACAGGGTAAAGTGCTTAAAACAGCTAATATCACGGTATTATAACAGAATGGCTGCATGCTTGCAAAGGTAGAAGCCTCTAGACACTGAATAAAGAAACCGATACCACGTAATGCCTGACCATTTGTTCCCTCTCTATAGTAGCTCGACTGAGCGAACACGGTTCTTTATGTTCGATAGCCTACGTTTCCGTGGTTCAAGAGCAATTTTCCATGGATCAAGCGGGTCATGTGCTGTTGGTGGGGCTGGTGCCTTGACATGATAACATAAAAGATCCTTAGACTTCCACCAAGACTGATTCCTACAACTAAACCTTCATACCTCGACATCGGGCCAGCTCTCAAACAGCAAGGATTTGAGAAGAAACACAAGAATCTGCTCCTACATCAAACGAGACGCATACGTCTCGAAGCGCCAATCCAATGTCTCTCAGCCGACTTCCTCGTGAACTTCGGGACACGATCTACGACTATTGTACATCTGAGAATGGCGATTACTATTTCGACTCTATCGAAGGAAAGCTACGTACTCTATCTGGAGACAAGATCGACTTATCGCTCATGTACACATGCAAGAACATCGCTGCCGAAATGCGCGGTGTCCCATTCCGCAACAACACCATTCACTTTACCACTTCTCCAAGTCCCGATCGTTACACTCCCAAATACAGAAACTTTAGTCAATTACTAGAGAAACTTAATTTGATCAAGATCTTCACGCTGTTGCGAGCCGGACCATTCATTACCAACGCCATCGCTCGAAAGATCATTAAATCATTCCCACAGAGCGCGACTTTGATAAAGCAACTCCAAACCACGAAGGCAAGACACTGTTATCCTCATGGGCTTTCGGACGGATCTGTAGAATGGGGGTTCGATCGATTTTTTCATCATGACGCTATTGCTGAATTGTTCAGCATGGTTGCGAGGAACCCTGCCTTCGGTAAAGCGATGCGAAGAGAATTTTCCCACAACGGTCAAGAGTTTCGTGATGATCAAGACGTTTTAAGCCTATACTCTTTCTATCCGAAGCCGTGGTGTGTCCCAAACGCACATGAGATCCAGACCATGATGCAACACATGCCCTCCTATCGACATCCGTCCTCCCATGATCGAATTCGCGACCAAACAAGATACTATATTTCAGCCGCTTCGCAGGCTTCGGAATTTCTATCAAAATTGACGCGGCCGATCCGAAGTAGCATACGCCACCTTGAACTTCATGAGCTACATGCCAGTTTCGCATATCCTGAATGCCATGCCAGAGCTCTTATCCCCTTCGCGATAGAGAACCCTAAACTCAATATCATACGTCGCATAAGCCTTTGGAACAATGTTCTTGCTTCGCAGCACCTCCAGGATGATGAATGGTATGGCTATATATTAAGTCGAAGAAGAATGCCGATAGGCGACATGGATGCTAAGACAGTTACCAATACGCTCGCACCGTGGTTGACTGAAGCTCTGGCACTCGAATCTGCAGGCATGCCGCCCAAAGCATTTTCTATGGTTTTCGAAGGTGAGAAGGATTCCATGCAGCCTATCTTTGACATACTGGTTGAAGATGCATCATGGCAAGACGCACTTGAGCTGTGGCCGGGTCGCCACATTGTATCCAACGAAATACTGAGTGGCACAAGTTACAAGGACTTTAGTAGCTACTGGTTCAAAGAGCTTCCGGAACTGTTGAGGGACATCATCCATGGCACCGGACCTATAACATTCGACCACTGTTCTGGACGAGACTGGAATGCTCAGAACATCCTTACAATGAACAGTAATTGTCATAGTATGGAGGACTGGGACATGAGATGGTTTTTACTGCGAAGTCGTAAAGTTGCTCCATCGTTACCGCATACATGGCACACCATGTTGGAGAAATATGTCTGCGAGGATGAGAACGCACGTTCCGTATGATTAATACAGCTCATGATCAGCTCCGAAGGCACGCAGACGATCTCTTGTCAATCTTGGACGGCGAATGCTTCGATCACTATAACGGCGCGAGCGCGCAACAGGGACAGGAGATGTATTTGAGCCGTATAGTATGATCAAGACGCTATTGGATGATTCATGGCAATATCCATCGGTGTAGGCGTATCTTGCGAAGCTACGATTCATATCCAAACAAAACCCGCATAGACTACTTAACATCAGGAAAGCTACAGGACCACAGCGAAGATATCAACGTAGCTCAAGGGTCTTAAATAGTTCAAATGTAGTGATTATGTATATGATCACCATCCAATGTTCGTGAGAAGCGAGTGAGGAAGACCGATGACACAGAAGGGCGAGTCCGAGAAATATTGATAATCATCATACACTTTTGTGCCTTCAGAGTCACCCAAAGAGAACCGACTAGGCGCCACTGAGGCTGATAATTTGTTCTAGCGCACATTGTGCGACCCTGGGAGTAAATTAAGTCCATATGAGTCTTTGGTAGACCTGTCCAGCCCCATACTCCTGTCGATCTTGCTTTGCTTTCTCTTTGACCACCTTTTCCATGCTAACAATCCAAGAACCACGACGAGTATAACAGCCACAGCGATACCATAATAGATGTTATTCTTCGGGTCACCACTAAAGTTGAACCCGATGAATCCGTTGATGATACCACCCAAGACGATAGCTGGACCAGCGATCAAGTGAATATATCCATAGATTGTAGGCCGTTGGTGCTTGCGGAACCGAAGATGATGATAGAGTCCAAGTCCCCATTGAAGGAAGAGCAGGGCGAAGAGGATGAGGCCGAAGACTTGGTGGCCTGACGTAAAGTCTTTTGACTGAAACAATCTCGTTAGTCCGTCATGTCCAATGCCACGTGAGTGGAGAGCAAGCTTACGTGATTGTACATTGTGCTCAGATAAATTCCAATTCCCACTCCAACCACGGCAGCGAGTACACCTACACCCTGAACAATACCATGTATCTTAACGCTTTCGAGGAAGCGAAGAAGAATCGCCCCAAGTGGGAAGATGACCAGAAATGCAACAATCATGATGACTGCATGGGCTGGGCCAACCTTATCGCCGTCACTTTCTGCCTTCTCGTCTGCACCGGCATTATTCGTAGTTGAGAGAACTGCACCGTTTGAAATATTGACCATACTCGTCTGGTTGGACGTAGCTTTAGTCATATCCATCCAGAAATTTCCGTATGCCTCGTGACGCTTGATACCCGCAGACTTTGACGCGCTCGCGATTGTGTCGTCGGTAGGACCCCATGCGTAAAGGAAGGGCTGTTTGGCGTTGCTCAATTCGAGCTTCCCATCACCGTCTCCGAACGTAGTGACGTTCTTGCAGCGAATGTTGGCGGAGTAGTAGTGGGTGCCGGAAGTCTCATAGATCCTGTTGAGGTAACCAGTTCCCTCAACCAACACGCAGTCGATGCTGTTATCGAAGCTTGGCTCAACGTGACCATCTGAAGTTCGCGGTGAAAGTGTCACGCCTAACATTTGTTAGATAATGAGGCCAACAAGGGTAAGGAATCCGAAGCGCTGACCGTTCTTATCCGAGCTCTCATACAGAATCCACATGACGCTGCCATCCATCTCGCTTCCTGTTCCAACACCAACCCACTGGTATGTTGCTGGTGCAGAAATGTGTAAGTAGACATCGCCAGTCGATTCTGCAGCGCTCAAGGCAAATGTGAGATTTCCGTGGTCGGTGGGATATATAAAAGTTGAATATGCAACGTGTTGTGCCTGCACCACAGCTATGAACGCATTGATATAGCAAAGAGCTGCATGAAATGTTGTTATTAGCATTTACTCCTGTAGTGCAATGATAGAAGGACCTGGATTGTCATACTCACACAAACTGCAACATAGAAGAAATGCCTTTTTTGGAGTCGTCATCGTGATTAGTCAATTACAGGCGACAAACGATGCTCGAGAATGAAATGCTTACGACTGGAAAGGAGAACGAAGCAGACATATATCTGCCCATCCAGTATTCACTCACGCTACGCAAGTGCATCAGAGAGCTTAGCCAACTACAGCCAAAGTGATTATGTTTTGTATGTCGGAAACACCTCCATGCTGATTGGATCAGAGACGTTGGCTTGAACACTGTCGCCTATCTGGGTGACGCGTACTACACCTAGCACTAGTTTCATGTATTGAGGCTGAGTGTACAATTGTCGCCGCAACATGGTTTCGATGTAGTAGTATAGCGGGGTAAAGTTAGACCGACGGGTACAGCACCCAAGCGTACACGATCTAGCGGGTGTCGTGCGTCAAGGCTGCATTCAGCTAATCACAGCGAGTCAATGACATCTTACCGCCAATATGTTCCCCTGATCCGTCCGCCCATGCTAAGTCTTTGAACAAAAGCTTGCGACAGAGGCTTAGCTAGATTTAGCAAAGTTTATGGTCGCCGACACGGGTGCCAGAGATCGGTGAGTATGCGCGAAATGATACATATTCTAACCTATGATATACGTCCCTGCTGCTAAGTGGACGCTTTAACCATAGTTCATCCAACATTGACTACCTATCCTTGGAAAAGTGCTTGGAGAAGGCTTGAACAGTACAAGCTTCGCTCAGACTAACTATCTTTAGACGGCTAACAGACCGTCGATAGAGTTTAGCGAGGGCCGTGACACAGGTGACCAGTCGCTGTCCTGAAATTGACAATCAAAGTGGTAATTGTTGACATCACTGCTATATGCATTGCTCTTCGATGTCAACGTCACTTTTACTAGAGCATAGTGTCGCCGAATAATATGCGAGGAGAGACGCGTTCCCTCGATCATATTATTGCTCAACTCAAGATCAAGTAGATGCCTTGCGTTGCTCGACTTGCATGAGCTGTTTGGTTGCGTGGTGCGTTACGTAAGTCCGACCAGTTGCAAGTCTTGGAGTCGAAGAATTGATTATGCCCATCCGATAGCTGCGGCTAGTCATGTATACATCTATACAAGTAGTATAAGACTGACACATCGCGATGCGGTAAGGATGTGCGGTAGCCTCGCAGCTCTGTATCCGACTTCGTGTGTGAAGATATGCGGCTTGATTTGTGCGCGAGCTCTTTGAGGACTGAATTATCGTACCCTGCACATATCGTGGTCATTGACAACACACTGTCTATTTCCTTGGCGTGTAGATGCGTCATTCATCTAGTTCTGTCTCATCCCATTCGCGTGGCAACAGCACTCACGTATGTTACTTACGCGTCACAAACATTGATGCGGAGAAATGCCTTTCTTCTTACTCGCCGGTTTGATCAGATAACTCACTCAAGTAATCAGATAAACCAGGAGGCTCTGATTCTAGACAGAACACAACTTCTCGCTGGTAATTTTTTTTGAAGGACTTGGAGACAGCTACAGTCTCTCGACTTGTGGTAAGCTGACAATGTCAATACTAATGAGTCGCTGGTATCGAGAGATATGGGATGTTCGCCGGCCTTGTCGAAAGATGAATAGTTCTCCCCTCTCAGCTGAGGGCCTGCTGTGAGTATCTTTCTAGTTGTATAACATGGTAGTACAGGACTACGATCTGACACACGCCAACACATATTTGAACTCATACATGAGACATTGCACTGCTATTACGTCCTTACATTCATACTTTCCAAACCTTCTCTGCAAATGCTTGGACGTCCTCCCAAAGAAGCTCTGGCTGTTCTAGCGCCGCGAAGTGGCCGCCTCGGTCATGCGCATTGTAGAAAACTACATTGCACTCCTTTTCAATCAAACTCTTGATCCCAGGAAGGAGCTCGTATGGGAAAATCGAAACCCCTATTGGCGTAGAAGTGTGCTGGTAACGCAGGCGCTTTGGGCCAAAGAGCTGACGGTATATGTAGAGCGACGTCGGAAGGCTGCCTGTGAACCAGTAGAGTGAGACATTGGTGAGGATGGTGTCGATGGTGGGGTCGATATCGGTCCATTCGAGCATCTTTTCGCCAATCCTGTGTAGCGTTATCATTTCTGATGATACATGGATGAAACATACGGGTCGAGAATTATGACGGGGTGTATTTACCATGCTAGTAGTGCAAGCGGGTTAGACGACAGGACGAACCCGATTGTGCTCGGTCGATGACTGTGTTCGAGAGCATACGCGTTGCCGGAGTCAAGCCAGTCTAGTGCGCGACCAATGGCTTTCTTTTCGGATGGATCGAGGTTACTGGTGTCGCTAAGATCTAACCCAGGCATCATGTTCACTTTGACGATTAGTTATGACGGCTGTCGAACACGAGGACTCAAGAGTACGTACAATGGACGCCAACACAAGCATCGTTGCTTTGCGCTAGAATTCTTCCTAACATACTGCCGACATCTCCGCCTTGAGCGATGTACTTCTCGAATCCAAGATTAGTCATGAGTTTGTGGATGATATCGGCGCTGTCTTGCGCGGTCCAATTTTTATCAATCGGCAGACCTCTTGCACTGAGTGTATAGCCCGGCAGAGACGGAACGATAATGTGGTAAGGTAAGTCGTTCTTGGTCCATTTGTCTCTGATCAAGCCTAGTAGCGGCAGAAACTCGATGAAGCTGCCGGGCCAGCCGTGCATGAAGACAATCGGAATTGCGTCTTTCTTGTCTGAGAAATGGCCAATGAAATGAAGATCGATTCCGTCGATTTGCATTTGGAAGTTATCAAAAGAGTTGATATGCTTTTCTTGTGCGCGCCAATCATATTTATTCAACCAGTAGTCTCTAGCTTCAGATATCCATTTCTGCGTAACACCGTAATTCTTCTCGGATTGTTGGTTCTCGTATGTGGTCGGACCGAGCTTTGACAGCTCCAGGAGTTGACGCCATTCGGAGATGTCTTGATCGGGGATGTGGAGCGTGAAAGGTTTCGCAGAGCTAGGAGGAGAATACGACATTGTACAATGAGAATATCGGGATGGGCAATGATAGAGTGAACTCAGATGGGAGATGTACTGGATGGTTTTATAGCCGACTCGCGAGCACTTGGAACAAAGCGGAACGATCCGGCTCGCTGAACACTAATCACTGCATGGCAGTCGAGGTAAAGGAGCAGCCGGTATTGGGTAGGCACGATACAATAGACGAATTACTGATGGTATATACCTTTTGTGATTGGCATGGCTTGGCGATCTTGACTACTCAAAGTGGCATAGTCATGTATCACAAAAGGATATTGCGTCTGGAAAAACCAGGGATATCAGAACAGTAAAGCAGCAGGAGCTTCTCCGGCTTTTGAAACATGTCCTTACAAAACCGGACATATCTCATTCGATGAGGTAATGCCGAAGAAAGAGAAGTGTTGCAGTTCATAAGCGTTAGTGCGTATTTGTGGATCTCACTGTCTCGCAGAAACGAGCAACGTACATCCACACTCTCCTGGTGCACAATGTAAGTCTTGGCCGCAGCGGTTTCCTCCAAGCTCGAGCGAATCCCTAGGTCTTCTCTTCTTACCTTATGTCTCATTCGCACTGTTTTCACATGAAAAGATCTATGCTAATCTTGCACAGCGCAACGAGTCTAGATATCACCAAGATAAAGTGCGTCTCTCGGTGAAGAGACAACGGGTCTTGGGGCTTTATTGGAAAGTAAGGTAGATGACGGCAGGGTATGATGACTGGAAGCGCAAGAGTAGGTGTTTGTGCGCACCGACTTCGTACACATTGTCTGTAGCCTAACGAAGAAGCTCGATGTGCACATTCTCTAGGACATTGACGTTCTTCTTCTGCGCAGTCGTGAGTAGCGCATTATAACACTACGTGGCTGACGTTGACCTTCATATAGCCAACCAACCCACTCTTGTTGAAGTCCATGCAAAGCGCCTCGACAAACGAAAGGTAGTCCTGCACAGTTCTTCCATAACGGCAATTCGATCAAGAAGACTGAGATGGGAAGTCTTGTCATTGCTTCGACCTGATAGCTTACCTAGTTTGTACTACGAGTGCATCATCGTGCATCGGACAGCCCACGCTCCTGGAGTTGCGAGCTGCGCCAACTCTGCTCGTGATAGGCCGTTTGTGTTCGCTTTCTGGGTGGCTGCTGATCGCTCTGGCGCGATCAGGTATGAGCAAGCATGTGCATGGCGGACGGTTGCGATGGTAGCGCGTACAAGCATGTACTACGAAGCGGCTTCCCGCTGGTGCAAGTGTCTCGTCGCCTATCCAGCATCTCCAAATGCTTGCGCGAAGCTGGGCCTTCCTCCACGGCCCTGACTATAGTGTACGCAGAGGATCGTCATGCGATATTAGAAGGCGAGAGGCTTCATGCGATGCGTATGGTAGCGACTTCTTGCCGTATTCGCGCTCGAGTGTTGGTGGCCCTTGTCGGCGTGGTTCTGGTCGAGGACAGCGGTAGAAGCTTGTGACGTTTTCTGAAGTTGGCTGTTATAATATTATCTGACAGAGTCGTGTCCCTAAGCAACGGCATGTTGCTTGGTACCGCAGTCGTAATCGCAACAGTCAGCACGAGTGGTACGGACTATGGTCTACAATGGACAGGAGTAAGCGGTAACCGCCGGATGCCTCGAGGCCGGTGGCCGGGGTGCACAGCGATAGAGAAGGGTATAGAAGAGAAATGCAAAGGACGCAGAGGATCGTGATGCATGTTTTCCACTCTTGACTGGGGTGAGGCTTATTCGATTTGCGATCGTGAGGGACGCGAAAGTTGGGATTGCACGGCATTTGGGACAACCCCAGCGTCGGATGTCGGCGTATCGAGTGGTCGTCCCCTATGGCGCACGCAGCTCCCACATGGCACCCCAGCTTCCCCGCAATGCCTTCTGCTAGCGACGTCCAATGCCTGCATTTCGACACCATAGACGCGGCATATTCATCGAGCCCCAGATCTGATAGCACAGTACTCGCCGTCGGTCAGCAAAATGGCATCGTCCACGAATCTACCGAGCAGCACCGGCTGATAACAACACATGGCAAATTCGGCGTGTGACGCACTACTCAATAGAGATATTCATGAACGATTGTATGGTGAGCTACGATGAGAAGCGAGAGAACGCTTGCACCAGAGTACACGAGGACTATGAGAGACGTATGCTGTCGTATACGGGACTGGCTTCATCAAGATGTCGTCGACGAGCCTGAGGACGCCGGCATTCAATCTTCACCGCCGGTGTTCCACCAACCACGCTAATTCCAGGCCCACATACCAGCCGTTAGGCGATAGCAAAAGGCCGATTCGGATTGTCTGATCCTCTCCAGAGATAGAGTAGTGCTTGAGAAATGTTACGGGTCAACCTTATCAGCAAATCGGCATTTGTTTATACTAACGGTCTCGATACCGGTATCTTGGCTTTTTACCGGCCTTCTACCACATCTTGTGGACAAACTGCGGAGTGTGGAGTGGCCAAACTAATCACTCCGCGCAATTGACTCGCAGCTGAGCATACCTGGGTATATTACCCGAGTGACGATACAAGTCCGATAATCTCCAAGTCTTCCTCATCTTCGAATCACGATTGTCTTTCGGCAAGATGTATGTCTCCGCCACGGTTTGGACAGGCTTGCTTTATACCTTGACGCGGGTACATGCATCATCACAGACCCTAGCGTATCGACCATGGCTGGATCCAACTCTGCCAAACGAGCAACGACTGCAGCTATTCTTGGATCAGTTGAACAGCACCCAGAAATATGCCATGGTACAAGGCGATACCGAGCTCGATGAAAACGGAACTGGTGTCAATCCGTGCATAGGGCACATCTCCGGCAACGAGACGTTAGGGGTACCCTCCATCTGCATGGGCGATGGCCCAGCCGGCGTCGGAAACAACTTGAACAACGTTACCGCCTTCCCTGCCCCGATTGCCGCTGCCGCTTCGTGGAATACATCTCTCGAATACGCTTACGGCCAAGCACTAGCCCAGGAGCACATGGCAAAAGGTCGCAATGTCGTTTTGTCACCGACTATTAACATCCTTCGTTCACCGCTATGGGCCCGTGCAGCCGAGACCTTCTCGGAGGACCCATGGCTGACTTCTCGGATGGCCGTTGCTGGTGTTATGGGCGTTCAAAGTCAAGGCGCTCTAGCCTGTCCAAAGCATCTTGCTGGATACAACCAGGACACGAATCGCTTCGGAGTAGGTCCTACTTGGGATACGGTTGACGTTCACATCGACAAGCGGGTGCTTCATGAGCTTTACCTACCCGCTTTCAAGGCATCTGTCCAAGAAGCTGACGCCGCTTCTGTTATGTGCTCTTACAACATGCTGAACGGTTTCTTCGCTTGCGAGAACGACTGGCTTCTAAACACTACGTTGAGGCAAGAATGGGGGTTCCAGGGTTTCGTTGTTGCCGATTGGTATTTCTCCACAAGAAGCACTGTTGGTGCCGTCATGGCCGGTTTAGATATTAGCATGCCTGGAGGTTCTCTGGAGACTTCATACGGATTTCCAGCCTACTACGGAGACCTCTTGGTCGAGGCTGTCAACAATGGAACTATACCAGCCTCACGCATCGACGATATGGTCGCGAGGACATGGCGATATATGTTCAAGCTTGGAATGGTCGACAGCCCAGTTACCGGAAACGCGGAATCTGTGGCAAGAACACAAGCCCATCTTGATCTGGCTCAAAAGATGGCCGAGGACGGATCTGTTCTCCTGAAGAATAATGACCAAACGCTGCCTCTTTCCCCGCAGAGATACATGCATGTCGCCGTCTATGGCGTAGACGGAACTAACCAAAGCCAGGTCACGGAGAACCACGGAGGTTTCGTGATCGACACGACGATGGTGGTGCAGTCGCCTTTGGATGCCTTGAAACAACGAGCTAGCAAAGAAGGCAACATGACAGTCACTTATGCGGAGGCCTATCCTGGTACCGGTGAGTTCCCGACGGTACCTTCCAGCATGTTTGTCGACGACGGTCTTAATGTAACATACTACACAACTACCGACTTCTCTGGGCCCATTAACCAAACCGATTTTGTCCCCAACATCACCTCAGCCTCATTTCCCAAAGAGCTTTGGGTGTCGTGGCCGCAAGTGTTTTCTTGTGTATATGAAGGCACTTTCAAAGCCAACACTAGTGGAATGTACCATTTCTCGCTCACCGGCCAAGGGGATGCCGTACTTTACATTGATGGGCAGGTCATCACCAACATGTCCAAAGCGAACTTTGGAAATACCATTCAAGGCATCGCAAATCTGACAGCAGGCGAGGAAGTTTCTCTGTCTCTGAACTATTCCATGGGCTACTCACTGTCCACCGGCGCGTATGGTGTCACACTAGGAGTTGATGTGGGCAATGAAGCAAGGGACCAAGAAGCGATGTCGCTGGCGGAGAAAGCTGATCTTAGCATCGTCTTTGCGTCCGACAGACACTCCGAGGGCGTTGACAGCAACATTGGCCTCTCTCTCCCTGGCGACCAGGACGCTGTGATATCTCGAATCGCCAATCGCTCAAAGAAGACTGTGGTTATCCTCAACACTAATTCGGCCATACTTATGCCCTGGATCGACGAGGTGGATGCGGTGATGCAGTCTTGGTACGGAGGCCAGCAAATCGGCTTGGCGCTTGAAAGATTGTTGTTCGGCGATGTCAGTCCAAGCGGAAAACTGCCTGTGACGTTCCCCAAGACACTGGACGACGCCATAAAAATCACTTCAGACCTAAATGTACCCTATGAGGAAGGTCTGAGTGTTGGATACAGGTGGTACGACGAACACAAAGTCGATCCGCTGTTCTCATTCGGCCATGGACTCACATACTCGACGTTCGAGTTAGAAGGTCTCGCAGTGCACGTAGCAAACTCTACAGTGACATCTAGCTCCGAGCATGTCATTTGTTCCACAACGTTGACAAACACGGGAATAGTCGCTGCATCGGAAGTCGTTCAACTTTACGTTTCGTATCCAGAAGCAGCCAAGGAGCCCCCCAAGCTGCTTAAAGGATTTGCCAAAGTCCACCTCGAGGTAGGCCAGAGTACAGACGTGCCGCTGCAAGTGCTCATGGATGATCTGAGGGTTTGGTCGGAGCAAAGGGACGACTGGGAGTTTGTACATGGCGAGTATAGCTTCCTTGTCGGATTCTCAGCAAGCGATATCAAAGTGGAGAGGAAGATGGATCTTTAGATACGCTTTAATACATCGTGCTTATACGTTGACTGTACCAGAAATCATTATATGTGTCACATAGTGAATGGCAAAGGTGAAAAGTCTTGTGGCCAATACTAATTATGCTTTCAAACTAGGTAGCAGCCAACGCTGGCATTCAAGTCGGTGACATGAATGCGCCCTGGCCAATGTTGAAGCCAGCGTTAGCGAACATGAACGCCCAGGCTTCGTCATCCACAAAATTCATATCGAATGTTGATGCATCTTCCGATGCATAATGATACGCATCCTGATCATCGTACATTGTATCAACTCCATGTCTTTGGGTAGTTTGTGCATGAGGCAGCGTGGATTCGTGGGCTGTAGTGTCCACGTTCGCGGTAGGTGCGGTAGACGCGGCGGGTGCGGCGGGGATGTGCGAACGCGAGGATGAGCGCTGCTCTCTCATTGCTTCGTGTTGGACCAAAACATTGTGTAAAAATGCTGCTTGCAAGGCGCAGCTTGTACCTGCCGGTGCTTGAAGTTTGTCGAAGACTTCCGCTGTGTTACGTATACCGTCCAAAGCTGGCATTTCCATCTCGATTCGGATGTATGACGGCGCTGAGAGTAAGAGCTGCATCAAGGGTCAGTGTATCAGCTTACTAGCGTTGGCGATAGTGAAGTACCTTGATGAGGAATACTGTCGCGTAAGCGATCATGACATGTACAGAGTCTTGCGCAAAGTATACGAGCTGTGATGAAGAGGGATCAGATACAAGCTTGAGCATATCGACAGCGCTGGAATAGCTATTCCAAATCGCCTCCGTATCGACTGATGTCTCGATATCTTTCAACCTAATCGATGCACGCAGTGAGGAAGTGAATAAGAGCAGCCGTGCATAGCTGCCGTAGAACGGTACCAAAAAGGCATGACAATCCTCGCCCCGCTCGGATACTGTTTCCGTCCATTTCCTTTGCCAGTTGATAATCTTTCGATCAAGCACACGCAGCAATGATCGGAACTGCGAGGGGTCCTGGCGTTGATGTTGTGCATATTGGGTCGTCATCATCTCAAAGTGTGTGGAAGTGATGAGGCGTAGGGATACGAATGCGCAAAGTAGCCTGTCGTTGGCCACTTCAAGAGGGTGTAGATGCCAATTGCTTACTGACTCTAGATAGCTGCTCCTCTCGATCATCCAAGGTTTGCCGGTCTGCAAGCTGATGCTGTGCGTCGATCAGTATTGTTTCATAGAATTGATCATCGTACGTTTCCTACCTTCGGTCATACACAAACAAGACTAGCCAGGTCCTCTCGATGTTCCTGAATTGCATCGCTTGACGGTCAGACGCGTTTTCTGGGGGTTTCATTGCACCACTCCCAAAATTATGCCAACCAAGCTCGATGGCCATTCTGATAGCATGGCCTACAGACAGCCATACACGATTGTCGCGTGGCTCCTTCCAATATGTCAGAATGAGTATCGCCTGTACTGTCTCTGGCGACTTCGAACCACAGCGAAAGCTCTCTAAGAAAAGCTCTTCAGCATGGGAGAGTAAGGGCTTCTGTAGTGCAGGGTGCAGTAATTTTGCGGCTGCCGCTAGAACGGCGGTGGAGAGGAAAGAAGACACCTCCCTGACATACTCGAAGGCATGTAGGGAAGGATCCAGTTGGCTGATAAAAGGATTTAGGTGCTTCATGAATCCACCGAACAGCTCGGTAGCGAAATGGAGGTTGACCAGGCCTTTGTTAACTGGATCATTTTCCGATACATTCTGGTTACATTCTTCCGGCGCATTTCCGTGTTCAGTACTTAGCACGTTTTGCAAAGAGAAGTCTCCTCTTGTAATCTGCCGGTTGAGGATGTCAGAAAGTCGAAAACCTCTGTTCTCCGTCCAGAAATCATGACCTGAACGTTGTGTTGAGTGGGGACGGGAACCCAATCTGGAAGTTGACCTTTGAGCGGCATGCGTATCTATCGATGCATCCGCATCACCTGCCTCGGTAACACCGTGGTTGGCATGTTGAGGCAAAGACCACCTGGATGATGTTGCTGGAGGCCTCGTAATACCTTCACCGTTGCCTGACGTCGTCGCAACGTTCTCTTGACCTCTTGAGCTTGGTTTTTGTAATCTACAACACACATTAGTTGTTTTGCGGATTGGAGCAAGCAGACTTCACTAACTTGAAGCCGTGCTTTCGACCCCGCCGATGTCCAAGGAAGTCACATTGCAACGATTTGCGCGTACATCTAACGCACCGCGTGTCTTGCGCCATCTTGTGGCACTTCATTTTGACTTTGCGACATTGTAGGCAAGCATGTGGTCTTCAAACAAACAGATCAGTGAACGCGCAACTGCAAAATCGATCTGGGGCTGGCTCACACAGCTTTCGAAGGTTGTGAACCAGGTGCCTCATCAGTCTCCGTCATGCTAGATATCTGTGTCGGACATTGAGGTCAGCTTGAGCTGAGATAGACACTGTAGGAGCATCTGCGTAGTGTGTTGCCGAACGGGTAAGGTGTCTTATCTGTGTTATCTTTCCACGCTAACCACATCAGCACGCGTTCTTTCGCACAGATGACACTTGCAGCATTCCGCAGCAACCAAGCATTCATCGCATTCTCCACCTCAGTCGTTCTCCTCCAGTCATGGATGCTACATGCCGCCATTACGCGAACGCGTCTTCCGATCGTCGGCAGCGAGCCTGGCATGAAGCTCTTACAGTAACATGAACCTCTCGGAAACCTTGACCCCGCACCACTCTTACCGACGCGATTCAGCACAATCTCTAAACGGATGCGCCAACTTTCTTTGGTAAAGTTGCTGCGATCTCGGCCCACTTCATTATCATTCGCGCACATCGCCGGTGTTCTACTCTAGATTGAGACGCCGGTGGCTGGCACGTGCGCCCCTCTCGCAATAGTCCTCAATACTCTACGGAGGGGTAGAGCAATCAAGAAAGTAGGCATCAAGTCTACACGGATCCGAAAACTACGTATCTAACAACATGGCTGTCATACCACGCTCGAAAGCCAAGACGGCGCACGTCAACATGATGACCGACACCATCATAGCAAACCTCCCGGCAGACGCACTTCGAAGCGTAATCAGAGTCATTTTGACAACGGAGCCATCAATCACAACTATTCTCGAGGAGCAAACACGAATTTATCTCAGGAACACCGCCAATCAGCCCGTTGGTCAGTTGTTTCAATCGACGGCCGAGGGGGTTGCATCAACATCGAACTTTACATGCGCCCAGCAGCGCCTACGTTCCGCCATAGGGTGTGGACTGGTTCTCGACAGCTTTCCAATACTCAACAACATCGTAGAAGAATCCTCCAGCCTGAATGATGGACACGGCGTGCATCGGTCGGCTGAGCTTGACCGATGTCTAGCTTCCGTAGACGGCGATATAGTGCAGGCATTAACTGCGATTCAAAAACGCCTGTTATCCGACAGTGGCAGTAGGGACCTTAACGACGACGAGAAGCCTGTGATGAACTCCCTCTTCGATTCGTTACTTCGATGTCGTCAAAGATGGCTTGCTTCTGCACAGGACTTCCCTTTTGACCGAAGCACAGCAGTCCTTGCAACGATGCTCGGCCGTGAAAGTGGTATACCGACACTAGCTTATCAAAATGGCTCTCATCAAGACCGAATCCATCAACGGAAGACATCCAAGTCCTTGGAAACTTTCAAAGTAAAGGGTATCGAGCTTCCTAGATTGTTTTCAGGTCTCTGGCAGTTGTCGAGTCCATCATGGGGTACTGCATCTCAGACAAAAATGTTCAAGCAATTCGTCGAATACATTGAAGGCGGCTTCACTGCGTTCGACATGGCTGATCATTACGGCGATGCTGAAGTCATCTTTGGTCGGCTGAGATCCTCACTACCCAAGTCTGATGCCGTCTTCGGTGCCACAAAGTACTGCGTGTTTCACAAGATCACCGTGACACCTGCGGTGATCCGCGCAAATGTCACTGAGCGTTGTCAGCGCATGAGTGCCGACAAGGTCGACCTTTTGCAATTCCACTGGCAAGACTACAACGACCACCAGTATATCGAAGCACTGCGACTTTTACAGCAGGACGAACGAGTTAAACATCTGGGATTATGCAACTTCGACACAGCACGGCTTCAAGAAGTGATAGATAACGACATCGATGTTGTCACCAATCAGGTTCAATTTTCTCTTATCGATGCACGACCACGATTCAAGATGGGCGAGGTCTGCGCGCGGCACAATGTGAAACTTCTCACATATGGTACTCTTTGTGGAGGCTTCCTTGCTGAGAAGTGGCTCGGTAAGCCTGAGCCACAGCTGTTTGGTCCGGATACGACTCCCTCGCAAAGAAAATACTTCGAGATGATACAGACGTGGGGCGATTGGGATCTGTTCCAGACCTTGCTGCAGACTCTAAAGACTATAGCGACTAAGCATAATGTCTCCATCTCGAACGTCGCTACGAGATGGGTTCTCGACTTCCCATACGTGGGTGCAGTCATCATTGGCGCGCGGATGGGTGTTAGTGAGCATACGGAAGAGAATTTGAAGACGTATGGATGGAAACTCGATGAAGAAGATCAGAAGCGCATAGAAGAAATCCTGGAGAAAAGCAGGAGAGAGGAGGTGTTTAATGTCATGGGTGATTGCGGTAGTGAATATCGGTAGTGGACCAGTCAACAAGGTTTATCGGCTGGTCTGTTTGGATTTCGTTTCTTTGGGAGTTCTTAGTGTAGCTGGCAAGAATATGAGAGCAATATGCTTTGGTGTTGACCATGGGAGCAGCGTCTTCCAAGCCCGTGTTAGACCCCGCCCGTGCGCTCGCTCCCTATTCTTGTGCCAGTCCTGTGCGATCACTGCCTGCACGCCACCACACGACCACTTTCAGATGCTCACGACGACGGAACTATCTTTCATACGGACGCTTCGATCTGCGTTCCGGAAAATGCGCAACTGGCGGACGCTCAAGAGCTCCTGCCTCCCCTGCCGCAGCTGACGTCACCACCAAACATACGCGCGCCGCGTTACTCTGCCATTACCCCAGCGTCCGTCGTCGTCGCCCCGTCGTCGCTCCCATTACTGCGACTCAGACTACCGAGATACTACAAACATTGCAACCGCATGTCTTGGAGTTGCAGCGAGGTGCAGACATCGCTGCGCTTTCGAGGGCAGCGTGGCTGCTGCAGCCACAACATACTCCTGGCATAAGGATTGAGATGATGATGACGATGGGAACAATCATCCTGGTGACAATAGTTGAGATCACCTGCAAGACTTCTTGAAGCCTCTAGCTACGCTGCGACGCGTTGGAAGTTGGATATATTGACACCATGATCGTGTTTAGTGTGACGACTGTATACAACCACATGCCCCAAGCGCGCTTGAGGTGCTTACAGCAATACCTCCAACCCCACCAGGGCTTCTGAGACTACCTCCGCATAAGGTGATGTGCTGAATGAAGCAAGGGAAACTGTTACACCATGGATACATCAATTCGGAATCTTCCTCGGTATTCCAAAACTCAAGAGTTTCCTTCAAGACCAACTACCGTGGTATCCGCATGACTGAAGGTCCGCAACCCGGTTCGTATGATCTTAAGCTGAGATTTGCAATTCGGATCCGGACATGCAATCAATGCATCTGTGGACATCCAGTCATGTGCGTGAGTTGGTCTCTGCTTGGCTGCTAGCAGAGGCAGTACTGCCGCTGAATGACAAACTCATCAGTTATGGAAGTATGCAGCATCCGTGTATACAACTCACCTAAGCTGTAGAAGCTTATGCCCTGACCGTCAGGAAGATGCAGCATCTCGCCTTGAACAGTAAAGTAATCTCCTTCCTTGGCTCCGCACAAAATGCGCTCGCCTGGTGGACAAACCACCTCGACCCGCAAGTCGTACAGTTGGAACGAGTCGTCCTTGACGGATGACATTTTTGTTGGCTTTGGGAAGTTGGTGATGTTTTGCAATGAATACTATGCTCATCTCGTGCTCTCTTGACTTCTATTGTCCCGCTTCGAGTAGGGTGGGGCCACCGGCATTCTAGCAGAGCAAGTACCACCGGCATCTCAAGTACCACCGGCATCTCAAGTCCCCCAGCTTATCGCCGTTTTCGGGCGCACTGCCCCTATCAAATTGCAAGACCCCGCTATCAGTAACTAGGAGTCACGGAGTCAAGCGTAGAATGCCGAGCTGACAAGCGAGATAAGCATTGTGCTTCTGCTAACATCATTGCTCGGATTAAAGGCCGGTCCTCTGTACATCAAGAACATACGACTAAGTGCGGAGACCTGATTATACTTGCTATTGCGCGTCGAGGTCACTACGCACAATCGACATCGCATGCTTTCATGCTGTGATTAACATCATGGATTTTCCAAAGAAGGAAGCTACGCAACTCGCCCAAACCTGTGCGTCAAGTTCGGACATTGAGAATGGAGCCATGGGCACGAACTATGAAGTCAAACGCGACCTTGGGCGTCGACATATCAACATGATTGCGATAGCTGGCATGATCGTGAGTCGAACTTTCTTCAAATCCACCTCATCTGCCCCTATACTCATGCACACGATGTAGGGTACCGGATTGTTCCTGGCATCGGGCCAAGCAATCGCTACCGCAGGACCAGTCGGCGCTCTATTAGGATACCTGTGCATGGGTTTGATCGCTTGCGGTGTTGCCCTCTCCGCAGGGGAGATGTCGGCTTTTATGCCCGTCACAGGAGGCTTCGTTCGCCATGCCACCAGATTCGTGCAGCCTGCACTCGGCATTGCCACCGGATGGAACTTCTGGTATACCATGGCAATTACAGCGCCAGCCGAACTCGCTGCCGCTGCAACTTTGATCAATTTCTGGGACAACAGCATCAATCCTGCCATTTGGTACTCGGTTTTCATCGTCATCATCGTGGTTATCAACTTCTGTGGTGTGAAGGTCTATGGCGAGGTGAGTCTTGATGTACATCGTTTTTGGCTTCCTGTCTGACAAGATCCAGAGCGAGGTCTTCTTCGCAGTTCTCAAAATTCTGCTCATCATCGGTCTCATCATCGCCGGTCTGGTAGTAGATTTGGGAGGGTCTCCTAGTGGAGACCGAATCGGCTTTCGATACTGGAAGAATCCCGGACCTTTCAACGAATATATCGTGCCGGGTAATACTGGCAAGTTTCTTGGGTTCTGGAGCTCCTTGATCTCAGCGGCCTACAGTTACGCCAACATCCAGGTGGTCGCCATAGCTGGCGCTGAGACGAAGAACCCAAGAGTCATCATCCCGAACGCGATACGCATGACTTTCTGGCGCGTGCTCATCTTCTACGTCATCAGCATCCTCATCGTTGGCATGCTTGTACCATTCAACGACCCAAATCTTGGTATCTCTACTGGCGACGCCCAGCAGAGTCCTTTCGTCATCGCTTTCCAGCGCGCTGGTATCAACGTTCTTCCCTCAATCATCAACGCCATAGTATGTACTTCAGCCTTCAGCTGTGGCTCTGCATGCGTTTTCCTTGCATCACGTACCCTGTACGGACTAGCAGAGGATGGCCAAGCTCCTAAAGTTTTGCTTCGCACCAACAGGTTTGGAACTCCATACTTGGCGATTGGAGCTTCGCTCATCTTTATGCCTCTCGTATATCTGAGTCTTGGAAGCAATTCTTCGGTAGTGTTTGGATGGTTTGTCAACATCACAACCATTGCTGGACTTATTGGTTGGCTTGTCATCGAAGGTACTTACCTGAGGTTCTACTACGCCTTGAAAGCTCAAGGTATCAGCCGAGACCGTAAGTTGACCGTCGCCCCCTTTGCCAAAATAATGCTGATATTTTCAGGTCTTGCGTACAAGAGCCCCATGCAGCCATATCTCGCTTGGCTCACCGGAGGTGCGCTCGTCCTTGTCATCTTGTTCTCGGGCTACAGCGTCTTCTTTCCGGGCCGATGGAGCGTGGGCACATTCCTCACATATTACATTGATATTGCTATCTTCATCTTCCTGTGGGTTGCTGGATTCTGCTACGCGAGGTCCGGAATCATCGCTCTGCAAGACGTTGATCTCTCTGAGATTGCTGATGTTGATCACGAGAAGGCGCAGATATCAAATTCAGCGGAACAAAATCTGTCGTGGTGGAGGAAATGGATTGTATAGTTTCCGGAGAATGTAAAGAACATTTGCGATGAAGATGTCTCCGTTAACCAGATGTGCCCGGCCTCGATCCAATTGTGGTGTAGCGTGCATTTCTACGAAAGCGAGCTCGAACTCTTGAGAGACAGATGACCTTTTGACGCATAGTCAGTTCCTTCACGCTCCGAGAACCTTCCATATGCTATGAAGATGTTTCCACGTGTGTGTGCAGAGGTCGTATTCATACTATAGTACAAGTGGTAGCGCTGGTGATTTGAACGATTGCCGATTTCCTAATGCTGGCTCGGTTGATCTTCTACGGACGGCAGAAGTCTGCAGCTAAGTATGGCGGTAATCTCGCAAACAAACCGCAAACATGAATGAACATACGTAGTCATAATGCGCTACAGCACAGATCTGACGATTCTTTGTTGATTGAACAATGGATTTGGTATAAACGAGATATATAAAACATGGATATCTCCAGCATGGCTTCCACTCTTGCAGCTTCTTTCACATAAAGTCTCTCAAACACCCTGCCTTCTTGAGTCTCTGTCCGTATTCTCTATTTTCTTTACCTTAAACACTGACCTGAGGTAGTCTTTGGAACTCTTGTTCTAAATCCTCAAGCCCATAACATCGCATCTTCCAGCGTATACTACAGTGTAGCAATCTCTAATATCTCAACGCCTTCAGATCGTTCTTGTTACATCGCTTGAAATGCTCCAAGTCAGGGAGTACGACATCGGTGAGTTTTGATGCAGCTTCATGCAGTAAGCGGTACGTGCGCGCATGTGTCGGCCATTTTGAGATATGCGGAATTGTCGCGCCACTTTCGATAAGGGTTCTAACAATCGAGACGTCATGTCGATGGGCAGCGGTTTCAAGAGGCGTTATGTGTGTCCTGCCAATCGCCCGCATGTTCGGCCGCACGGAGAGGTTGACGTTGGCACCCGCCTGAAGACAGGCCTGTATGGCGATTGCACGTCCAGATCGAACAGCGATGAAAAAAGGGGCTGTCGAAAGTGTTCCTTTGTTAATATCTTCGACATGCTGGAGGACCTCCTGAATAGCTGCAGAGTTACCTTGGGCGTACACAGCACCAAGTGTGTCAGGTCCAATCAAGTTCCACCTACCAGTATTGAAGCGGAGAACGGCCTTGAGGGCTTGTAACTGATCGAGCGAGCAATTTGCGGATGCTTCGGCGACCCATCCGCTGTAGGTCCTGCTTGAAGGACAAGGCAGATTTTTCTCGTAATAGTCGAGCAGAAGTTGAGCAGCGGGAAGATATTTCTCCCACAGTGTGATGCTGATGCACCTCGAGATGGAAAACATTTCGTATTCAGCCGTAAAGAAGATTTGTGTTGACGTGAGCTGTGTCTCGAGATAACGGAGAATGGTGTTGAGCGATGTCAAGTCACGCATTTGTACTGCAAATAAGATAGGCTGCGTGGTGATGAGCCGATCTCTGTCTGTGGTATCAAGCTTTGGGAGAATTTTGGAAAGAAGACGATGATTGCTGGCGGCTAGGGCAGCGCAAAACTTATCGTGATAGGGAAGACGTATAGGGAGCTCTGAACCGAGCAATCTGGAGCAGTTCGAACACCCAACACTATCACACCACAAGGCATGAATTACATCATCCATCGGGAGGATCTTACTGAAGCCATTGTAAGTTTTGTCAATGACTTCGGTGCGTTGCTCTTTGTCTTCATATTCGACCTGTTCCACGACGTACTGAACCATACGTTGGAGCCATGTAAACATCATCTGATTCACACTGCCTGGCTTCCGTGAGACTTGCAACATGAATCTTGAGAAGTGCGTCTTGACCAGGCGCTGAACGTTACGGTGGCTGTAGAACTCTCTTGGCTGTTGAGAGAAGACTTCGCGTTCGATTTCCGCAGCGAAGCTACGAGAAACACCTCGTAATTTCCAAAGTTGACCGATATTTGGGTGGGGGGAAGGGCGCCAAGAATCAGAAGGATCTTTGGAAGTGATGACAAGCTCGTGTATAACCATCTGAAAGAGTTCGGCGGGGAGATCGGAAAGGTTCGCCACAATAAAGGACGTGAGTAAGTACTTGACTTGGTCTTCAAGATTCGTCACTATGGGTTGAGTCGCGGGGTTGAGAGTCGCTGGTGAGGAAGCGGAGAAGAGCGGTAGTGGGCGGAGCGACTTTGGGTAAGAAGTAGCCAGCAAGTGACCACTTCGTCTGCAACAGCAGGTGCGGGTGCCTAAAGTAAGGACTCTACGAAATGTTCGTCCGCAGAGTGAAAGCGCTCATCAACCGTGTCACTTCCAGAGGCGAGGGCCGATACATAGCGGTTCCTAATATCATTCACGACATCGTTGCCAGGTATTCACCCACGCATTTACCTCCCCCACTAGGTTTTACTCGGATATCGATGCTGTAGCGTACTTTCCCTATCTTCCCGTGGAACCTTTGATGAATCATCAACAATATGTGTCGAAATTCGTGCCTAGAGATCATCAAACTCGTGAATCAATATCACCAAGACCTGCAACATCTGGCTCTAATGTGATTACAAGAACCACACACACATCTTGAGATACGTCATGAATTGATTGCTTCAGTCGACTGGATTCATAGCTTCAAGCGGCAGATGGTTCGAGTCTCACTGGATTCGAGTGTCTCGAAGCACTATTTTATCACAGATGAGTCTTGTATACGACGTTAACGAAGAACTCGTGAGCCAGTCACGTCATCAACCCTGCACATAAACAACTTCCTGTATCTTTTTGGACATACAATGCTGTTTGAATCTATCAACTGAGAGTTTACATTGATGTTGTAGCTTCACAAATGATATTTTTCCTCGACGGGTAGGCATCTACAAGCGCACAAGAGTATGCCTGATCAAGAGTCGTAGGCTGTGTCACCCAACGTTCTGCCTCTGCCCGCCGCTCATCCCATCTATTGCTCAACATGCAACGGATGACTCGAGATTGCGGTTGATCAGTTACTACCTGTGGCAGCAACGCGCTTCCCAGTCACTTTCCAAGCGTAGCTTGCCTCGAGTGGGGTGAAATTCTTCTTGCCCTCGCGAAGCTTCTGTCGATAAGACTCGCCAGCTGCCGAGAATTGCGCAGCTTTCTCGGCAGTCATCTGCTTAACCTCTGCCTTCATCGCGTTGTATTCCTTGTTGCGACGCTGACGCTCTTCGCGCTTAGCCACACGCTCCTGATAAGCGGCATCACGAATTCTCCTCTCCTCGAACTTGGCGATGAAGTCGTAGATAGCTTCTGAAAGACGAGGGTTGGTCGGAAGGTAGTGCTGCTCGAACATGTCACCAGTCGTGAAAGTCTTTTCGTAAAGTTTCTTTGCGATGGTATACGCCATCTGCTTGAACAGCTTGTCGCCAGTCGGGTTGTGGGTGGCGGTAATCATGTCGATGATGACCTTCGAGGGAACAGTAGAGTTGACGCGACTGAAGAAGCTGTTGAAGATACCTTGAGAAAACGAGCTCATACCGAAGGCGTCTGCAGCGCAGCAAAGTTGTAGGTCCTGGAAAGGGTCCTCGGCGTCCTTGATGGGCTGGCCCTGGGCATTCTTTACCACATACTTTTGAAACTGATATACCCTCTTAGAAGAAGGTAATTCTAGTATCAATTCGACGACCCTCTTCGCAGCGTCGATGTTGATACCCTCCAGTACTTCAATCTTGCCGTTGACCATGAGGTCGTGCTTTCCCGAGACGGCCTTGAACAGGGCGATTGGCATTTCGAGAACATGCTTACCTGACATGATGAGCTTGCCCAGAGGGTCTACGAACTGGACCTTCTTGCCAGATACCAGAGTCTTGCGCCTGATATACCCGAGATCATGGACGTACCGGAGACCGCCAGGGACATCCTGCTCTTGAGGTAGGGTGTTCAGGATTCGCGCAGTACTGGCCAACTTGATGTCCATTCCGATCTTAGTCATCCTTGGTCTGTGTTTTTGAACGCCACTGATAATATTTCGAGTGTATTGTGAGAGTGAGACGATATTGCTTCGAGAATATTGTCCTGAACGTCGTGATGGAGTAATTTACGAGCAGAGCAGAGAGATTTATGTACTGATAGAAATCTTTCCCTAAAGAATAGCGTTTACAGTGTATCAAATGATCGGCTGACTCTGCTAAGACCATTGGTGATTCTGCCTAGAATTATTAATATGCAGATGTGCATGATTTACGCTACATTCACTTGAGCATGACACGAACCGAGAGGAGAAAACAGGAACCTGAACGATCAGTTTCACGAACTCGCACCAATAAAGTATGATCTACAATAGGGGAAAGGAGCACGCGGCACTGATAGTGGAACTGCACGTCGACAATCTACAAGTAAGGTCTATGCTAATAGATGTTGAATTGACTACGTCATCCGCAAAGTTGACAGTGAAAGATCTAAAGCGGAACCCTCTTCTTGCATATCTTGTTCTAGCAATCCCTCTTCACGTATCATCTTTGAACCAGAAAATTTCTTCTCGAGTACCAGAGTACGCAATATGAGTTCCTCCGCCTCTCGATCAGCATGCTCTTTGTTTTTGGTAACGATGCGATCGATATGAATCTGTTAACGCTGTGCGGTCATCGTGGTGTTTTGGTTCGCGCGAAGGGGATGCCGCGTGAATTGAGTCGAAAGCTAAAACGTTTGATGGAGTGCCGGAGTTTTACATTCAGTAAATCCGGTCGAAGCAGTGGAAGCAGTGAAAGTAGTTTCCCGCCGCTCCTTGATACGTGAAAAGGACTACTCGCAGACCCCCGCTTCTCAGTGGTTCAAACATGTCGTACATTCACTGTTGTTTAGGCACCTCCCTCTGTGTATAAAGTCCCCCTTTTCCTCTGCCTAGCTCTACTCATACCGGACACGGGGTTCATTCTCAACTCTACCAATCCACTTACATATCAAGATCGATCCACCTCGATCATTACGACTCTGACACTGCTTTCAAAAAGCACAGCGTAGCGATGGCTCCCATGTCGTTGGCCCAGAAGCTTGCCACTAGAGATACAAAGAACACGCCTATGGCATCTACTACAGCGGCATCCTCCATTCTCGCCAATGCTTTTGTCACCGCTCCTGGTTCGAAGGCGCGCCAACAGGAAGCCGAGGTCAAGGTTGTGGACGCTGGCAAAATCTACCCCTTGTCTTTTGGTGACCGCAAACTCCTGGCTACAGGACCTAAGGCGCAAATCATCGACAGTAAAGGCAACGTCGTTACAAATATACCAATCGCTCTCTTCCGTGCGACGTCGACCAAGAAGGAAATGGTAGCAGGCACCAATGGCACCGAGCCATTCATCATCACGCTTCCCACGACTCTCGAAGTCCAACCAGTGAAGGATTTGATCAAGCACTTCATGGATTTGACTACCTGGAACAAGCTCGCCAGGGACTTGCACTCCTACCAGTCGACGTACTGGGATCTCCAATTGTGCAGCGCTGCAGATTTTCTCGGAATGAATGTCTACACCCAGCATCTCTTCAACTGGTACTGGGCACGTATCAGCTCCGGTTCTCTCCCAGATTACGCCAATATCGACGCCATTTCTGCCGTCCAAACCCCAGTCGCTGATAACATCTTCCGGAAAGTCGTTAATGCCATCGCGAGATTGGACTATGAGTGGCAAATTCCAGACCCGAATGACTACGGGGCGTATTTGAAGACCAATCAGCGCTTCGGTGTTGCGGTGGAAGAGGCCAAGAAGAAGATGAAGAAACACCAGGCCTACGTTGACAAGAAGAATTGGCTTGATGCAAAGGCAAAGCTACGGGAAGAGTCTGACAAACTGATGTATCAGCAGCGCCAGAAGCAATTGGAGGAGAAGGCGGCAACTCAGCAGGCCAAGTGGGATGCGCAGAAGAAGAAGGATGCCGAGTTGGCAGCGCGAGTCAAGGCTAAGATGGCGGAGCCGGGTAAGAAGAAATGGAAACCAGATGAGGCTGGGTACCTCCGTCGTGTCCGAGGCATCAACGTACCCATTACATAGGCGTAAATCCTAGTGCTTGGACTAGGGGATGCGCGCGGGCTAGTGTTGTTCGGGCTTACTATGACCGAATCTGGGATATACGGGTGGGAATTATGTGTCGGCTTCTTCGTTTGCTAGTCTATGTATTATCCAGACTGGGTAGCTAGAGCAAAGGTCATTGGTTGTACCAATTTTGCTGGCACTTATGAAAGTTGAACTCTCTCATCATTTGCTCAGGTGTATCGTATCCCATAAGTGACTAGCATGACGATGACTTAAACCCGGGCTGTAGTGTCGAGTCTCAGACGATCCTCACCTCTTCCACGGGCAATGATTGTATCAATTCCTCAATTCGTCTTTCCCATTTGTCATCTCTGTACCACGCCATTCTTCTAGACCTATCTTCACTGGATTTTTTAGCTTTCCTGAAGACGATTACGAGAAAGCCAATTCTTTCCCATTGTACGGGCTTCTCAATAATTTGTCGAACGACGACTCCTCCTAAGGCATGATAACCCTGATTCGACGCTAGAAGTTTCAGAACGTGTCCAAGCATATACGGTGGTTCGGCTGTTGTCAAATCGTAGTCTTGATGGAAAGAACAGTAAAAGTCCAAGCTGTTTTCCCGTGCGAATGATCCCAAGGGTGGAGATAATCTGACTATGTCGATCATATCTGATGACCAGGGTGGACACGATATCTCTGTGCCAGTCAGATCAAGGACATGCGTCTTTAGAACAATGCTGGCATTGGAGACTTCTCCAAGATGAGCGGCGCCTATTACAGCATAGTTCAGGCTGACAATCTTAGTCGTGTCTGGAAATGTGTAACCAGACCAAAAGATCTTTGCGTTTTGAACCGATGCCCAAGACCAAGAGGGAACCAGGCGCGCAGGGCGCGGTTCAAGCGCCTGCCCCCGTTTCCCCGATTCGAAAAGCTTCGACGTCCATAACATGTCCGAGAGTATACTGTTTCTCCACAGTCCCGCGATGTAGACGTCATCTGATCTCCGTAGCCGCCACATCATATCGGCCAACGCTG